GTCTCCGCCAGGCGCCGCGTGAGTGGCACGACACACTGAGGACGACACTTGCGGCTCTTGGGTTTTCTCCGTCGACTGCTGACCCGTCGCTGTTTCTGCGCACCGACACTTCACTGCCGCCGTTCTACATCCTCGTGTACGTCGACGACTTGGTCTTTGCCACTGCTGACACTGAGGCTCTCGCCCAGGTGAAGTCGGAGCTGCAGAAGAGACACACGTGCACTGACCCGGGTGAGCTGACAAGCTATCTTGGCTTGCGGATCAGCCAGGACAGAGCACGCCGCACCATCACACTGACTCAGTCACACATGGTGCAGCAGGTCCTTCAGCGCTTCGGCTTCACCTGGTCCTCGGCACAGGCCACTCCTCTGGCTACAGGTCACTCGCTCTCAGCTCCACCTTCGGACGAGTCCGTAGAGCCGAGTGGTCCTTACCCAGAGCTAGTGGGCTGCCTCATGTACCTGATGACCTGCACTCGTCCTGACCTTGCATACCCTCTTGGCCTTCTGGCTCGCTACGTGGCTCCTGGTCGGCACCGAAAGGTGCACATGGATGCTGCTAAGAGGGTGCTACGCTACTTGTGCAGTACCTCGGGCATGGGGCTCGTGCTTGGAGGGCGGAGCCCAGTTGTCCTCACTGGGCACTCAGACGCTTCTTGGGTTGACGACCAGGCTACGCAGCGGTCGTCACAGGGTTACACCTTCAGCATTGGCTCTGGTTCGGTTTCTTGGCGTTCTACACGCTCGTCTTCAGTTCTCGGCTGCAGTTGTGAGGCTGAGATCTACGCCACGGCCATGGCTGCACAGGAGTTACGCTGGCTCACCTACCTGCTGACCGACTTGGGAGAGAGGCCTCGTTCTCCTCCAGTGCTGTACGTCGACAACAAGGCCGCCATTGCCTTGTGTCAGGAGCACAGACTGGAGCACAGAACGAAGCACATCGCTCTGCGTTACTTCCTTGCTCGAGAGCTACAGCAGCGTGGTCAGCTTCGTCTTGCTTACGTGGCCACTCGGGCCAACACTGCTGATATATTCACCAAGGCGCTTCCGCCTGGTGATCATCAGCGTTTCTGTACTTTGTTAGGCCTTGTGCCCACGTTTCCTCACTTGCTGTAGGCTTTGTTTGTACTGTGATCCATATATATACCTGCATGCGTGCTCTGGTAGGTAGAGATCACTGTGCTGTTGTTGTTACGTATATATCTCTGCATGTGAACTGGCCTTGTGGCCTTTTGCTTGTGCTCAGATTGCGTGGTGACTTTGTGATCCACCCTGAGCTTGCTTTACACTTCCTGACTGGTCTTGTAACTCTCTGTTCTCCCCCACTTTGCCTATGGGGGTGTGTCAAACATATAGTTATATGTTATAGTTTGGGTAGGCTTAGTGGGGTACTCACTGTGGGGTACAACCCCTTAGGTTTCACTTTTGTATCAAAACTCCTCGATAGTTGAATCATCCCTTGACTTAGTCTTGATACTTCTAATGCCTGGCATTGCTTGATTCGTTATATGGAGACCTAATCACCCTTAATATCGGATTGTATGCTCCTTCTTCAAGCGGCTTGCCGTTGACGACCTAGGCACTAGGTTTAATCTCGGGAATGCTGCGTTCTGAATGAGGCCTGAATCTGCTGACATGTGAGGCGGTAACGGAAAGCTCAGGTGCGGAAAAATGGCGCAAACGGTGCGTTGGTTCGCAAACTTAGTTTCGAAGTTGGTTCCAGCCTTGAAACGCGACGCGATCTAAGAACGTTCAGCCACCGAGCCCGGTACCATACACCAGCAACACATCACATTCCAATTTGCTTATGAAGAGTCATTGATGCTTGTCATGTAATTCATTATTCAGAGTGCAATTTTTCCAGCTTGCGAACTCTGAACACAATTACTGAATTGAAATCACAGAGAAACAACTCGTAAGGAACAATCAGGGGTAGGAAGTCTGGCAAGTCAACTGTTGGCCCCAATGCCTTGCCAGCATTCCTGCCCCTGATGATTTGACCTATTTTAGCTACTAGCATGAACCAGAGCAAAGCTAGAGCAAGCCTATCCAGGCACACCCATCTAAGAAACCCTCAAGGCTCCAGCCTATCACAAACACGACTGCAGCTTGTAACAGGCTGCGGCACCAGCAAAGATTGTCAAACCATCTGCCGTATCACGCACCAACGGCATCAGCACCAGCGTGGCAGTGTGGCTTTAAACAGCAGCGGCGGGCATCTTGGCGCCCATGAGCTGCCCGCCCCACGTCACACCTGCTACGCTGCTGCCCGCCAGCACAGCATACCCGCTCACTGCAGGCGCCTGCTGCGCTCCCCCCTGCTGTTGCCCCCCGTGCTTCTGCTGCCCCCCCTGCTTCTGTCCCCCCTGCCTGGCCGCGCGGCCGAATGCCCCCATCAGCAGCTCCCGCCCCATGCGCCTCCCCCCCTGCCCCTTCCGCGCGCCCCCCGTGCTGCCTCCGCCGCCGCTGGTGGGCGGAGGAGAGGCGGTGGGGAGCACGGCGAGCAGCGCGTCGAGGGTGGCGGCGTCCGCGTTCTCGAGGAACGCGTCGAGGCGCGCCTCTGCGTGCAGCAGCCACCACCCCTCGCGCTGCTGCCAGTCCGCCGCGGCGAGCGGCAGCGCGAGCACGTCCGTCACGGCGGCGTCGCACACGGCGCCCTTCACGATCGCGAGCGAGTCGGGCGGACCGCCCACCGCGTCCACCAGCATCGCCTCGACCAGCAGATTGTAATTTCCGGTGGAGTTCTTGAAGACGGCGAGGTGGAAGCTGCCGTTAAGGGTCTTCTGATCCACGGTGCAGTTGGCGAGCCGCGCGCCAACACCGGCCGTCAGATTCCCAACGGCCGTCAGGTTCAGCGGAGGCCCGTGCGGTCCGCCAGGCCCGCCGGGACCGTCGCGACCGCCGGGTCCGCCGGGGCCGCCGTTACCGCCAGGTCCTCCGCTTGCGCCCCCCGGTCGCTGACCGCCGGGAGGACCTCCGCCAGGCGGACCACGCTGCGCCAAGGCGGACGTCGACACGAGGAGGAGCACGCACGCGAGGACGAGCGCTCTGACTGCGGCCATGACTGGTGTCGTGCTTACAGATGATAAAAACGATCAAAATATGGTTTCCTGCTGCTGGTTTAGAGTCTAGTTGAGGAAGCAGAGAGTTGTGAGCTACTGGTGTGAAATGCAAGGATTGTCGCTGACCACTTATACCAGCGTCAAACTGCTACCAGCTTTGTTTACGAGGAAAATGGGAGACTCGAGTCAAAAGTGGGAACCTGGGCTTCAGGTCTGGATCTACGTCTGGTTCTGGTTTTTCGCTGGCCCTCGTAATTAGTGGTCGAGGTTCGGAAGTTCCCATGCCGTACGCTGAGGTTCGAGTGTTCACCCTCGCCGACAGGGAGTTGAAAATGGGCGACGACATCCCACGCGTCAGTCAAAGCGTGGGAAAAGTAAACAGTGACGCGGAAAAAACGCCAGCACATTGGCTGCTGCGGTATGGAGTACAGTGCTTGTTGCAGAATGTTGGAGCATGCACAACGCTCTTATAGCCTCCTCATTGGCCTTATTTTTCTCAGCTTGACGGAAGTGTACCACTTTATCGAGATGGTTGTTGCGCACATGCGAAGATATTTTCCAAACAGCCTGTAACGCGGACGGGCCTCCAACCTCTTAGCCGCGATTGTTTTCCCTGCCAATTTATGCGAAAACGGTAAGCCAGTTGCTAGGGTTACGACCAAGTTTCAAGCATTAGTGGGAGGTTCGCCGAGACAGGAGAAGGGTGCTCGACGGCCGTTTCTGACTACATTGTTGTCCTTAACGTCGCGCTTTGACCGCCTGTGTCACGTTGGCTGACCGTCTCACGACCGACTTTTTTCGTTGAGTGCATTGGCCGCATATCCGCTGGACTCGTTCAGCGGATATACGCGGACGTGAACGTTCAGCGGCCCAAGGAGTATTGGGACTACGAGGCGCTCACCGTACAGTGGGGGTACGTCAAGTATCTACCCCCATTTTGGGTGCCGACTTTTTTATATCGCTTTTAAAGGGGTTTGTTTGACTACGAGGCGCTCACCGTGCAGTGGGGGTACGTCAACGGTTGCGCGACGAGAGTCTAATTTCCCGCCAAATTATTGCGGGACGTATCCCCGTCGTGTCGCTTCTCACGCTCCAATCTATGTCCGCTGTTTGTGATGCGTTTTGAAGTCCACAGTCATTTTTTACCGCGCTCCCAAACTTCTAATTCGCATAAACCGCATCAGCCATTTCCGTCCGTGGACCTTTTTTTTCACCTGAACTATGGAGTTCGTCTCATTGTCCTTAGATACACACGCGTCCCACAAGTCAATCCCTTATTTCTCCCTCTTCTAACCGAGCACGCAGGGGCCAGGACTTTTCATCTCCCATTCATCTCCTCTCCCTCACCCCCCCCCGCACTACCACCCCTTCCTTCTTCCCTTTTCCCCTCTGTGAAACTCCCCGCGACCAGGGCGACTACGAGGTGGTGCGCAAGATGGGGCGGCGCATGGTTCTCCTCTTACGTTTCCGGTCCCTCCCCATTCCCAACCCCCCCCCCCTCCCCACTTCCCCCCCATTCCCTTCACCCCCCATCCCCCACTTCTACCGCTCTTCTTTTCTTCTCCCCCTGGCAGAGACCAGGACGACTACGAGGTGGTGCGCAATGTGGGGCACGGCAAGTACAGCTCAATGCATAGTGGTCCTCTGTTGTACCAATCCCCCCATTGTCGCCCCCCTGTCACCCCTCGCAACAAGCAGCGATCAGGACGACTACGAGGTGGTGCGCAAGGTGGGGCGGGGCAAGTTTAGCCCGATGCACAGTGCTCCTTTGTCAATGCTTCCCTTCTCGTCGCCCCTTCTTCCCCCCGTTTCCCCCCCTGCAGCGACCAGGACGACTACGAGGTGGTGCGCAAGGTGGGGCGGGGCATGGCTCTCCCCATGCTTCTCTTTTCCCCTTATCACTAACCCCAACCCCCCCATCTCCTCCCCCAACGCGCAGCGACCAGGACGACTACGAGGTGGTGCGCAAGGTGGGGCGGGGAAAGTACAGCGAGGTGTTTGAGGGGGTCAACGCGGTCAACAGCGAGAAGTGCATCATTAAGATCCTCAAACCCGTCAAGAAGAAGAAGGTGAGCGCACTTTGAAGGGGTGAACACACTCAACGCGGTCAACGCGGTCAACAACGCGGTCAACAGCGAGAAGTGAATGCATGCATCCCCTGGGCCCAACCCAACCCAACATCATCCGTCTGCTGGACATTACCTGCCCTCCCCAACCCCCATCCCAACCACCACCTCCCCTCCCGTTGTTCCACCCCCATCCTCGATCGCCCTTATCCCCCCCCATGTGCCACACCACACACACCAGATCAAGCGGGAGATCAAGATTCTGCAGAACCTGTGTGGCGGGCCCAACATCATCCACCTGCTGGACATTGTGCGCGACCCGCAGAGCAAGACGCCGACGCTGGAGTTCCACCCCGCTGTCCCCTCCCCACTCCTCCCCCCACAGTCCCAAGACGCGGTCACTCCTCTCTCACCCTGCCGCGCCCTTCTCTCCCTCTCTCCCCCTTTTCCCTGCGCTCCAACCACCACCAGATCAAACGAGAAAATCAAATCTTGCAGAACCTGTGTGGCGCTGCTTGACATCGTGCGCGACCCTTCCACCCCTCCCTCCCTCTATCCCTGTATCCCTTCTCTCAAACAGATTAAGCTGGAAATTAAAATCCTGCAGAACCTGTGCGGCGGGCCCAACATCATCCGCCTGCTGGACATTGTGCGCGACCCGCAGAGCAAAACGCCGTCACTGGTGTTTGTGCCCCCTATCCCCGCGCTCCACCCACCACCAGATCAAACGTGAAATCAAGATTCTGCAGAACCTGTGCAGGGGGCCCAACATCATCCGCCTGCTGGACATCGTGCGCGACCCGCAGAGCAAGACGCCCTCCCCCTCTCGTCTTCCTTCCCCATCTGCTTTCCCCCCCAAACCAGATCAAGAGAGAAATCAAGATCCTGCAGAACCTGTGCGGCGGGCCCAACATCATTCGCCTGCTGGACATTGTGCGGGACCCGCAGAGCAAGACCCCCTCACTCATCTTTGAGTTTGTGAACAACACCGACTTCAAAGTGCTCTACCCCACGCTCTCTGATTACGATATCCGCTACTACATCTACGAGCTGCTTAAGGTGCGCTTATAGGGCTGTGGCCGTGTGGATGTGTCCATGCATGCATTCACGCGTTTGTTCTTGCTCATGATGCCTTACGTTGCCCTTCGTCCGTTCCGCTTGTTCCCTTCCCGTGCATGCCCCCCCCGCCCGCCAGGCGTTGGATTTCTGCCACTCCCAGGGCAGCATGCACCCCCTCTTATGTGCCCTTGCATTACTACCCCGGATCCCCTGTCTCCCACCAGGCGTTGGACTTCTGCCACTCACAGGGCAGCATGCACCCCCTCTTATGTGCCCTTGCATTACTACCCCGGATCCCCTGTCTCCCACCAGGCGTTGGACTTCTGCCACTCACAGGGCAGCATGCACCCCCTCTTATGTGCCCTTGCATTACTACCCCGGATCCCCTGTCTCCCACCAGGCGTTGGACTTCTGCCACTCACAGGGCAGCATGCACCCCCTCTTATGTGCCCTTGCATTACTACCCCGGATCCCCTGTCTCCCACCAGGCGTTGGACTTCTGCCACTCACAGGGCAGCATGCACCCCCTCTTATGTGCCCTTGCATTACTACCCCGGATCCCCTGTCTCCCACCAGGCGTTGGACTTCTGCCACTCACAGGGCAGCATGCACCCCCTCTTATGTGCCCTTGCATTACTACCCCGGATCCCCTGTCTCCCACCAGGCGTTGGACTTCTGCCACTCACAGGGCAGCATGCACCCCCTCTTATGTGCCCTTGCATTACTACCCCGGATCCCCTGTCTCCCACCAGGCGTTGGACTTCTGCCACTCACAGGGCAGCATGCACCCCCTCTTATGTGCCCTTGCATTACTACCCCGGATCCCCTGTCTCCCACCAGGCGTTGGACTTCTGCCACTCACAGGGCAGCATGCACCCCCTCTTATGTGCCCTTGCATTACTACCCCGGATCCCCTGTCTCCCACCAGGCGTTGGACTTCTGCCACTCACAGGGCAGCATGCACCCCCTCTTATGTGCCCTTGCATTACTACCCCGGATCCCCTGTCTCCCACCAGGCGTTGGACTTCTGCCACTCACAGGGCAGCATGCACCCCCTCTTATGTGCCCTTGCATTACTACCCCGGATCCCCTGTCTCCCACCAGGCGTTGGACTTCTGCCACTCACAGGGCAGCATGCACCCCCTCTTATGTGCCCTTGCATTACTACCCCGGATCCCCTGTCTCCCACCAGGCGTTGGACTTCTGCCACTCACAGGGCAGCATGCACCCCCTCTTATGTGCCCTTGCATTACTACCCCGGATCCCCTGTCTCCCACCAGGCGTTGGACTTCTGCCACTCACAGGGCAGCATGCACCCCCTCTTATGTGCCCTTGCATTACTACCCCGGATCCCCTGTCTCCCACCAGGCGTTGGACTTCTGCCACTCACAGGGCAGCATGCACCCCCTCTTATGTGCCCTTGCATTACTACCCCGGATCCCCTGTCTCCCACCAGGCGTTGGACTTCTGCCACTCACAGGGCAGCATGCACCCCCTCTTATGTGCCCTTGCATTACTACCCCGGATCCCCTGTCTCCCACCAGGCGTTGGACTTCTGCCACTCACAGGGCAGCATGCACCCCCTCTTATGTGCCCTTGCATTACTACCCCGGATCCCCTGTCTCCCACCAGGCGTTGGACTTCTGCCACTCACAGGGCAGCATGCACCCCCTCTTATGTGCCCTTGCATTACTACCCCGGATCCCCTGTCTCCCACCAGGCGTTGGACTTCTGCCACTCACAGGGCAGCATGCACCCCCTCTTATGTGCCCTTGCATTACTACCCCGGATCCCCTGTCTCCCACCAGGCGTTGGACTTCTGCCACTCACAGGGCAGCATGCACCCCCTCTTATGTGCCCTTGCATTACTACCCCGGATCCCCTGTCTCCCACCAGGCGTTGGACTTCTGCCACTCACAGGGCAGCATGCACCCCCTCTTATGTGCCCTTGCATTACTACCCCGGATCCCCTGTCTCCCACCAGGCGTTGGACTTCTGCCACTCACAGGGCAGCATGCACCCCCTCTTATGTGCCCTTGCATTACTACCCCGGATCCCCTGTCTCCCACCAGGCGTTGGACTTCTGCCACTCACAGGGCAGCATGCACCCCCTCTTATGTGCCCTTGCATTACTACCCCGGATCCCCTGTCTCCCACCAGGCGTTGGACTTCTGCCACTCACAGGGCAGCATGCACCCCCTCTTATGTGCCCTTGCATTACTACCCCGGATCCCCTGTCTCCCACCAGGCGTTGGACTTCTGCCACTCACAGGGCAGCATGCACCCCCTCTTATGTGCCCTTGCATTACTACCCCGGATCCCCTGTCTCCCACCAGGCGTTGGACTTCTGCCACTCACAGGGCAGCATGCACCCCCTCTTATGTGCCCTTGCATTACTACCCCGGATCCCCTGTCTCCCACCAGGCGTTGGACTTCTGCCACTCACAGGGCAGCATGCACCCCCTCTTATGTGCCCTTGCATTACTACCCCGGATCCCCTGTCTCCCACCAGGCGTTGGACTTCTGCCACTCACAGGGCAGCGTGCACCCCCTCTTATGTGCCCTTGCATTACTACCCCGGATCCCCTGTCTCCCACCAGGCGTTGGACTTCTGCCACTCACAGGGCAGCATGCACCCCCTCTTATGTGCCCTTGCATTACTACCCCGGATCCCCTGTCTCCCACCAGGCGTTGGACTTCTGCCACTCACAGGGCAGCATGCACCCCCTCTTATGTGCCCTTGCATTACTACCCCGGATCCCCTGTCTCCCACCAGGCGTTGGACTTCTGCCACTCACAGGGCAGCATGCACCCCCTCTTATGTGCCCTTGCATTACTACCCCGGATCCCCTGTCTCCCACCAGGCGTTGGACTTCTGCCACTCACAGGGCAGCATGCACCCCCTCTTATGTGCCCTTGCATTACTACCCCGGATCCCCTGTCTCCCACCAGGCGTTGGACTTCTGCCACTCACAGGGCAGCATGCACCCCCTCTTATGTGCCCTTGCATTACTACCCCGGATCCCCTGTCTCCCACCAGGCGTTGGACTTCTGCCACTCACAGGGCAGCATGCACCCCCTCTTATGTGCCCTTGCATTACTACCCCGGATCCCCTGTCTCCCACCAGGCGTTGGACTTCTGCCACTCACAGGGCAGCATGCACCCCCTCTTATGTGCCCTTGCATTACTACCCCGGATCCCCTGTCTCCCACCAGGCGTTGGACTTCTGCCACTCACAGGGCAGCATGCACCCCCTCTTATGTGCCCTTGCATTACTACCCCGGATCCCCTGTCTCCCACCAGGCGTTGGACTTCTGCCACTCACAGGGCAGCATGCACCCCCTCTTATGTGCCCTTGCATTACTACCCCGGATCCCCTGTCTCCCACCAGGCGTTGGACTTCTGCCACTCACAGGGCAGCATGCACCCCCTCTTATGTGCCCTTGCATTACTACCCCGGATCCCCTGTCTCCCACCAGGCGTTGGACTTCTGCCACTCACAGGGCAGCATGCACCCCCTCTTATGTGCCCTTGCATTACTACCCCGGATCCCCTGTCTCCCACCAGGCGTTGGACTTCTGCCACTCACAGGGCAGCATGCACCCCCTCTTATGTGCCCTTGCATTACTACCCCGGATCCCCTGTCTCCCACCAGGCGTTGGACTTCTGCCACTCACAGGGTAGCATGCACCCCCTCTTATGTGCCCTTGCATTACTACCCCGGATCCCCTGTCTCCCACCAGGCGTTGGACTTCTGCCACTCACAGGGCAGCATGCACCCCCTCTTATGTGCCCTTGCATTACTACCCCGGATCCCCTGTCTCCCACCAGGCGTTGGACTTCTGCCACTCACAGGGCAGCATGCACCCCCTCTTATGTGCCCTTGCATTACTACCCCGGATCCCCTGTCTCCCACCAGGCGTTGGACTTCTGCCACTCACAGGGCAGCATGCACCCCCTCTTATGTGCCCTTGCATTACTACCCCGGATCCCCTGTCTCCCACCAGGCGTTGGACTTCTGCCACTCACAGGGCAGCATGCACCCCCTCTTATGTGCCCTTGCATTACTACCCCGGATCCCCTGTCTCCCACCAGGCGTTGGACTTCTGCCACTCACAGGGCAGCATGCACCCCCTCTTATGTGCCCTTGCATTACTACCCCGGATCCCCTGTCTCCCACCAGGCGTTGGACTTCTGCCACTCACAGGGCAGCATGCACCCCCTCTTATGTGCCCTTGCATTACTACCCCGGATCCCCTGTCTCCCACCAGGCGTTGGACTTCTGCCACTCACAGGGCAGCATGCACCCCCTCTTATGTGCCCTTGCATTACTACCCCGGATCCCCTGTCTCCCACCAGGCGTTGGACTTCTGCCACTCACAGGGCAGCATGCACCCCCTCTTATGTGCCCTTGCATTACTACCCCGGATCCCCTGTCTCCCACCAGGCGTTGGACTTCTGCCACTCACAGGGCAGCATGCACCCCCTCTTATGTGCCCTTGCATTACTACCCCGGATCCCCTGTCTCCCACCAGGCGTTGGACTTCTGCCACTCACAGGGCAGCATGCACCCCCTCTTATGTGCCCTTGCATTACTACCCCGGATCCCCTGTCTCCCACCAGGCGTTGGACTTCTGCCACTCACAGGGCAGCATGCACCCCCTCTTATGTGCCCTTGCATTACTACCCCGGATCCCCTGTCTCCCACCAGGCGTTGGACTTCTGCCACTCACAGGGCAGCATGCACCCCCTCTTATGTGCCCTTGCATTACTACCCCGGATCCCCTGTCTCCCACCAGGCGTTGGACTTCTGCCACTCACAGGGCAGCATGCACCCCCTCTTATGTGCCCTTGCATTACTACCCCGGATCCCCTGTCTCCCACCAGGCGTTGGACTTCTGCCACTCACAGGGCAGCATGCACCCCCTCTTATGTGCCCTTGCATTACTACCCCGGATCCCCTGTCTCCCACCAGGCGTTGGACTTCTGCCACTCACAGGGTAGCATGCACCCCCTCTTATGTGCCCTTGCATTACTACCCCGGATCCCCTGTCTCCCACCAGGCGTTGGACTTCTGCCACTCACAGGGCAGCATGCACCCCCTCTTATGTGCCCTTGCATTACTACCCCGGATCCCCTGTCTCCCACCAGGCGTTGGACTTCTGCCACTCACAGGGCAGCATGCATCGGGACGTGAAGCCACACAACGTGATGATCGACCACGAGCAGAGGAAGCTGAGGCTGATCGACTGGGGCCTGGCGGAGTTCTACCACCCCAACAAGGAGTACAATGTTCGCGTTGCGTCCAGGTCTGGTGTACGGCGTGCATGCATGTGATGTTTTATTGCGTGTAGGCATGTGATTCAGCATGGTGCGCCTCATTGACTGGGGCCTGGCGGAGTTCCACCACCCCAACAAGGAGTACAATGTTCGCGTTGCGTCCAGGTCAGTCAGTTGTTGTGCTACGGCAGTGTGGCAGTGACTGTTATGTTCTTGGGTGCGTGAAAGCACGAGCAGCGCAAGCTGCGGCTCATTGACTGGGGGCTGGCGGAGTTCTTCCACCCCAACAAGGAATACAATGTTCGCGTTGCGTCCAGTCCAGTCCAGGTTTGGTGTGCATGCATGTGATGTGACGCATCTTGTTATGTCTAGGTGCGTGCGACTGGGGGCTGGCGGAGTTCCACCACCCCAACAAGGAATACAACGTTCGGATGGCGTCGAGGTCAGTCAGTTCTGCTGCGACACGGTACGCACGCACGCTGTATCACGTGCACACATGTGATGCACCTTGGAATGCCTAGACGCATGTGACTCGGGCTGGCGGAATTCTACCACCCCAGCAAGGAGTACAACGTTCGCGTGGCGTCCGTCCAGGTATCGTGTACTGTACGGTATGCAGGCATGGCATGTGGCGCATCTTGGTATGCCTGGGTGGGTGCAGTGCAGTGTAACTGAGGGCTGACAGAGTTGTTGTACTGTCTGTACCATCCCAGCAAGCAGTACAGCGTGCGCGTAGCGTCCAGGTGCGCTGAGCTGAGCTGTATGGCGTGCAGGAAGGAACGTGACGCATCATGAAGGTGGTGCACGGTGAGTGAGTCAGCATCGTGAAGGTGTTTGCGTCTCTTCGTGCTCCCCTCCCCTCCCTATCCCCGCAGCAGGTACTTCAAGGGCCCCGAGCTCCTAGTGGGCCTGCAGGACTACGATTACTCGCTTGACATGTGCCACACTCACCGCCCCTGTAACCCTCTGTCCCCCCTGCTGCTCCCCGCTGCAGGTACTTCAAGGGCCCCGAGCTGCTAGTGAACCTGCAGGATTACGACTACTCGCTGGACATGCAGCGTTCCTCTCAACACCACCATATCTCCCTCCCCTCCCATGTCCTTGTGTGCCAATCCTGCGCCTCTCCCTCCGCAGGTACTTCAAGGGGCCCGAGCTGCTAGTGGACCTGCAGGACTACGACTACTCGCTCGACATGTGGAGCCTTGGCTGCATGTTTGCTGGCATGGTGAGCCGTGGGTTGGGGGCATGGTGAGCTGTGGGGGGCGTGGTGAGAGCACGGAGCATGCTGTGCATGCATGTAAGCAGTGGAGTGGACCTGCAGGATTATGATTACTCGCTCGACATGTGGAGTCTTGGGTGCATGTTCGCTGGCATGGTGAGCCGCGGGTGCATGGTGAAAAGTGGGGGGCATGGTGAGCTTTGGAGGGCATGGTGGAAGCACTGAGCATGGGGGGTGCATGCGTGTAAGCAGTGGACCTGCAGGACTACGACTACTCGCTGGATATGTGGAGCCTTGGCTGCATGTTCGCTGGCATGGTGGGTGTGGGGGCATTGTGGCTGTGGGGGCATGGTGGTGAGCTGTGGGTGCATGTAAGGAGTATAGCAATACCGGACTGTATTTGTCTTGTCGCCTGAGTGGTTCTGTGTAAACTATCACTGCTCTCCCCTTTTCCCCACTCATCTCCCCCTCGCTTCTCATTTCCCACTGCCCAAGGATGGCCGCTCCTTCCCTACAACCATGATGCTGCAGGGTGTTTTTGAGAATTCTCAAAAACACACTGCCCAACCCAAGGATGGCCGCTCCGCTCCTTCCCTACAACCATGCATGTGCTGCTGCTCACTGTTTAGGAGCTCACTGCTCACATATTCCGCAGCGAGCTGAGCTCCTGTTGACGCCCACTGTTCACCGTCTTCTCCCTACGGTCCCACCCCACCCCAACCCCCCTCTCCCGGTTCCCGCTGCCCCTGCCCGTTCCTTCTCTCCCCATGCCCCATCCCCCGTGTGTGCGCGCAAATATTCCGCAAGGAGCCCTGCTTCTATGGCCACGATTGACCCTCACCTCACCCTCCCAATCCTGCCCATCCCTTCATTACCCCCGTGCGTGCGCGCAGATATTCCGCAAGGAGCCTCTCTTCTACGGCCACGACAACTACGACCAGCTCGTCAAAATCGCCCCACCCCACCCCACCCCACCCCATCTCTCCCCGTTCCCGCTGCCTCTGCCCCTGCCCTTCTCTCCCCGTGCCCCGTGCCCCATGCCCCGTGGCCCATGCATGCGTGTATGGATCAGATATTCCGCAAGGAGCCATTCTTCTACGGCCACGACAACTACGACCAGCTTGTCAAAATCGCCAAGGTGCGTGCCAGACCAGACCTGACCCGGGGTGACTGTGGTGGGTAGGCTAGGCTGTGGGCTTGCATCTTTAGACCCAATCTCTTGGCGTCATGGAAAGCAGGGGCGATTCTGTGCTTGCTGTCTGACCGTGACTGACTGACTGACTGACTGAGGCCGACTGCCTGACTGACTGATTCACTACGACCAACTGACCGACTCTGACTCTGACTGCGACTGCGACTGAGGGAGAGGCCAGCCAAGGTACTGTTCATGCGCACATGTTGCATCATGAAGGTGGTGCACAGCGGGGCACGGCATGGGTGGCACCTGGCTGTCCGATCAGACCTGCTCCTCCCTCCTGGCTGATTAACCATTGATCATTACCGGGATGATCTCGCTTGGCTATTCAGATCAGATTGCCACCGTCCAGTCTGAGAGCTGCGAGCACCAATGTTTCCTGCGAGGAAGCTCCTCTTCTACAGACTCTCGGTGACATGCTTGGTTGGCTTGGGAGGAATTCAGTGCTCCCAAGCCAAGCATGGGAGCACACCGTATGCCTCTCTCATCTCACTGCCCCCTTTCCTGGTCCCATTTTTTTCTACTCACTTTCCTGCTTCCCATCGTGACACTCTCAGGTGCCGGGAACGGACGAGCTGAAGAGCTATCTGGGCATTTACAGCATCATGCTGGACCCTCGTCTTAGCACACACCTCACTCATATCACCCCATGTCACTTATTGACTACAGGTCCTGGGCACGGACGAGCTGAACAGCTACCTGGGCAAGTACAGCATCATGCTGGTCCCGCGTCTCAACACGCCTACCAATCCTTATCCTCTGCCCACTGCCCCACTCCCTATCGGCCCTCTGCCCCATGCCTCTCAGGTGCTTGGCACGGACGAGCTGAACAGATAGCTGGGCAGCATCATGTTGGACCCACACCCTAACTTATCCCTCACTCACTCCCTGGTGCCCCACTGCCTGCCATCCCCCTCCCCCACTCCTTGGCAGGTGCTGGGAACGGATGAGTTGAACAGCTACCTGGGCAAGTACAGCATCATGCTGGACCCGCATCTGGAGGCGCTGGTGGGGCGGCACAGCCGCAAGCCATGGTCCAAGTTTGTCAACAGCGACAACCAGCACCTCGTGTCGCCCGAGGTATGAGGGGTGTTGGGGTGTTTGAGATGCGTTATACTTTGCTCAAAGCTGGTGGGGAGGCACAGCCGCAAGCCGTGGTCCAAGTTCGTTAACAGCGACAACCAGCACCTCGTGTCACCCGAGGTAAGGGTTTCCGGAAGACTTATATTGAGTTGCAAGAAGCAGCACACTGTCTCCTTAGAGGTACACGCGCGCCATGCCTTTCCCCGGTGGTACGAGAAAGTGGCACTGGCAGCGTGGCGTTTAGTCTGTCACACGGAGCAACTCTGCTGCATGTTGCATGTGCCACTGCGGAGCATCTCCTGCCTTTTTCCCATTCGCCCCTGCCTTTTTCTCATCTCCCCTCTCCTTTCTCCCCCATCTCCACCTGTCTCTGTCTCTTTCTGCGCATTGCCGCCCGTTGCCGCCCACTCTCTGCAACACCCGGTGGGCAGGCTGTGGACTTTCTGGACAAGCTGCTGCGGTACGACCACCAGGACCGGCTCACAGCGAGAGAGGCCATGGTGGGTGCTGCTAATGGGGTGGATTAAGGGTTGGTAAAGGCTCAATAAGGGGTTGATAAGGGGTTGGTAAGGGCTTAAGAAGGGGTTGATAAGGGGTTGGTAAGGGCTCAATAAGGGGTTGATAAGGTTTTGGTAAGGGCTCAATATGGGGTTGATAAGGGGTTGGTAAGGTATTGATGATGAAGGGCTGTTGAGTTCTGGACAAGCTGCTGCGGTACGACCACCAGGACTGGCTCACAGCACAAGAGGCCATGGTGGGTGCTGCTAATGGGGTGGACTAGGGGTTGGTAAGGGCTTAATAAGGGGTTGGGATGGGATCGATCAGGAAGGGCAGTTGAGTCCTGGGCTTGCTGCTGCGGTACGACCACCAGGACCGACTCACAGGACGAGAGGCCATGGTGGGTGCTGCTGAGATATTCACTAGGGACGTTAGTGTAAGGGGGTGGATAAGGGTGGGTTGTTGAGTTTCTGATCGTGCACCTGCAAGAGAGGCTGTGGTGGGTGGTGGAGGGGCGGTGTATGTCTACAGTGGTGATATGGGAGGGTGATATTAATGTAGTAACCAGGTGGGTGGTGTCAAAGCCATGTTCAGTTGTGTGAGTTGCTATGCTAGCGTGGTCTCTTCATGTCGGATTTTTTTTTTCCGCCTTTTTCTTTCTCCATATTTTCTCTTATTATTTCTCTCTGGATCTTCATGTGTCATCTCATTTCCATACCCACTTTCTATCGTGTCCTCCTTGTGCAGGCCCATCCGTATTTCTACCGTGTACGGCAACAGGAGGCACAGGCAGGCAGGCATAACTAGTGGCCCGTCGCAAGAGATTGCCCACAGCTGGCATGATGCTATGCCATTTGTTGCTCGATAATATCTGTTAAATAAATGATAAGGTCACAGTTTGTTTTTGTTTTCTGTATGGCTTTTAAACGCATATTTTTCTATGTCTACACTCTGGCTTGGCGATGCATGCACCGCACCGAGTCACGCGCGCCTCCAGCCCGCCCGCGCACACTCTTTATTGCCTCCGCCCGCGTATTCGCTTGCACCTGTCGTGAGCTGTTCGGGGATTGGCGGAAACTTCTCGCACCAGTGCTGCATCCGCGCGCGGGTTTCAGTGTTGCAGCTCCTCCTCTTTCCTCCTCCTCCCCATCCCCCACCCCCTCGCCCCCAACTTCCCAGCTTTTGCTGACCTTCTAGATTCTCCCATACCTTTCCTCGTTCAATTTCGTCGAGTTTACAGCACAAATCCCTTTCACTCGCGAGCTAGTTATGGCTGCTCCCGCCGCCTCCTTGAGCGCATCGCAGCATCTTTGCCGCCTGAACGTCGCACTTCCGGCCGCAGTAGCCCGTGGTAGCGTGCGCGAGCTTAGAGCTACGCCAGTGCGCGGGAAGGGGCTGAAGGCGAGTACGCGCGGAAGCGATTGGAGGAAGGCAGCAGCAGCGGGAGGGAGCGCGCGACTGGGGTGCCGTGCGATGGCGAGCGAGGTGAGCGACGGCTGGCGACGGCGGCTGTGCTGTGCGACGTGAGCGATTTCGACGATGCATGTAGACGAGTAGTAACAGCGATCCACCATCCTGCCATCCGTGATTTTCGTCTCTCAATCTTCTTTTCATACATGACTCACCCTCGCGCGCCTCGCGTTTTTCCCGCTCCCGCTCTCCCCGCTCTCCCCGCTCTCCCCGCGCTCGCTGCGCCCTCCCCGTTCTCCTCGTTCTCCGCGCTCCCGCGCTCCCCGCATTCCCCTCGCTTACGCACTCCCCGCGTTCTCCGCGCTCCGCGCTCCTCTGCGCCTTTCATCTCCCCAGGGCGGTTCCGCCACAACGGTTTCGGCGCCATCCGCGGCCACGCAGCTTCCCGACCTCATGGTATGACGTGGCATGCCTGACGTGGCATACTGGGTTCGACGTGGCACGAATAGGAATGGCGTGTAGATCACTACGCACACGGCCCTCACAAGCAGGTCGTGTCAAATCGTTTTGCTGCAAGAAAATTGAGAGACGTTTTTCTCGTGAATCCTCAAGAGTGTCGCGAGACGCGTTAGCTGTTGTCCCAAGCCAACGAATGTGAACTTTCTGCGAGGCGCCTCAAAATGACGATTTTCCATAGCTATGATTCTACCAATGCTTTTGTTGACGGGTTGTAAGAAAAGGTGTTTCTCTCTCACTGCCCTTCCGCCACACCTCCCCCCCAACCCCCCCCCCCCCCCCCCCCCCCCTAACCCTACCCCCAACCACTTGACCCCTCAGTCTCGCTGAGTGAAGAACCTTGTGCTTCCCATGCCTCTCCTCCCTTCATCCCCAATTTCTCTCCCTCCTCCGACCCCGTCCCTCGACCGTTCCTCCCCTCCTCCCTCCCCTCCTCCCTCCCTTCCTCCCTCCCTTCCCTCTCCTCCCCTTGGTCCCTCGCGCCGCAGACTGAGTGCAGGGTGGGCATAACCTGCCAGAGCTGCGTATAAGACACAGAGCATAACCCACCGGGAGGAAGGGCATGGTGCTCCTGGGAGCTGCGTCATAGCATGTCCCGGGCCTCACCCCCCTTGCTCCATCATGGAGCTCTGTGTTCCCCATGCCCTTCCTCCCGCCCCCCCTTGCCCTCCTCTCCCCCCTCCTCGTCTCTCACAGACGGAGTTCATGGTGGACATGTCGTGCCAGAGCTGCGTCAAGAGCTCTGTGCTCCCCGTTCCCATTCTTCCCCGCCTCCTCTTTCCTTCCCCCCCCCCCTCCCCCCCCTTCGCCTCGTCTCCCCACAGACGGAGTTCATGGTCGACATGAGCTGCCAGAGCTGCGTCAAGAACGTTATACCCCCCATATCGTTCGTCCGTATCATACCACTAACTCTCCCCCTCCCCCTCCCCCTCCCCCTGCCCCTGTCTCGCCTCGCAGACGGAGTTCATGGCGGAAATGTCGTGCCAGAGCTGCGTCAAGAGCTCTGTGCTCCCCATGCCCATCCCCCCATCCTCCTCCTTCCCCTCCTCCCATCCTCACCTCCCTCCTATCATCTCTCGCAGACGGAGTTCATGGTGGACATGTCCTGCCAGAGCTGCGTCAAGAACGTGCGGGGGAAGCTGGAGCCTCTGGAAGGTGAGATGGATGGAAGCATGAGATGAATGTGTGTGAACCGGTGCAAGGTGGGTGGAGCCTTTTCCCCTTTTCCCCCTTTCACACAATGCCCCCTCCCGCCCCCGCACCCCCTGCCTCTCCCCACCCCCTGCCTCTCCCCACCCCCTGCCTCTCTCCCCACCCGCGATCTCTTCAGGAGTGAAGGAGCTATGAGGTGGTGGTGGGGGTGCTTCTGTTGAGCAGATGCCTAATTATTTGATATCTATCTGACAAGGTTCTTGCCACTTGGAGTCAACTTTTGAGGTGCCTCAAAAGACTTCTGTTGAGCAGATGCCTATTTATTTGATAAGGTTCTTGCCACTTGGAGTCATCACACATTGCCGCCGCCTGCCACCCCCCTGTGTCCCTCGCTTCCCTCTTTCCCTCACTTCCTCTCCTCCTCCTCTCCCCTCACCCCCTCTCCATGTCTCACCAACCGTGAAAGCGGTGGGCATCAGTCTGGAGTCGCAGGTGGTGCTCGTGTTGGGGAGTGCCACGCTAGTCTGTGCTCCCCTCTCACTTCCTTCACTCTCCTCACCCCCCTCACCCCCTCTCTCCATCTCCCATCAGGCGTCAAGCTGGTGGGCATCAGTCTGGAGTCGCAGGTGGTGCTCGTGTTGGGGAGTGCCACGTTGGTCCATCTTCACCCCTCACTCCCCTCACTTCCCTCATCATCTCTCTCCCTCGCTCCGCCCCCATCTCCATCTCTGACCAGACGTGAATTGAAGTCAGTGGGGGCATCGGTCTGGAGTCCCAGGTGGTGCGCGACGTTGGGGAGTGTGACGCTGCCGCTTGGTCTGTCATCCCGCTCCCCTCACTCCCCTCATTCCCTCTCTCCCTCTCTCTGCATCTCCCTCCAGTCATTAAGGCAGTGGACATCAGCCTGGAGTCGCAGGTGGTGCGTGCGAGTCTTGGGCCCACACTAGTCCGGTTACGTGTGTGCACACTCCGCCAAGTATATATCATCTCTTTCTGCCATGCATTCCCTCCCTCCCTCCCTTTCCTGCCTCCCTCCCCTGCAGGCTGGAGCGCAAGCCAGACACACCAGCGACACAGCTGCGGCCCAGGGGTGCTCCATACGGGTGTACTGTACACACTCTTCTGGATTGGATTCTCGTCCTCGTGCCTTTGTTCCCTCCCTCCCCCATGCCCTCCCCTGCAGGCTGGAGCGCAAGCCAGACACGCCAGCAACACAGCTGCGGCCCAGGGGTGCTCCTCTGCTTTCCTGATTCATTGCTGAAGGGGCATATCTTGTTGACCCCACTGCCCCTGCTCTCACAAGATTTACGACTTGCCTATTCAAGACAGCAGTGCCTGGATTCTGGTAGACAATCTGGTGATTTGTGTGAAGGAAGGAAATATCTGAGCCTTAATCAGAATGGCTCAAACACGCATATGTTTGAACATTGATTTTAACTGATCAGCAGGCGTTGGGCACAGCGAATCGGCAATAACGGTAGGGAGAGCAGAAGATACCTTTAATTGCCAAGTGATATTACACATCGAGCCTTAAAAGAGATACTGTAATACATGATACATATTTTACCTTGAACTGTAATTCCTTAATGTAGGATGTACTCTAGGGAGTACGTTCCGGGGTTCTCGCGTCAGCGGGTTCGGCGTACATTTTCGCTCCGAACCACTTCCGAATCGCCACCACACATTTCGCCACCTTCCCGAGCCTCGTTTACCCCGAGCTTCTCGCCTCGTTTTTGCCTATTTCTAACCTCGTTATTCGTCCATTCAGTACTATCTAATCCTTTCTACCCTCGCCTTTGTGATATACTTTCTCGTAAAACTTCCCGACAAGTATCTCTTATAGAAGCATACTGTTGCCTCTCGAGATATTCGTGCAACTGGAAGCGTACGACGCAGTGGTGGTATCGCTGAGTTTGCGCGTTACTTGCACTGGTCTCGGTCGTAAGCACGTCTTTATGCGTCAGTAGCACCTCGCTGACACTGCAGCGGCTGGCTGTGGTGAATCTGTTGCTTTGTGCGACACTAGCGAGAGGGAGGAAATGGATGGTCCTGACATGAAGGGTAACAGGGGGGTTGAGATGGACGGTCAGGATGAACATATGACTGACGACAACGACTTAGATGCAGCTGAGACAAGGAAAGAGGAGATGGAACCTGCTCGTAGAGGCGCTGGCGAAATTGACCCAGGTAACACTGGCGAAACAGGTCCTAGTAGTGGCGAAATGGACCCTAGTAACACTGGCGAAATGGACCCTACTATGGACCCTAGTAACACTGGCGAACCTGACCCCGGTAGCATTGCGGTGCTGAAAAAAGTTGACAAAAGCGTCAGGACGGCGGGTGAGGCTGAAACGCAGGGAGATGAGAGAGGAACTAGTAAGGACGAGAAGATCGAGGCAGGAGGAGCGGAAGCAGACGGAGGTGAGAGGGGATCAGCGGGAAGACGCGGAGACGAGAGGGAAGCTGGGGAAGAGGAGCGGGGTGAGGAGCGGCAGGGCGAAGGCACCCCCAGAAGAAACGCTCGGGTTGAAGGACATGAGGAAGGGAAGCAGCAGCAGCAGCAGCAGCAGCAGCAGCAGCAGGAAGGAGAGCAGCAGGAGAAAGACAGACAGCCGGAGCAGGAGGAGCAGGAGGAGAATGAGGATGAAGAGGAGGAACAGGACGAGAAGCAGCAGCTAGTGGGCGCTAGGGAGAGCAGTAGGAAGGGCGACAGGGACGGCGGCGGCGGCAGCGGAGTGAAGCGGGGGCTACGATCTGTGATGGCGGGGCGGTTCCAGCACTACTCCGCGCTCAAGAGCAAGCGCCGGCGGCGGCTGGAGCAGAGAAGCTTCCAGGAGTTCTTTCTTGCAGGGGGGGAAGGGGAGGAGGCGGGGGAAGCGGAAGGGGAGAGGGGGGATGCGCAGGGGATGGGTGGGGGAGAGGGGGATGGAGTATTGATGGAACACGGGGAGGGGGATGGAGTGAGCGAAGGGGAAGGGGAGGAGGATGAGGTTGGTGTTGTTGTGGGGGAGGATGAAGGGGATGGGGACGGGGGGAGTGAGAGTGATGGGGTGGAGGAGGTAGAGCAGGAGGAGGGAGAGGAGGGCGAGGGAGGGGAGGAGAAGGAGGAGGAGGAGATGAAAGAAAGCGGAGCTCTAGAGGGGGAGAGGAAAGAGGAAGGGGACGAGGAAGGGCGGTTGGCAGAAGAGAGGGACGGGATGGTTGAGGAGGTAGGTGATAAGGGTTTGGAAACAGCAGAGAGTGGAGCGGATAAGCTACGAGGTTCTCGGAAAGCTGTGGTGGGGAAGAGGGAGGAGAAAAGGCGAGAGAGGGAAGGGAAGGCACAGCCAATCGTGGAGCAGGAGAAAGGCGAGGGGCAGAGGACACTGAGAAGGAGAGAACAACCAAAACGAACCCAGCAGAGCAGGCAACCGCAGCAGCAACAGCAGCAGCAGCAGCCACAGCAGAAGCAGCAGAGGCGGCAGGGGAAGAAGCAGACGGGTAAAGCGAAGCAGGCAGCAGCGGCGAAAGCAAAGGCCGGGCGAGCAGCAGCAGCAAAGGCAAAGCGGGAGGCGGAGCGGCAGGAGGAGCACGATGCAGAGGTGGCACGGGCTGTAGGGTTTCCACCGGATGGGCTGAGGGAGGATGAGGAGGAGGCGGGTGTGGTTCGCAGTGGCACGGGCGGCAGTGGGGAGGAGGGCGTGTATGTGCGCATGCGCAACCGTATTCTGGCTCTGTGGAGGCGGAATGTGAACGGGTGGATACACGAGGACAAGGTAGGGAAGGAGAGAAAGAATGAGATAGCGAGAGAGAGCTGGCAGTGGGGAGGAGGGCGTGTATGTGCGCATGCGCAACCGTATTCTGGCTCTGTGGAGGCGGAATGTGAACGGGTGGATACACGAGGACAAGGTAGGGAAGGAGAGAAAGAATGAGATAGCGAGAGAGAGCTGGCAGTGGGGAGGAGGGCGTGTATGTGCGCATGAGAAACCGGATTTTGGCGCTTTGGAGGCGGAATGTGAATGGGTGGATACACGAGGACAAGGTAAGTCGAGAGAGGGGTGAGGATGGGGGAATGGCGAAGAGCATGAGGGAGTGTGTGTATGTATGTGCCCATGCCCCTTCATCCCCCAAACCCTCCTTTCCCTCTTTTTCCCCTCCCCTATCCCGCGTCTCCAGCTAATAAGCAGCACACCAGCACACGAGCGCAAGGCAGCAAGAGCAGCCTTCACCTTTCTGCACCTGCGCGGCTTTATCAACTGGAACCCGTCTTTCTCCCTCCTTCCCCCTCTCTCCTCCTCTCTATTGCCCTCCCTCCCACCTCCCGCTTCTCCAGCTATTGAGCAGCACACCGGCATACGAGCGAGAGGCCACGAGAGCAGCCTTCACCTTTCTGCACCTGCGCGGCTTTATCAACTGGGGCCTCTCCCGCACAGCCACTGCTGCCATCCCTCGCCGCCCCTCCCTGCCCCACGTCGTCATTCTCGGTGCCGGGCTGGCAGGCCTTGCAGCAGCGCGCCAACTACTGGCCCTGGGCCACCGGTGAGTGCTGCGGTTGAGTGCGTTTCTTAGGCGCTTAAACTAACATCAACTGGGTGCGGTCTCTCTCGCACAGCCACTGCTGCCATCCCTCGTCGCCCCTCCCTGCCGCACGTCATTGTTTCTCGGCGCCGGCCTTGTGGGCCCTGCAGCTGCACGGCAGCTGCTCGCACTGGGCCACCGGTGAGTGCTAGCTTGGTAGTCCGTACCCCCACTCCACTCCTTCCCTCGTGCTTTATCTGCCGTCATTACAGTGGGAAATGCTTGTGACCACTCCTCTTAGCCTGTGCCTTCCCGTTATTCTTCTGTCCCGTCCGCTGCTTTATTTGCCTACGCCTGCTCCTTCGTAAGAGGTTTCCAACCGCCTCCCTTGTCTCAGATACTTTAGGCTTTCCAAAAACAGGAGTTTTTTTTTTTTTTTTTTTTGTCTGTGCCCATTTCTGTAAAATCTCGCAACCGTCTCTCATATCCCTAATACTCTCCTTCCCTTCTACCTTCTCTGTCCTGTCTACCGCCTGATCTGTTCCCACCAGGGTGACAGTGATAGAGGCGCGCAACCGCCCCGGAGGGCGAATGCACTCCAAGCTGCTCTCCTCGCCCCCAGGCCCCAACCAGGTGGGGCAGCAGGTGGTGGTGCAGGTGGCATGTGGTGCAGGTGGCATTTGTGGCAGGTGCCATGTGGTGCAGGTGGCATTTGTGGCAGGTGGCATGTGGTGCAGGTGGCATTTGTGGCAGGTGGCATGTGGTGCAGGTGGCATTTATGGCAGGTGGCATGTGGTGCAGGTGGCATTTGTGGCAGGTGGCATGTGGTGCAGGTGGCATTTGTGGCAGGTGGCATGTGGTGCAGGTGGCATTTGTGGCAGGTGGCATGTGGTGCAGGTGGCATGTGATGCAGGTGGCATGTGGTGCAGGTGGCATGTGGTGCATGTGGCATATGAAAAGCCCACTCTGTTTTTCATGCCTTGGCTTGTCAGCACGCCCTGCACCGCATTCGTTAGCCTCCCATTCGTGCACCCTCTCTTCCCCACTTGCTCTCCCCTTTTTCATCGGTTCTCCTCTCCCCTCCCAATCCCCCCCCACTCCCCCGGGTAGCAATGGCAGCGGAACTGGATGCACAAGCATCCTCGGGTGGGCGTCTTGGCTCGCCAGCTCGCCATCTTTCTGCACCGCATTCAACTCCTGCACCCCCTGCTTTCCCCTTGTTCACCGTGTTTCTCCTCTTCCCTCTCCCTTCCATCCCTTCCAGGTAGCAGTGGCAGCAGAGCTAGGCGGGTCAATCGTCACAGGCATCCTTGGCAACCCTCTGGGCGTCTTGGCACGTCAGCTCGCCATCCCTCTGCACCGCATTCACTGACCTTCCCACCCCTCAGTGTCCCCCTTTTCAGTGTCTTTCTCCTTTTCTGCTTCCCTCCGTCTTTACCCCACCAGGTGGCAGTGGCAGCAGAGCTAGGCGGGTCGATTGTCACAGGCATTCTCGGCAACCCTCTGGGCGTCCTGGCTCGTCAGCTCGCCATCCCTCTTCACCGCTTTCGCAACGCCTGCCCTCTGTCTCCCCCTGTAACCCCCCACCCCAGGTGGCAGTGGCAGCAGAGCTAGGGGGTTCTATCGTAACAGGCATTCTCGGCAACCCTCTGGGCGTCCTGGCTCGCCAGCTCGCCATCCCTCTGCACCGCATTCGCGACGCCTGCCCGCTCTACCGCCCGGACGGGCTGCCCGTGGACGAAAAAGCCGACCGAGTAGCAGAGGCAAGATTCAACGTGATGCTGGACTTAGCTTCAGAGAGGAGGGCTGAGATGGAAGGGGTGGCAGATCAGATCTCCCTTGGGAACACCATGGAGTTTGTTCGGCAGCAAGCGGTGCAGGCTGTATCTGAAGAAGGTGCCTCAGCCGCAGGAGCAGCAGCAGCAGCAGCAGCCGCAGCAGCCGCAGCAGGAGCAACAGCAGCAGCAGCAGGAGCAACAGCAGCAGCAGCAGCAGCCGCAGCAGCAGGAGCAGTGACAGGATCAGCAGCAGCAGCACAACCAGCCACAGTCCAAGAGACAGAAGAGGAACAGCAGCTAGTGCAGTGGCACTACGCCAACCTCGAGTTTGCCAACGCAGCACGAGTAGCGGACCTCTCTCTGGCCTTCTGGGACCAGGACGACCCCCACGAGCTGCTCGGGCATCACTGCTTCGTGGCGGGCGGTAACGGGCAGCTTGTGGATGCCCTCGCGGACGGGCTGCCCGTGGTGTATAACTGTGCAGTGGAGAGGGTTGAGTATGGGATCGGGAGGGGTCGAGAAGGGGACGAGCCGGTTCCAGCAGAGGCAGGAGTAGGAGGAGTAGCAGGAGGAAGAGACGGGGGAGGAGGCGGAGGAGGGGGAGGAGCGGAAGAGGAAGTGGGAGCGGAGGGGAGAGTGGCGGTAGGGGGAGTGAGGGTGGTGTGCAGGGACACGAGGAGTGGGGAGGAGGTGGAGTATGAGGGAGAGCATGTGCTCTGCACGCTGCCTCTGGGAGTGCTGCAGAGGGGGTCTGTGTCCTTCCACCCGCCCCTGCCTCTCAGGAAGACTCGCGCCATTCATAGGCTGGGATTCGGGCTCTTGAATAAGGTCGGGCTGGTGTGGTGGTGTGTTGTGTTGTGTTGTGTGGTATAGTGTGGTGTGCTGTGGTGTGTTTGCGGAACGTGATTGATTAATGAGGCAATATGTTGCAGAGGGGGTTGTGTCCTTCCACCCGCCCCTGCCTCTCAGGAAGACTCGTGCCATTCATAGGCTGGGCTTCGGGCTCTTGAATAAGGTCGGGCTGGTGTGGTGTGGTGTGGTGTGGTGTGGTTCCCCTTCTCAGGCTCCTTCCCTCTTCTCGTCACACACTCGCAAACCCACTCCTATCCTCCCCTTCCCAGGTGGCAATGCTCTTCCCATATGTCTCCTGGGCACCACCATCGATGCCTTTAGCCGCCTCACCGCTTCAGCTCATTATAGTCCTCTCACTCCCGTCGCTCTCCCCTCCCCGTAACGCAGGTAGCCATGCTCTTCCCATATGTCTTCTGGGCACCACCATCGATGCCTTTGGTCGCCTCACCTCCTCACCACCTTACAAGCCCCACTTCTCTCCCCACTTTTCTCACCCCTCTCCCCTCTCCCCCTCCCTTCCCAGGTAGCAATGCTATTCCCCTATGTCTTCTGGGACACCAAGCATCGACACCTTTGGCCGCCTCACGTCACCTCTTCAGCACATTATGAACATCTCTCCTCTCCTTTCCCCTTGTCTCTTCCCTCAGGTCGCAATGCTATTCCCCTATGTCTTCTGGGACACCACCATCGACACCTTTGGTCGCCTCACATCGCACCCCTCGCAGCGCGGCGAGTTCTTCCTCTTCTACTCCTACGCTGCTGTCTCGGGAGGCGCGCTGCTCATGGCTCTTGTTGCCGGGGAGGCTGCGGAGAAGTTTGAAGGGGAGAAGTCGGATGCGCTCATGTGGCGCGTGCTGACTGTGCTCAAGAGTGAGTAGATTGCTTGAGGTTCCTTTCCCTTGGGTCCATTGGGGTTCCTTCCCCTGGGGCTCGTTCCCCGCACATCACACCCCTCTCAGCGCGGCGAGTTCTTCCTCTTCTACTCCTACGCTGCTGTCTCTGGCGGCGCGCTGCTCATGGCTCTCGTGGCAGGGGAGGCTGCGGAGAAGTTTGAGGGGGAAAATTCGGATGCGCTCATGTGGCAGGTGTTAACTGTGCTCAAGAGTGATTGGATCGTCCCTCCCTCACTCACTTCCCTTTAGATTGGCATCGAGAGTTGAAACAAGAGAATTGAAAGAGAGAAGTCGGATGCGCTCATGTGGCGCGTGCTCACAGTGCTCAAGAGTGAGCGTGTGCCATATTTATACTGTACCTTTTGTGGCTCTTTTTTCCTTGGAGTTGAAACAAGTGCTTCGAAGGGGAGAAATCTATCATCCACAAGCCTAAGGGCATGCTTCTCTCAACCATGTTTCAACCCCTCAACTTCTCTCTGTGCAATCCCTCAACTTTGGCCTTCCCCCACCCACCCACCTCTCTTACAGAGATCCACAAGCCCAAGGGCATCGCTGTGCCGCACCCTTTACAATGTGTGTGCACGCGGTGGCGCAGCGACCCGTACGCTCCTCTCCCCCCAACCCCCCCACACCACCCACCCCTCCTACAGAGATCCACGAGCCCAAGGGCATAGCTGTGCCGCACCCCTTACAATGTGTGTGCACGCGGTGGCGCAGCGATCCGTACGCTCCTCTCCCCCCACCCCCCCCCACACCACCCACCCCTCCTACAGAGATCCACGAGCCCAAGGGCATAGCTGTGCCGCACCCCTTACAGTGTGTGTGCACGCGGTGGCGCAGCGATCCGTACGCTGGGGGTTCGTACTCATATGTGCGTGTGGCGGCGTCAGGGGACGACTATGATACACTGGCGGAGAGCGTGGATGGGCGGCTATTCTTTGCTGGAGAGGTGAGTACCACGCAGAGGGCAGTGAGCTTCAACCTTGAGGCGTTTCAGGAGCACTACTCGTACGTGCGTGTTGCAGCGTCAGCAGACGACTATGATACACTGGCTGAGAGTGTGGATGGGCGGTTGTTCTTCACATGCACACATGCTCCATCTCTCCTTGCTTATTCGTCTCCCCTCGTCCTTCCTCTCCTCTCCCTTTCAGGTTTGAACCTCTACTACCCGCCACCATGCACAGAGCCTACTTCCCACTCACATGCACACATGCACACACGCTCCATTTCCCCTCGTTTCTTCCTCTCCGCTCGTTTCTTCCTCTCCCCTCATTCATTCCTCTCTTCCCCTTCAGGCCACAAGTCGCCACTACCCCGCCACCATGCACGGTGCCTGCTTCAGCGGCCTGAGGGAAGCAGCTAAGATCAACCAAGTCGCAACGGTTGCCGAAGCAGCCCGGGCAGCCGAAGCATCTCGGGCTGCCAAAGAATCCCGGGCAGCCGAAGCAACCCGGGCAGCACAAAGTGCAGCTGCTGCCAGCAGTGCCGGCACCACCACCACCACCACAGGGCAAAGCGCGCCCATGACCACACCTGCTGCAGGCTTGTCAACAGATGTGGGAGCAGCAGCACCAGCAGCGGCGGGCATGGGCATGCAGGTGGCGGTGTGTCTGCTGGATGCTCTCTTCAGCGACCCTGACCTGGAGTTTGGTGCCTTTGCTGTTCTCTTTGACCCTCGCGGCTGCCAGCCGCACCGCGCTGCTGTGCTGCGGGTCAGACTTAGAAAAGATGCCTTCTTACCGCGGCTACCTGCCTCTCCTGCTCCTGCTGCTGTCTCTGCCGCTCCTCCTGTTGCTCCTGCTGCTGCTGCTCCTGCAGCAGGAGTGAGTGAAGATGCAGCAGCAGCAGCAGCCGCAGCAAGGAAGGCAGCAGAGAGGCGGAGGGCAGAGGCTGCTAGAGAATGGGGCCTTGTGGTGAAGGATGAGGGTCAAACGACTCATGCATCAAAGCAGCAGCATGACCAGCAGCAGCAGCAGCAGCAGCAGCAGCAGCAGCAGCAGCAGCAGCAGCAGCAGAAGGAGCATCAGCAACAGCCAACAGCACAGAAGCAGGCAAAGGAAGCAGAAACGAAGCCATCTAGCACTGCTCTGTCTTCCCCACCGCCCCCTGCTGCAGCCGTCACCACATGGCCCCTCCCCCAGTTGACCCTGCACACAGTGGTCACCCGCCACCAAGCCCTGCTGCTGCGGGAGGTTCGGGGCAGCGATGCGGCTCGGCTGGCGATCCTGACGAGCAGGTTCGGGGTGAAGCTGGTGGGGAGACGCGGGCTGGGGCAGATGGGGGAGGAGGTGGTGGAGGCTGTGAGGGAGGCGAGGGCTGCCAGCAGGAGGAAGCTTGGTGTGATTTGATTTGATGTCTTTTGGCAAGATGCATGGTTTGCAGTTGCAGTATATGGGCGTGCAGAATGGTTCGGTTGGGTTGGATCAGGTGGGGGAGGAGGTGGTGGAGGCTGTGAGGGAGGCGAGGGCTGCTAGCAGGAGGAAGCTTGGTGTGATCTGATTTGATCTCTTCTGGCAAGGTGCTTGGGCTGTTGTATGGGTTCATGCAGGAATGGTCTGGTTGGAATGGGGCAGATGGGGGAGGCAGAGGGTGCTGGAGGCAGTGAGGGAGGCGAGGGCTGTAGCAGGAGGAAACTTGGTGTGATTTGATTGGTCTCATCTCGCAACGTGCTGGAGGCAGGGACGAAGGCGAAGGCGGGAAGCAGGTAGAATGTTGGGCTGTTGGGGCAGATGGGGGAGGAGGTGGCGGAGGCAGTGAGGGAGGCGAGGGCTGCTAGCAGGAGGAAACTTGGTGTGATTTGATGTCTTTTGGCAAGATGCTTGGTTCAAGTGGGAGTGGTTCGGTTGGGATAGGTCAGATGGGGGAGGAGGTGCTGGAGGCCGTGAAGGAGGTTTTGGCTGCTAGCAGGAGGACAGGTGGCGGGTGACATGATCTGATTGCATGTGGGTGCTAGTGTGTGTATCGGTGGTAGTGATCTCGTGGGCTGGGGCAGGTCATAAGGGAGGTGCGGAAGGCAATGAGGGGGGCGAGAGCTTCTAGCAGGAGAGCAGTTGGTGTGATATTACGGTATTTTATTCGATTTCATGGTGGAAATGTGATGTGATGGGACTGGTGGAGGAGGTAGGGGGTGGTGGGAGGCTGTAAGGAAGATGAGCGCTGGTGTGTTTTGGTCTTATTTGGCAGTCTTCTTTGGCGTGTGATATAGGCTCGTGTGGGTTGGGTTGTTGTGGGGAAGTGGGGGGGTGGGTGAGGGGTCGCTATATTCGCTATAGTAAACATCGCTCATGTCCGCAATCTCCCCAGCATAACAATCTTGCAATTTTGTTCTTGCATTGAAGGTTTAGGCGGAATAGAACATCCTTTCTTGTTTTAGTGAGATGTTTGTTTTGTTTAGTGAACTTGCATTGCCAATACGGTACAACAGAGCACTACTGTAGTGCATCACTCTCGTTGATCCCAAGGCATCCTGCCCTGCAGTCTGTCAGCCTGCAGAATCCAATTCAGCTAGCATGATAGTACGTTACTATGCACGCGACGCGACCTAATAGTCTCCCTCATAAATGGCGTCGACTGGCGGCTGGGATTCCGGCGCGTCAGGCGGCAGTAGCTGGCCATCCGTCCTCCGCGCGCTTCTCGCGAATAAGGAGGTTCTATTCGGCATATTAATCGCCGGCAGCGCGACGCAGGCCTGGTGGCAGCTCCACGGCGTGTCGCGCTCGCTCAAAGCTCTCAAATCCGCGCGCGAAACGACCATCGCGGAAATCAACGGGATTCCGCCAGCTGGACCAAAACCATTCGCTGGGTGGATGCGGTGGTTTAGTAGCGCACCGGAGCAGGCCAGCGGAACAGGCGGGGGGAAATCCGCCGACGGAAGTGAGGACAGGCGGGCTGACCTAATCAGGAGCCCAGGCGGCGCAGCACTGCCATCCCCGGGAGCTGGTGATAGCATCAGCAGCGGCGGCGGTGGCAGCAGCAGCAGCGTTTGCGACAGCAGCAGCGGCTGCAACAGCAGTGGCAGCAGCGGCAGAAGCAGCATTGGCAGCAGCAGTAACAGCAACAACGACAGCAGCAGCAGCAGTAACAGCAGCAATTGCGACAGCACCAGCAGCAGCATTAACAGCAGCAGTGGCAGCGGCAGCGGTAGTGGGTACTTCACGCGCCTATGGCGGGGGAATGGAGGCAGAGAGAACAGGGAAGGGAAGGAGGATAGCAGCAGTCTCAATGCTACTAGCAGCGACACCAGCGGCGGTGGCAACAGCAGCGGCATTGGCAGCAGCAACATTGGCAGCAGCGGCAGCAGCAGCAGTGGCAGCAGCGGCAGTGGGAGCGACGGCAGCAGCAGCAGTGGCAGCATTGGTAATAACGGCAGTGACAGCAGCGGCAGTGGCAGATTGAGACGGCTGTTGCTTGTGGGTGGAAGCAAGAGCAACGAGGGTTGGTCAAGCAAGTCAGCAGTAGATACTTTCTCCACGTTCCTCTCAAAAGCACTAGATTCGTTTTCCCAGTTCCTGTCTGCTGTTTTAGGTTCGTCTTCCAAGTTCCTGTCAGCAGCACTAGATCCTTATTCCAAGTTTCTGTTAGCGGTCGTAGAGTCTTCTTCGAAGTTCCTATCAGCAGTAGTAGGTTCTTATTCCAAGTTCCTATCAGCAGTAGTAGGTTCTTATTCCAAGTTCCTATCAGTAATAGTAGAGTCTTCCAAGTTCCTCTCAGCGATAGTAGATTCGTTTTCCAAGTTCCTGTCAGCAGCACTAGATCCTTATTCCAAGTTTCTGTTAGCAGTCGTAGAGTCTTCTTTCAAGTTCCTATCAGCAGTAATAAATTCTGCCTCCAATTTCCTGTCACCAACAATAAATGCTTCTTCTGAGGTTCTGTCAGGAACACTAGACTCTCCTTTTGAGGTTCTGTCAGGAACAGTAGACTCTCCTCCTGAGGTTCTGTCAGGAACAGTAGACTCTCCTTCTGAGGTTCTGTCAGGAACAGTAGACTCTTCGTCTGAGGTTCTGCCAGGACCAGTAGATTCTCCTTCTGAGGTTCTGCCAGGACCAGTAGATTCTCCTTCTGAGGTTCTGCCAGGACCAGTAGATTCTCCTTCTGAGGTTCTGCCAGGACCAGTAGACCCTTCGTCTGAGGTTCTGTCAGGAACAGTAGACTCTTCGTCTGAGGTTCTGTCAGGAACAGTAGACTCTTCGTCTGAGGTTCTGCCAGGAACAGTAGACTCTTCCTCTTCTACCAAGGGACTGTCACCTGTAGGATGGGGCCAGCAGCAAAGCCCACCGCAACAACAACAAGAGCAGGGCCCATCAGATGCGAGTGAGATAGCGGACTATACCAACCCCTACGAGCTGGTGCTACAACAGCAACAACCGCAGCAGCCGCCGCATCAGCAGCAGCAGCAGCAGCAGCAGCAGCAGGGACAGTGGCAGGGGCAGGGGCAGGTGCAGGAGAAGTGGCAGGGGCAACGGGAGCTGGGGCAGGGCCCGTCAGATGCGAGTGAGCTAGCGGATAACACCAATCCCCACGAGTTGGTGCTGGTCCGAGGATCCGTGCAGCTCTCCTACGGGCCGTGCAACCCACTACTGCCGATGCATGCTGCCAAGCTCCCATGCGCTGTGGTGGAGCGATCTGCAGTGGTGAGGAATCAGGAGAGCACTGGGATAACGAATCCATACCCTATTGGGGGTCTACTTGGTATACGTTTGCACAAATGACAGCCTAATCTTAAAAGGCTCCTAACTTTGGCGCTTCAAAAGTAGGTCCCTCATTGCCCAGTTCAGCCTTCAGTGCATTCAAATTGGGGTTTTCTCTCCCACAGTTTTCCCTGCACCTATGCCCCCCTGCATCTCGTATGTGTGTGTGCGTGCGTGCGTGCGTGCGTGCGTGCGTGCGTGCGTGCGTGCGTGCGTGCGTGCGTGCGTGCGTGCGTGCGTGCGTGCGTGCGTGCTTGCTTGCTTGCTTTGGTCCTTCCACTCCACATGCTTTTTTGTCCGATCCTATTTATTTGAAAGCCTTTCCCTGTGCCTCCAACCTTGTTGTAATCCTCTTGGCATTAGATGCTCTCTTCCAAGCTGCAAATGTGATGCCACCGTCCAAGCTGTGTTCCTTCAGACCGCGCTGCATCCGCTGCTAGGCAGCCATCATGTGAAGCCCCGTCCCGTCCCTTCCCCATTCTCATCCATTTCCTTACATCCCTGTCATTCGGTCAAATTTCCCTCCTGCTTGTTCTTGCATCAGATGCTCTGTTCCGAGCTGCATCCCCTGAAAGGATGGATCATCAAGTCAGAACAGTTCAGCCCCGTCCGGCAATCTGTACGTCTCTGTCCCAATCTATCCCTCTCTAGTCTGGACACGACACGTCTCGAAGCTACTTCTCTCCTCCCCACCGCGCTTCTCTTCACGATTCTGTCATCGATATGCTTACACAAGGGCTATTGCTCAGATTTTGTGGCGCCTGAAACACGGCCCCGCTTGTCTTGACGATTCTGTCGTCGATGTGCTTGACTCTTATACAAGGGCTGTTGCTCAATTCTTGCTCAATTCTGACAACCGCTTTCCCAATCTTCTTCCCTCGATATCACCTCGCTCTTATCCTCTCCCCCACATCTGGCTCTCCCTCCTTGCCTCTCCACAGGTCCCATTTTCTCTAGTAGAGACCTCCCATCCGTCAGCGCCACGTGTCGACATCTCATTGGTTGGCGCCACACAGCCTCTGCCTCTGCACACCGTGTACAGTCACACGCACAAGGCCGACCCTTCATGGGCCGACACTGCCCTACACGTGCTTATAAGGAAGCGCTTGCCAGTAAGTTTACTCTCGACAAGCCCGGCATGTTCTTACAAAGAAGCGCCTCCAGGTGAGTGTACTGTTTTGTATCATGCATGTGCTTACAGGGAAGTGCTTGCCAATGGTGAGTACACTCACTATCAAGCCTGAGCAAGGGCGGGAGCAGAGCCAGCCTGTCTAGAGCCGCCCGGCTTGCGAGCCTCTAGTGGCTCGGCCCCGAAATTTGCTCCGTAAAGTAAAGATTGCATCCATTCATGTGTTATAGCTCCAAGTTTTGAGACGTCTCGTAGCTCTAATAAGCACATATGTCCTGCCCTTGCAGCAACCCTTTCCTTCACGTGCAAACTGGGGTGCTTTTACTTGGAGGAGAGGAGTTTCTTCACTTGAAGTTTCTTCCTGTGATGCATGTGCTGTTAACGATAATTCCTTCCCCATATGCGCATTTCGTGTATGAGTGACTACCTAACAGGTAGAACCTACCTATCACCCCATAAATACATTCTCTTGACAGGTAGGCCTGCGCACGGACGAGAGGGTGCTGCCGATCAATCACGAGCTGACAGCTGTCGGCCATGTGAGGCGCGGATCCGACGGTCGCCCCGCCATCTTCGCCTCCCCCAAGTTTTCCTACTTCCTGTCAGTGGCTTCCGTGGCGTAGCATCCCTTTCTCTTAGGGGCTTGTATTATGTATCATCCATTGTACTGTACCCTCCCCCATCCCCACCCATTGTATTGTACAGCACGCCTTCCTCCCCTGCCCCACCCTCCCCTTGTCCCCGTTCCCCCTGCGTCCTTTCAGCTTCTCTGAAACCAAGGCGGGCATGATTCAGAAGCTGAATCAGCGATGGAGAGTGCTATTCACATGGGCTCTGCTGCTGTCAGCCGCTGCAGCAGGCGCCATTGGACTAGCTGTGTGGAAGTAAGTGCAGGAGTACAGGTGAGTGTGTCCAGGCCAAACGGGGTGAAAGGCTCGTTTGTGCTGTTATTGCGATGAGCCTCATGAAAGGCTCATGGGTCTGGGCTCGCAAATCTTCAGACATGGTCGCCATAGAGCATCAGTGCTTGAAAGTTTTTTTCTCACAAGTAGGGCAAACATTTGTACCTTTCGTAACAAAAAGTGTGTTAACAATGGAGCTCTTGTTTAAACACTAAATTGACAACACTAGACAAGCATGTTTCGGCTGCAAGGTATGCCTTAACGAGCCTTGATCAATGCATAATGAGAACGGATGGTGAAAATCCGGCCCCAAGGTTGTGCCCGCCTTGGACGACCGGATCTAATTGGGACCAATCCAGACCACCTGAGAAAAAACCCGCGGGCATTTTCAACAGACAGCATGTTGTTCTCGTTTCTTCTCTTCCACTTCCCACCCTCTTCTCCTCTCCCAACCAGGAAGTATCGTCGCCGGCAAGGCAGGCGGCTGCAGGAGGAGCAGGAAGAGCTGGAATGGTGCTTCCTCATTCACTTCTTTCTCATTCACCCTACTGTTTTCCCCGTCTCCTCCCCGTCTCCTCCCCTTCTCTTCCCCTTCTCCCCTTCTTCCCCCACTTATACCCAACCAGGAAGTACCGTCGCCGGCAAGGCAGGTGGCGGCAGCAGCAGGAGGAGCAGGCAGAGCTGGAGAGATGGACGAGGATTCTGCAGCAATCGGCTAGAGCAGGAGCAGAAAGAGCAGCAGTAGCAGCAAGAGCAGCAGCAACAAGAATAGCAGGAGCAGCAAGAGCAGAAGCAGAAGGAGCAAGAGCAGGAGCAGGAGCAGGAGCAGGAGCAGGAGCAGGAGCAGGAGCAGGAGCAGGAGCAGGAGCAAGAGTAGGAGGAGGAGGGGGAGCAGCTTTGCCTTCAGAGATAGAGAGGAGCTTGGAGAATTTGAGTGGGGATGTTGATGAGGAGGAGGTGGTGGGGGAGGAGGTACAGATTGAGGCGCTCTGTGTGGTGTGTCTGCAGCGCAAGCGCAAGGTTGTGTTTATTCCGTGTGGCCACAGGGTGTGCTGCATGACATGTTCGAGAGTTGTGCGAGCGGAGCAATCAATGTGTCCCATTTGCCGTGGGCAGGTTCAGAATGCATATCGTGTGTACGATGCTTGAGGGATGTACTCTGGCTGCATTCCTACAAGCTCGTTGATGAATAACCCAAGAATGTGTCTGAAAGATGAGCTCGTTGAAAGATGTGCCTGGATCGGGCCACCCAACCTTATGTCTCCCAACCAATCGTGTATACCGGTAACAACGCAATGCCTTGCAACCAGGCCTGACTTGCACTTATTCGCAACTACGGTATCAGGTTCGACATATTTCTACTACCGGTACCGTACTTCACTACGGAACAGTCAAATCCTATCCCAACACATGTACTTTTAAAAGCATAACGATCATATTTTAAGCATCATACACACGAAAGGCGGCCAGAACCTGCCCGCGGCAAATGGGACACAGCGACTGCTCCACCCTCACAACCCTCGAACACGACAGACAACACACGCGGTGGCCACACGGAATAAACACTGCTTTTCGCTTGCGATGCAGACACACCACACAGAGCTCCCCACTCTGCACCTCCTCTCCCACCACCTCCTCCTCATCCGCATCCCCACCGCGAATCAAATTCTCCAAGCTCCTCTCTAACTCCAAAGGCGAGGCTGCTATTGCTTCGCCATTTATGGTTTGAACAGGCCCACCTTCTGCATTCACCCATCGACTCCCTTCTGCCCCTGCCCCTGTTCTTGCTCCTGCCCCTGCTCCTGCTACTCCTATTCTTCCTCCTGCTCCCGTTCCTCCTGTTCCTGCGGTCTGCTGCTGTCTCTCTAGGAGTATCTCCATCCATCGTTCCAGCTCTGCCTGCTCCACCTGCTGCCGCCGCTGCCTCCTGACTTGCCGACGTCGATAGGTCCTGATGGGGTATGAGAGAGAAGAGAGCGGGAGGAGAGGCGGACGAGAGGGCGGTAAATGATACACAAGTGACAGCAGCGGTGCAAGCAGGGAGCACCCCGCCAGCTCTGCCTGCTCCATCTGCTGCCGCCGCTGCTGCTGCCTGGCTTGCCGGCGACGATGCGTCCTGATGGGGGAGAGGAGAAGAGAGGGGCGGAAATATAAAGAAGTGAGTGCAGCAGTGCTAGGAGGAAGCGTGTCTCCAGCTCTGCCTGCTCCGCCTGCCTCCGGCTGCCGCCTGGCCTGCTGACGCCGGTACGTCCTGATAGTGCATGACCAGGAGGAGAGGGGAGATGGGGGGAAGAGAGGGGGGTGAGTGGGAGGAAAAGGGAGATGGGGGGAAGAGAGGAGGGGAGTGGGAGGAGAGGGGAGATGGGGGGAAGAGAGGGGGGGAGTGGGAGGAAAGGGGAGATGGGGGGAAGAGAGGGGGGTGAGTGGGAGGAAAAGGGAGATGGGGGGAAGAGAGGGGGGGAGTGGGAGGAGAGGGGAGATGGAGGGAAGAGAGGGGGGGAGTGGGAGGAAAAGGGAGATGGGGGGAAGAGAGGGGGGGAGTGGGAGGAGAGGGGAGATGGAGGGAAGAGAGGGGGGGAGCGGGAGGAAAGGGGAGATGGGGGGAAGAGAGGGGGGGAGTGGGAGGAAAGGGGAGATGGGGGGAAGAGAGGGGGGGAGTGGGAGGAGAGGGGAGATGGGGGGAAGAGAGGGGGGGAGTGGGAGGAAAAGGGAGATGGGGGGAAGAGAGGGGGGGAGTGGGAGGAGAGGGGAGATGGAGGGAAGAGAGGGGGGGAGTGGGAGGAAAAGGGAGATGGGGGGAAGAGAGGGGGGGAGTGGGAGGAGAGGGGAGATGGAGGGAAGAGAGGGGGGGGAGTGGGAGGAAAGGGGAGATGGGGGGAAGAGAGGGGGGGAGTGGGAGGAAAGGGGAGATGGGGGGAAGAGAGGGGGGGAGTGGGAGGAAAGGGGAGATGGGGGAAGAGATGGGTGGGAGTGGGAGGAGAGGGGAGATGGGGGGAAGAGAGGGGGGGGAGTGGGAGGAAAGCGGAGATGGGGGGAAGAAAGGGGGGAGAGTGGGGAGAGGGGAGATGGGGGGAAGAGAGGGGGGGGAGTGGGAGGAGAGGGGAGATGGAGGGAAGAGAGGGGGGGAGTGGGAGGAAAAGGGAGATGGGGGGAAGAGAGGGGGGGAGTGGGAGGAGAGGGGAGATGGAGGGAAGAGAGGGGGGAGTGGGAGGAGAGGGGAGATGGGGGGAAGAGAGGGGGGGAGTGGGAGGAGAGGGGAGATGGAGGGAAGAGAGGGGGGGAGTGGGAGGAAAAGGGAGATGGGGGGAAGAGAGGGGGGGAGTGGGAGGAGAGGGGAGATGGAGGGAAGAGAGGGGGGGAGTGGGAGGAAAGGGGAGATGGGGGGAAGAGAGGGGGGGGAGTGGGAGGAAAGCGGAGATGGGGGGAAGAAAGGGGGGAGAGTGGGGAGAGGGGAGATGGGGGGAAGAGAGGGGGGGGAGTGGGAGGAAAAGGGAGATGGGGGGAAGAGAGGGGGGGAGTGGGAGGAGAGGGGAGATGGAGGGAAGAGAGGGGGTGAGTGGGAGGAAAAGGGAGATGGGGGGAAGAGAGGGGGGGAGTGGGAGGAGAGGGGAGATGGAGGGAAGAGAGGGGGGGAGTGGGAGGAAAAGGGAGATGGGGGGAAGAGAGGGGGGGAGTGGGAGGAGAGGGGAGATGGAGGGAAGAGAGGGGGGGAGTGGGAGGAAAGGGGAGATGGGGGGAAGAGAGGGGGGGGAGTGGGAGGAAAGCGGAGATGGGGGGAAGAAAGGGGGGAGAGTGGGGAGAGGGGAGATGGGGGGAAGAGAGGGGGGGGAGTGGGAGGAAAGCGGAGATGGGGGGAAGAAAGGGGGGAGAGTGGGAGGAGAGGGGGGATGGGGGGGAAGAAAGGGGGGGAGTGGGAGGAAAGGGGAGATGGGGGGAAGAGAGGGGGGGAGTGGGAGGAAAGGGGAGATGGGGGGAAGAGAGGGGGGGAGTGGGAGGAGAGGGGAGATGGGGGGAAGAGAGGGGGGGAGTGGGAGGAATGGGAGATGGGGGGAAGAGAGGGGGGGGAGTGGGAGGAAAGCGGAGATGGGGGGAAGAAAGGGGGGAGAGTGGGAGGAGAGGGGAGATGGGGGGGAAGAGAGGGGGGGAGTGGGAGGAAAGGGGAGATGGGGGGAAGAGAGGGGGGGAGTGGGAGGAGAGGGGAGATGGGGGGAAGAGAGGGGGGGAGTGGGAGGAATGGGAGATGGGGGAAGAGAGGGGGGGGAGTGGGAGGAAAGCGGAGATGGGGGGAAGAAAGGGGGGAGAGTGGGAGGAGAGGGGAGATGGGGGGAAGAGAGGGGGGGGAATGGGAGGAAAGCGGAGATGGGGGGGAAGAAAGGGGGGAGAGTGGGAGGAGAGGGGGGATGGGGGGGAAGAGAGGGGGGAGAGTGGGAGGAAAGGGGAGATGGGGGGGAAGAGAGGGGAAGAGCGGGAGGAGAGGGAGGGAAATGAGAACCAAGTGAGAGCAGCGGTGTAAGGAGGAGGCACCCTTCCAGCTCTGCCTGCTGCCGCCACCGCTGCTGCCTGGCTTGCCGCCTGGCTTGCTGGCGACAGTATGTCATGGATAGTGCATGACCAGGAGGAGAGGAAGGGCGTGGAAGAGAAGCAACGGGACGAGATGAGATGAATGGGTATGAGAGGAAGACAAAGAAGAACAGGATACGGGCATGAGGAACAAGAGCAGCAGTTGTAAAAGAAGCACGACAGCCCATCCCAGCAGAATACCCAACCCGACTCTAGCTTCCATGCAACCACACGGACACACACCCACACACACACGTACTTCCATGCAACCACACGGACACACACCCACACACACACGTACTTCCATGCAACCACACGGACACACACCCACACACACACGGACTTCCATGCAACCACACGGACACACACCCACACACACACGTACTTCCATGCAACCACACGGACACACACCCACACACACACGTACTTCCATGCAACCACACGGACACACACCCACACACACACGGACTTCCATGCAACCACACGGACACACACCCACACACACACGTACTTCCATGCACCCACACGGACACACACCCACACACACACGTACTTCCATGCAACCACACGGACACACACCCACACACACACGTACTTCCATGCACCCACACGGACACACACCCACACACACACGTACTTCCATGCAACCACACGGACACACACCCACACACACACGGACTTCCATGCAACCACACGGACACACACCCACACACACACGTACTTCCATGCACCCACACGGACACACACCCACACACACACGGACTTCCATGCAACCACACGGACACACACCCACACACACACGTACTTCCATGCAACCACACGGACACACACCCACACACACACGGACTTCCATGCAACCACACGGACACACACCCACACACACACGTACTTCCATGCACCCACACGGACACACACCCACACACACACGTACTTCCATGCAACCACACGGACACACACCCACACACACACGGACTTCCATGCAACCACACGGACACACACCCACACACACACGTACTTCCATGCAACCACACGGACACACACCCACACACACACGTACTTCCATGCACCCACACGGACACACACCCACACACACACGTACTTCCATGCACCCACACGGACACACACCCACACACACACGTACTTCCATGCAACCACACGGACACACACCCACACACACACGTACTTCCATGCACCCACACGGACACACACCCACACACACACGTACTTCCATGCAACCACACGGACACACACCCACACACACACGTACTTCCATGCACCCACACGGACACACACCCACACACACACGTACTTCCATGCACCCACACGGACACACACCCACACACACACGTACTTCCATGCAACCACACGGACACACACCCACACACACACGTACTTCCATGCAACCACACGGACACACACCCACACACACACGTACTTCCATGCACCCACACGGACACACACCCACACACACACGTACTTCCATGCAACCACACGGACACACACCCACACACACACGGACTTCCATGCAACCACACGGACACACACCCACACACACACGGACTTCCATGCAACCACACGGACACACACCCACACACACACGTACTTCCATGCAACCACACGGACACACACCCACACACACACGGACTTCCATGCAACCACACGGACACACACCCACACACACACGGACTTCCATGCAACCACACGGACACACACCCACACACACACGGACTTCCATGCAACCACACGGACACACACCCACACACACACGTACTTCCATGCAACCACACGGACACACACCCACACACACACGGACTTCCATGCAACCACACGGACACACACCCACACACACACGTACTTCCATGCAACCACACGGACACACACCCACACACACACGTACTTCCATGCACCCACACGGACACACACCCACACACACACGGACTTCCATGCAACCACACGGACACACACCCACACACACACGTACTTCCATGCAACCACACGGACACACACCCACACACACACGTACTTCCATGCAACCACACGGACACACACCCACACACACACGGACTTCCATGCAACCACACGGACACACACCCACACACACACGTACTTCCATGCAACCACACGGACACACACCCACACACACACGTACTTCCATGCAACCACACGGACACACACCCACACACACACGGACTTCCATGCAACCACACGGACACACACCCACACACACACGTACTTCCATGCACCCACACGGACACACACCCACACACACACGTACTTCCATGCACCCACACGGACACACACCCACACACACACGTACTTCCATTCCATGCACCCACACGGACACACACCCACACGCACACGTACTTCCATGCATCCACACGGACACACACCCACACACACACGTACTTCCATGCACCCACACGGACACACACCCACACACACACGTACTTCCATTCCATGCAACCACACGGACACACACCCACACACACGTACTTCCATGCAACCACACGGACACACACCCACACACACACGTACTTCCATGCAACCACACGGACACACACCCACACACACACGTACTTCCATGCAACCACACGGACACACACCCACACACACACGTACTTCCATGCAACCACACGGACACACACCCACACACACACGGACTTCCATGCAACCACACGGACACACACCCACACACACACGGACTTCCATGCAACCACACGGACACACACCCACACACACACGGACTTCCATGCAACCACACGGACACACACCCACACACACACGTACTTCCATGCAACCACACGGACACACACCCACACACACACGGACTTCCATGCAACCACACGGACACACACCCACACACACACGGACTTCCATGCAACCACACGGACACACACCCACACACACACGTACTTCCATGCACCCACACGGATACACACCCACACACACACGTACTTCCATGCACCCACACGGACACACACCCACACACACGTACTTCCATGCAACCACACGGACACACACCCACACACACACGTACTTCCATGCAACCACACGGACACACACCCACACACACACGTACTTCCATGCAACCACACGGACACACACCCACACACACACGTACTTCCATGCAACCACACGGACACACACCCACACACACACGTACTTCCATGCAACCACACGGACACACACCCACACACACACGTACTTCCATGCACCCACACGGACACACACCCACACACACACGTACTTCCATGCAACCACACGGACACACACCCACACACACACGTACTTCCATGCAACCACACGGACACACACCCACACACACACGGACTTCCATGCAACCACACGGACACACACCCACACACACACGGACTTCCATGCAACCACACGGACACACACCCACACACACACGTACTTCCATGCACCCACACGGACACACACCCACACACACACGTACTTCCATGCACCCACACGGACACACACCCACACACACACGGACTTCCATGCAACCACACGGACACACACCCACACACACACGGCCTTCCATGCAACCACACGGACACACACCCACACACACACGTACTTCCATGCAACCACACGGACACACACCCACACACACACGTACTTCCATGCAACCACACGGACACACACCCACACACACACGTACTTCCATGCACCCACACGGACACACACCCACACACACACGTACTTCCATTCCATGCACCCACACGGACACACACCCACACACACACGTACTTCCATGCAACCACACGGACACACACCCACACACACACGTACTTCCATGCAACCACACGGACACACACCCACACACACACGGACTTCCATGCAACCACACGGACACACACCCACACACACACGTACTTCCATGCAACCACACGGACACACACCCACACACACACGGACTTCCATGCAACCACACGGACACACACCCACACACACTCGTACTTCCATGCAACCACACGGACACACACCCACACACACACGTACTTCCATGCACCCACACGGACACACACCCACACACACACGTACTTCCATGCACCCACACGGACACACACCCACACACACACGGACTTCCATGCAACCACACGGACACACACCCACACACACACGGACTTCCATGCAACCACACGGACACACACCCACACACACACGGACTTCCATGCAACCACACGGACACACACCCACACACACACGTACTTCCATGCAACCACACGGACACACACCCACACACACACGGACTTCCATGCAACCACACGGACACACACCCACACACACACGTACTTCCATGCACCCACACGGACACACACCCACACACACACGTACTTCCATGCACCCACACGGACACACACCCACACACACACGGACTTCCATGCAACCACACGGACACACACCCACACACACACGGACTTCCATGCAACCACACGGACACACACCCACACACACACGTACTTCCATGCAACCACACGGACACACACCCACACACACACGTACTTCCATGCAACCACACGGACACACACCCACACACACACGTACTTCCATGCACCCACACGGACACACACCCACACACACACGTACTTCCATTCCATGCACCCACACGGACACACACCCACACACACACGTACTTCCATGCAACCACACGGACACACACCCACACACACACGTACTTCCATGCAACCACACGGACACACACCCACACACACACGGACTTCCATGCAACCACACGGACACACACCCACACACACACGTACTTCCATGCAACCACACGGACACACACCCACACACACACGGACTTCCATGCAACCACACGGACACACACCCACACACACTCGTACTTCCATGCAACCACACGGACACACACCCACACACACACGTACTTCCATGCACCCACACGGACACACACCCACACACACACGTACTTCCATGCACCCACACGGACACACACCCACACACACACGGACTTCCATGCAACCACACGGACACACACCCACACACACACGGACTTCCATGCAACCACACGGACACACACCCACACACACACGTACTTCCATGCAACCACACGGACACACACCCACACACACACGTACTTCCATGCAACCACACGGACACACACCCACACACACACGGACTTCCATGCAACCACACGGACACACACCCACACACACACGGACTTCCATGCAACCACACGGACACACACCCACACACACACGTACTTCCATGCACCCACACGGACACACACCCACACACACACGTACTTCCATGCAACCACACGGACACACACCCACACACACACGGACTTCCATGCAACCACACGGACACACACCCACACACACACGTACTTCCATGCAACCACACGGACACACACCCACACACACACGTACTTCCATGCAACCACACGGACACACACCCACACACACACGTACTTCCATGCAACCACACGGACACACACCCACACACACACGGACTTCCATGCAACCACACGGACACACACCCACACACACACGTACTTCCATGCAACCACACGGACACACACCCACACACACACGGACTTCCATGCAACCACACGGACACACACCCACACACACACGGACTTCCATGCAACCACACGGACACACACCCACACACACACGTACTTCCATGCACCCACACGGACACACACCCACACACACACGTACTTCCATGCAACCACACGGACACACACCCACACACACACGGACTTCCATGCAACCACACGGACACACACCCACACACACACGTACTTCCATGCAACCACACGGACACACACCCACACACACACGTACTTCCATGCACCCACACGGACACACACCCACACACACACGTACTTCCATGCACCCACACGGACACACACCCACACACACACGTACTTCCATGCAACCACACGGACACACACCCACACACACACGTACTTCCATGCACCCACACGGACACACACCCACACACACACGTACTTCCATGCAACCACACGGACACACACCCACACACACACGTACTTCCATGCACCCACACGGACACACACCCACACACACACGTACTTCCATGCACCCACACGGACACACACCCACACACACACGTACTTCCATGCAACCACACGGACACACACCCACACACACACGTACTTCCATGCAACCACACGGACACACACCCACACACACACGTACTTCCATGCACCCACACGGACACACACCCACACACACACGTACTTCCATGCAACCACACGGACACACACCCACACACACACGTACTTCCATGCACCCACACGGACACACACCCACACACACACGTACTTCCATGCAACCACACGGACACACACCCACACACACACGGACTTCCATGCAACCACACGGACACACACCCACACACACACGTACTTCCATGCAACCACACGGACACACACCCACACACACACGTACTTCCATGCACCCACACGGACACACACCCACACACACACGGACTTCCATGCAACCACACGGACACACACCCACACACACACGGACTTCCATGCAACCACACGGACACACACCCACACACACACGTACTTCCATGCAACCACACGGACACACACCCACACACACACGTACTTCCATGCACCCACACGGACACACACCCACACACACACGTACTTCCATGCACCCACACGGACACACACCCACACACACACGTACTTCCATGCAACCACACGGACACACACCCACACACACACGTACTTCCATGCACCCACACGGACACACACCCACACACACACGTACTTCCATGCAACCACACGGACACACACCCACACACACACGTACTTCCATGCACCCACACGGACACACACCCACACACACACGTACTTCCATGCACCCACACGGACACACACCCACACACACACGTACTTCCATGCAACCACACGGACACACACCCACACACACACGTACTTCCATGCAACCACACGGACACACACCCACACACACACGTACTTCCATGCACCCACACGGACACACACCCACACACACACGTACTTCCATGCAACCACACGGACACACACCCACACACACACGTACTTCCATGCAACCACACGGACACACACCCACACACACACGGACTTCCATGCAACCACACGGACACACACCCACACACACACGTACTTCCATGCAACCACACGGACACACACCCACACACACACGTACTTCCATGCACCCACACGGACACACACCCACACACACACGGACTTCCATGCAACCACACGGACACACACCCACACACACACGTACTTCCATGCAACCACACGGACACACACCCACACACACACGTACTTCCATGCACCCACACGGACACACACCCACACACACACGTACTTCCATGCACCCACACGGACACACACCCACACACACACGGACTTCCATGCAACCACACGGACACACACCCACACACACACGTACTTCCATGCAACCACACGGACACACACCCACACACACACGTACTTCCACGCAGCTAGTCCAATCACGCCCACAGCAGCAGCCGACAGCAGCGTTCCCCACCGCAGCAGCGCCCCCCACCGCTGGTTCAGCTTCTGAATCATGCCTGCTTTGGTCTCAGAGAAGCTGGAAGAGATGGGAGAGTGGGGGAGGATGGAGAGGAAAGGAAGAGGAAGGGGTTAGGGCGTTAGCATGCACAGCAGCATGCCCCACCCCAGCAGCGCACCCCCACCGCTGGTTCAGCTTCTGAATCATGCCTGCCTTGGTCTCTGGGATGGGAAGCTGGAAGAGAGAGGCGAGGGAGGGGAGTGCGGGGTATGGTAGTGAAGAGGGTGAGGAAGGGTTTGGGGCCAAATGCAAATGCAAATGCGAATGCGAATGCGAATGCCTATGCGGATACAGCATTCCCCAGTGCTGGTTCCTCTTCTGGATCATGCGTTGCTCTCAGGGAAGTTGGAAGAGACGGGGCGGAGGCATGGTTGGTTGTTAGTCACCGGATTATTTTGTCGACTAACAAACAGAGGATGGTGATTACCAGGAGGAAAATGACAGGAAGACAGAAATACACGGCATCTTAGAAGAAGGAAAGGGACATCCCATGACAGAAGGAAGGCACTCACAGAAGGGAACTTGGGAGAAGCGAAGATGGCGGGGCGACCGTCCGATCTGCGCCTGACGTGGCCGACAGCTGTCAGCTCGTGATTGATCGGCAGCACCCTCTCGTCCGTGCGCAGGCCCACCTGGGGAAGGTACATGTGGAATTGAAGTGGTACTCATTTATCCATACATGCACGAATGACATATGAGACGACCAGCACCCTCTCGTCCGTGCGCAGGCCCACCTGGGGAAGGTGTATGTGTGGGGTGACAATACATTATGTCTTGCATACAAAAGCAATATGAGACGAGCAGCAAACTCTCGTCCGCGCGCAGACCCAGCTAGGGAAGGAAGCATGTGGAATTACAATGGTGTGGTCATTTTGACAGTTCAGCACATCTGAAACAAGAGTCCTCAAATGGGTCGACTTTTAAGACGTCTAAAAAACCGACGCAAACAAGACCGTTGATCCAGTTTACGCTGAGGTCATTTTGACGGTTGAGCACATCTGACTGACACGGTGTTGATTTTGAGGCGCCTCAAAACCATACCACATCTGACTGACACAGTGTTGATCCATATCTAATTTTACTCATCTAAGAGGTGACGCTTTAAGTCGAGTCAAAAGTCACATATTAGATAAGTAAGTACCTATGGATCATCGATGGATAACAGTAAGGAAGCGGAAATTGGTTGCTATGGCTGGGGTGACTATGTATGTTGAGAAATTTCAGTGATGCTAACGCAATGTAAAATCACCAGTGGGCGCTTCCCTAAAGGCACGTGTAGGGCTTTTAGACAGTACACTTACTGGCATGCACTCCCCTAAAGGTACGTGTAGGGCTTATAGAGAGTACATTTACTGGCATGCGCTTCCCTATCTATTAGCACATGCAAGGTTTATAGAGAGTACACTCACCGGAAGGCGCTTCCCTATAAGCACATGCAGCGCAGTGGCGCCCCATGAGGGGTCGGCCTTTTGCATGTGACTGTACACGGTGTGCAGCGGAAGAAGTATACTCACTCTCCGGAAGGCGCTTCCCTATAAGCACGCGTAGGGCTTATAAAGAGCACACTTACTGGGAGGCGCTTCCCGATAAGCACGTGGAGGGCAGTGGCGCCCCATGAGGGATCGGCCTTTTGCATGTGACTGTAGACGGTGTGTAGAGGCAGGGGCTGTGTGGCGCCCACCAATGAGATGTCGACACGTGGCGCTAATGAGTGTGAGGTCTCTGCTAGAGAGAAGGGGACCTGAGGGGAAGTGGTGAGAGGGGAGAGAGGAGAAATGAGGGGAGAACAAAGCGAATAACAAGGAGAGGGGGAGATGGGGGGAGAAAGAAGAGGGGAAGGTGGAAATAGAAGGGGAGCAATCGGGGAAATAGAAGACGAGAGATGAGGCGAGGACAAGATGGGAGGTATCGGCTGGAGCAGGCAAAATAGGGGAAAAGGAAAAGTAGGTTACACTCACTCAGAGGCAGGAGAGTGAGTCAGAAGGGGGGATGGGTAAGGCAGCGGGGCGGGCAGAGAAATAGGGTTACGAAACAGGCTTGACATGGCCGTTTCAAAGGGAGTCACGACGAACTTGAACAAGTGAGAGAACCGAGCAGGGCAGAGCATTCGAGAGTGCATTCGAGATTGCATTCGAGATTGCATTCGAGATTGCATTCGAGATTGCATTATGGAAGGACAGGAGGGGTGAAACACAGCCATGTGACAGAGAAAAAAAGTAGCTGGCGACGAGAGAGAGGAATGTGAGGATGGAAAGGCAGGGAACTAGTGGAGGCAAGCGGCAGGGTGAAGGCAGGGAACGAAGAGAGCTCACAGATTGTCTGACTAGGTTGACCTGATCTGACTTTATGACCCAGCCCAGCAGCGGGTGCAGCTCCGAGTATAGCATCTGACACAAGGCAACGCAACAGCAAGGGACTTCGAAAGGATGTCAGGTTTGTGTAGAAACGGATGAGGAGGAGGAGGAGGAGGAGGAGGAGGAGGAGGAGGAGGAGGAGGAGGAGGAGGAGGAGGAGCCAGGACTTGACAATGACCCAGCCCAGCAGCGGGTGCAGCTCCGAGTATAGCATCTGCAGCAAGACACAGCAGGCATGGCCCAAAGAATGTCAGATTTGTGTGGAAGCGGATAATGAGGAGGAGGAGGAGCCAGGACTTGACAAATACCCAGCCCAGCAGCGGGTGCAGCTCCGAGTATAGCATCTGACACAAGGCAAGACAGGAAGCCAAACAGAAAGGAGGGCGGAACAATTTGAGAAGGTGTCTGAGGGAAGCCAAACCCTGCCCTTGATAACCCCTTCCTCTTCCCCGCTTTGCACCCACCCACCAGAGGACACTCACGCGCATTTGACTCCCACCCACCCACCTACTCACCACGTCTGATCGCTCCACGACAGCGCATGGCTGCTTGGCACCGTGGGTGGGCAGACGAGGGTTGCTTGGGGAACCTGGCAAGTGGCTCTAGAGTGAAGCACGGACTCGAGGGACCCATTTCCGACACCCACTCACCACGTCTGATCGCTCCACGACAGCGCACGGCTGCTTGGGGCCATGCACGGGCAGCAGAGGGGAGCAGCCCAGCCCAGAGAACCTTGCAAGCGGCTCTAGGGTCAAATCAAATAACTCCCTTCCAGGGACCCATTCCCACGGCTACTCACCACGTCTGACCGCTCCACGACAGCGCACGGCTGCTTGGGGCCATGCACGGGCAGCAGCGGGGAGCAGCCGCGCCCATCCACAGCCACCGGAGAAGAGCCAAACCCTATCCCCTCCCCCTGCCCTCCAGCCGCTGCTCCCGACCCTTTTCCCGCTCCTAAATTGGGGAACGAGAACGATAGTGGAGAGGAAGAGGAGGCGGAGGAGGCGGAGGTGGAGGAGGAAGGGGGAGAAGAGGAGGAGAGCTGCACGGAGCCTCGGACCAGCACGAGCTCATGGGGGTTGGTGTAATCCGCTAGCTCACTCGCATCCGACGGCCCCTGCCCCAGCTCACGTTGCCCCCATGCTGCTGCTGCTGACTTGCTCGAAGCTGACGACCCCTCTTCGCTCTTGCTTCTACCCACGGGTAACAGCCATTTCAACCCGCCACTGCTGCTGCTGCTGCTGCTGCTACTTGTGCTGGTGCCACCACCGCTGGTGTCGCTGCGGACGCTGAAACTACTGCTATCATCCTTCCCTGGCCTGCTCTCTCTGCCTCCATTCCCCCGCCATAGGCGCGTGAAGTACCCACTACTTTCACTGCTACCACTACTCCTGTTATCCCCGCTACTGCTGGTACCTCCCGCTCCGTCTAATTTCTCCCCGCCTGACCCGCTGGCCTGATCCGGCGCGCGCCTGAACCACCGCCACCACCCGCCGCTTCCGCCAGCCTTCCCCCCGGCCGCGCGGGGAACCTCCGAAGCTCCGCCGCCCGCTGGCGGAACGCCGTTGAGCTCCGCGATGGTCGTTTCGCGCGCGGATTTGAGCGCTTTGAGCGAGCGCGACACGCCGTAGAGCTGCCACCAGGCCTGCGTCGCGCTGCCGGCGATTAATATGCCGAATAGAACCTCCTCCTGCGCGAGAAGCGCGCGGAGGAGCGCTACCCAGCTTCCGCCGCCGCCTGACGCGCCGTAATCCCCGCCGACGGACGACGCCATTTACGAAGGGAACTACGGGGTAATCCGTCACCGTCGGAGGGGATATGGCGGATGCGGAAAGAACGAGAATGCCTTCTATTTTTGTAGACCCAAGGATCATATATTTTGCGAAAGACCGTACTTGGCTACCATATGTAGTACACCGTCTTTGGCTAACGTATGTAGTGTACCGTATGTGGCTACTATACGTAGCCTATATAGCTATTATATGTTATGCTAGGTATTACTATACGGTTGGAACCTGACAGGCAGCTGACAGGAAAGAGATGCGGCGAGCGACGCGATACCGTAGTAGGTTAAGCTGCCATGGCTAAAACTACCAGTTTGACGCGAAGAAATCCAAAAGACAGAAATTAGCGTACACGACGTCGCGGACGAAGCGTGATACCCGCTCGATGAGGCGAAACGGGACCGAGCAAATGGCAGCAGAAACGAGTGAGCGAGGAAAAGGAAATGCAAATGGTAAAGAAATGGAAACGGAATCCCAAGACTGGCGGCATTTCCAGCATTTCCTCCAGCCGGCCCAGTTCGGCAGCCAGAGGGAAGAAAAATGTTAGGAAGATGACGAGAAGGTGAGGCGTGCGTCAACCCAGGGTCAACGAATTTTGACCCTGGTTTGACCGCACCGCGGACAACCTGCGCCATGGGGGAGCCGGCGCAGGTTGGAGGGGGGAGATACGAAAAAATGCCGCAGGTCGAGGCACATTTGCCCTCACATTCGAATGTCCCAGAGCACTGTAGCAAAGCGAAAATTCTCGCCCAAAAAAAATCGCATGCACATTTGCCCTCGATTAGGGTTCTTCTGTGCAGTAACCCTTTATTTCGTAGGGTGCAATGTTGTCCCGTGAACAGTGATTGCTGTGGAATCAAAAAGTTGATTCTTCTGTTTTCAAAGAATCACTTTCTTCTTCCGTCTCACTAGGGCGGAAGCTTTCCGCCAGGGGGGGGAGAATAAGGACAGAAGACGGCGCGGAATCAATTTTTGATGGTGTTCTCGTCGCTGCTGTAAAGACCTGCGTCTCGATTTCCGAAAATTTACCCTACAACCCGCACTGTAGAGCCCTCGATAATGTGTCAAGAAGCTTCATAGAAGAAGCCGGAAATTTTTCTTCCGTCTTGCTTCCGTGGCTGCCAAACTGGGCCGAGATTCGAGAATATTTTTACCTAGCGCTGGACCCAGGGGGTATCCTCATCATCAACGGACCAGTTGAAACCTGCCTTCAAATCTCTGAACCGCTCATTACCGCTTCGGAGAGCTGTGGGATGTTTTAGATGCTCAATTTTCTGCTCCTTTGGGGTTTCCTCGCCCTATATTTCGGCTCGTTTTGCGTGCCCACTATTCGCGTTTCTTGTCAACTCGCATACCCTCGATTTTGTTTGGTGCGTACAGAAATACAATGGAAAGTGGATACATCCAGAGCAAAATAGAAACTTATAATATAAAAATACTAACTCTCAGATATAACATAGGCACAATACGGACAAATATGCACAAATGATACCAAACGATCCGAGTTAAGTCAGCACAGTTCACGGAGGCATGTGAATCCTTATGCGGCAATGCAAAAAGAGTCAAACCTAGGTATGGTAAGAATTGGGATGGAGCAAATGAAAGTCCTTTCAAGGTGCCTCAACAGTAGCCAGTGCATTTTCATCCGCCAACGCAGGAATGGAGTCGAGCGTGGCAGAAAACTGGGGTGGAAGCGGAGGAGAGAGCACATGCACCGTGTGACCGATGGCGTTCTTTTCCCGAAGCTCACACAGATCTGCCTTCTCTGCAGCCATGCGCGCCTGTGGAGGATGGGAGAGGATGGAGCCAACATGGGAGAAGGGAGGGGAGGGAAGTGGGGAGAATTGAAAAGGGAGAGAGAGGAGGGGAGAGAGGGTAAGGGAGAGGGGAAGGCAGGGGGGAGGTGAGAACGGGGAGGGAAGAGGTGGGGAGAGGAAAGGGGCGTGCATCGACAGCAAGCCAAGAAACCCTGCCATACTTCGACATTCTTAAAGCAAGTGGCAAACTTGCACGAGGTCCCCAGCACACTGCGCAAAAAAGTCACCAAACATTTTATAGCCACTCAAAAACACCATGAGCACGCGTGTTACAAGGGGTGTCACCGATCCCAGTACTCACTTGAAACTTGAGGTCACTGATCTCGTCGTCTGCAGCCTTGATCCTGAACTTGAGAGCGTTCAGAGCAGCAAGGGCCGCACCCGACGGGAGATTCACTAATTTATTGAGTCCTATCACTCAGTTGAAACTTGAGGTCGCTGATCTCGTCGTCTGCTGCCTTGATTCTGAACTTGAGAGCGTTCAGAGCAGCAAGGGCCGCACCGGACGGATCCGCACCTAACGACCCCTCTCCCACACTGCTGCTGCCACCACCGCTACTGCTGCTCTCACCGCCGTTCTCTGTATCATGCCCATCCACACCAGCTGCATGGTCGTTTGCTGCACCCTCAGTTATCTGCATGGGCAGAGAGGCACAGAGGGAGCAGAGTGCCATGTGAGACTCAAAACGAGTTTCACGCATAGCTGCTGCAGCATGTCAAATCCGCGTCAAAGCAATGAGCTCAGTTGAAGTGAGTGAGGTGAATCGTAGCGAGAGAAATGCAACTGGGTCGTGAGGACGTGGCACTGACCTGGAGGACAGCTTGGCAGACAGTGAGCAGCTTCTGTGCCACGTCAGCACTGCCCCTCTCCACCTCCTGCAGTAAACGGGAACCGGGGCATTATGCGGGGAGCAGAGAACAACATTTTGACCAAATGGGCAGCTTGTGGGGGTCTTCAGCTCTTTGGGGGCAGAGGGGAGGGAAGAGTTGGACCGCAACCACCCACCTCCAGTCGCTGCTGCAGCCTCGCCTCCTCATCATAGTCAATCCTCTCCGCGTGCCCCGCCTTCCTCTCATGCTGGTATGACTTTTGACTCAAAAGCTACACAACCCCACGACAGTCCCACCACCACTGCTCACCTCCAGTCGCTGCTGCAGCCTCGCCTCCTCATCAAATTCTAACTCCGCCTGCCCCACCTTCTTCCTGTGTCGCCCCACCTCCTCCTCCAGCCGCTTCACCCGCCCCTCGCCCCTCCATTCGCTTTTCACCCAACACCACCACCACTGCTTACCTCCAGTCGCTGCTGCAGCCTCGCCTCCTCATCAAAATCAATCTTCTCCGCCTGCCCCGCCTTTTTCCTGTGCCGCCCCACCTCCTCCTCCAGCCGCTTCACCCGCCCTTCCATGCGCTTCACTGCTGCTGCCATCTCCTCGTTCTGCGCCCTCAGAGTGCTGTTTTCCACCTGTGCAAGAGAGAATTATAGGGCGGAAAGTGTGGAGGGAGTGTGAGGGAGGGAAAAGGCGAAGGGTGGAAGGGTGAGAGGAGATGAGAGAGTCGCTTCACCCGCCCCTCCATGCTCTTCACTGCTGCTGCCACCTCCTCGTTCTGCGCCCTCAAAGCGCTGTTCTCCACCTGCGTGTGGGGGTGGGTGGTGGGAGGGGGGGAGGGGGGGGGAGGGGGAAGGGGGAAGGGGAGGAGGAGTTGGGATTGTGGCCTCATCCGCCCCTCCATTCTCTTTCACTGCTGCTGCCAGCCTCGCCAACTCAACCCACCCTCAACTTGGAAAACACTTGCGCTGGTTCAGGCTGTGATACCCCACCACCCTCTGCACCCCAAACTTGGCAAACACTTGAATGCGCTGGTTCAAGCTGTGCTGCCCCACCAGCCTCTGCAGCTCGAGAGGTGATATCTGAATCGACTTATATGCGCCCCCATTCACACCCCTCTATCCACCTCGCACTCCTCCACTCCATCCGCCTCGCACCTTCAACTTGGCAAACACTTGAATGCGCTGGTTCAGGCTGTGCTGCCCCACCAGCCTCTGCAGCTCAACTCACCCTCATCTTGGAATGCACATGCGCTGGTTCGGACTGAGGTATTCCACCACCCTCCACACCCCCACACGCCTTCAACTGGGCAAACAATTGAATGCGCTGGTTCAGGCTGTGCTGCCCCTCCGGCCTCTGCAGTACAACCCTCTCTAATCTGGAATAGTCATCCTTCCCTTGATCTCGTACCTTGACCTTGGAAAACGTGTGAATGCGCTGTTTTGGGTTGTGCTGCCCCACCAGCCCCACAAGCTCGCCCTCTGCCTTCTCCAGCTGCTGCTGCACGCCCTCCAGTTGTTGCTGGGGTGGGGTAGAAAGATGAGCCAAGGAAAGGAGACGAGAAGAGAAAAGAAAGGGTGACGGGACGAACAGGAGAGGCCAAACCCGAGTATCGCCCTCGCCAGCACACTCTGCCTTCTCCAACTGCTGCTGCACGCCCTCCAGTTGTTGCTGGCGGGGGGAAAGGGAGAGGAGCCAAGGCAGGGAGCGAATAGAAAGGCTGATTTAACGAAACATACAGAAACCAACCCACACCAGCCCCACAAGCTCGCCCTCTGCCTTCTCCAGCTGCTGCTGCACGCCCTCCAGTTGTTGCTGGGGTGGGGTAGAAAGATGAGCCAAGGAAAGGAGAAGAGAACAGAAAAGAAAGGGTGACGGGACGAACAGGAGAGGCCAAACCCGAGTATCGCCCTCGCCAGCACACTCTGCCTTCTCCAACTGCTGCTGCACGCCCTCCAGTTGTAGGTGGTTGGGGAAGGAAAGAGGGTCCAAGGCAGGGAGAGAAACGAAAGGCTGATTGAACGAATCATCGAGAAACCAGCCCACGCCAGCCTCTCCGGCTCGCCCTCTGCCTCCTAACAACTGCTGCTGCACGCCCTCCAGTGGTTTCTGGGTTAGGGGAAGGAGCCACGAAAAGGGGAAGAGACGAAAGAACCATCAATCAAGGAAATGGTTCACACCAGCCTCTCCGGCTCGCCCTCTGCCTCCTAACAACTGCTGCTGCACGCCCTCCAGTTGTTTGCTGGCGGGGGAGGAGAGATGAGGGGTCGAAGGGATGCCTTCTCTGAAGCACTGCCTCGTGCTGTTCTGGCTGCAGCTGCTGCTGTGCCCGCTGCTGCACTGCACCGAAAGACAGTTTCTAAGGCGCCCTAGAAGCACACTCTCATGCTGAGCATTCTCCTGAGAGAGCGCCTGGCCCCTCTGCAGGCACTTGCCCGCCATGCTCTCTGCAGCACAGCCTGCTGCTGCAGCACAGCCTGCTGCTGTGCTGGCTGTTGCTGCTGAACTAAGAAACCGTTTTCGATGAGTTGTAGAAGCACACTCTCACCTTGAGGTGAGCATTCTCCTGAGAGAGCGCCTGGTCCCTCTCCAGGCACTTGTCCGCCATGCTCTCTGCAGCACTGCCTCTGACTGCTGCACTGCCTGCTGCTGCACTGCCTGCTGCTGCACTCTCTGCTGCTGTGCTGGCTGTTGCTGCTGCACTAAGAAACTGTTCCTGAGGAGTTTTAGAAACACACTCTCACCTTGAGGTGAGCGTTCTCCTGAGAGGGCGCGTGGTCCTTCTGCAAGCACTTGTCCGCCATGCTCCTCTGCAGCACTGCTTCTGGCTGCTGTGCTGCCTGCTGCTGCATTGACTGCTGAAGCACTACCTTCAACCCCTCAAGCGTCTCTCACCTTGAGGTGGGCGTTCTCCTGAGACTGTGCGTGGTTCGTCTGCATGCACTTGTCCGCCATGCTCCTCTGCGGTACTGCCTTGACTGCTGTGCTGCCCGCTGCTGCTTCACTGCCGGTTGCTGCACTACCATCAACCCAGCAAGCGCTTCTCACCTTGAGGTGCGCATTCTCCTGGGTGAGCGTGTGGTTCTTCTGCAAGCACTTGTCCGCCATGCTCCTCTGCAGCACTGCTTCTGGCTGCTGTGCTGCCTGCTGCTGCATTGACTGCTGAAGCACTACCTTCAACCCCTCAAGCGCCTCTCACCTTGAGGTGGGCGTTCTCCTGAGACTGTGCGTTGTTCTTCTGCATGCACTTGTCCGCCATGCTCCTCTGCAGCACTGCCTCTGACGGCTGTGCTGTCCGCTGCTGCTTCACTGCCTGCTGAAGCACTACCTTCAACCCCTCAAGCGCCTCTCACCTTGAGGTGCGCATTCTCCTGGGTGAGCGTGTGGTTCTTCTGCAGGCTCTTGTCCGCCATGCTCCTCTGCAGCACTGCCTCTGACCGAATCTGCTGTATCTCCACCAGAAACCTGGGTGATCGTGATGGGGCGGACAGATTTGGGGAATAATGACACACGCAGACCGCAAGCAGCAGCACATAACACCGCATGTGCTGCACTTGTCTGCAGCACTGCTTCTGAGAGCATTTGCTGTGTCTCCACCAGGAACCTGGGTGATCGTGAGGGGGCGGAAAGAAAACACTAGGGAATTTGTGGGACACAGAAACTGCAATGCATAGCAGCAGCACCACATGAAACTGCAATGCATAGCAGCAGCACCACATGAAACCGCAATGCATAGCAGCACCACCACATGAAACCGCGCTTCCTGCACGCTAAATCTCCACCGCCAGAATTTGCGGTAAATGGATGATGGGGAAGCACAGACGAACAGACAGCGAGTCCCGAATGCCTTGTAAGTGGGTGTTGAGAAAATTCAAAAGAAGCCAGTGAAAAAATGTTTCCAGAAGTGCAAGTTTTTAAGGCTTGGTGCAAGCAGCACCAGAGGAGTGAGGAATGGATGAAATGAGGTGCGGGAAAGCGGAAGGTTGAGGAGGGGAGCAGAGAGTCGAATGAGGAATGGTTGTAGTACGTCTCTTTCTCAGATTAAGAGGGGTCAGAGCAGAGAGAGCAGGTGGGAAGATAAAGGCGATGCACATCTTGTTCCCAATAATGAAAATGTTAAGAGCAGAGAGGACAGGCTTTTGAGGCGCCTCAAATGTTCAGAGCAGAGAGGGCAGGTGAGAAGGCAAGGGCGACGTACTTGTCTTTCTCGTGAAGGAGGAGGTCTTGCTGCGTGCGAAGCTGGCGAATCTCATGATCCTGGCAGAAGAAGCAACGAGGAGGAGAGGCCGGAAGGAAAGTGACAGGGAAAGAAAGGATGAAGGCAAGCACGTTGGTTGGAAAGCTATGGTCCTGATGGAGGCGAGATGACAAGGAGAGGATGAGAGGGGTCTAGTTTTGAGGCGCCTCAAAACGTGAAGGGCGCAGGCAAGCCAACGTTGGCCGGAAAGCTATGGTACTGTGGTGGCGAGGCGACCAACCCACTTAATGCATCACCTGTTTGCTGAGGCGCCTCAACACCTGAGCACGGCAACCCACCTTTTGCAGCACTTGCTGGTGCCTCCTCAATGCCTTCGCCTTAAGCAGCTCCACTGCTGCCCCTCCTGCTGCTGCTACTGCATCAGGTGTTCCTTGCCCATCTCCAGCTCCTCCACTGCCTCCAATACCCGACACCGATGCCGACCCTTCTGCCTCAAGAATAACACCCATTCCCATTCCCATTTCCACTCCCATGCCCATTCCCGTGGCCACAGGCGAGCCGTCGTGCGTGCTTCCCGCTCTCCTTGCACGCGTGGGCGCTGGAGTGCTCATGGCAGCGAGTGAGCCGCGCACTGACTGCTCCGATGCACACAGCTGGGCGTGAAGCAGGCGGTTCTGGTAGGGATGGGAGGGACGGGAGGGATGGGAGGGATGGGAAGGATAGGCGCACGGGAAGGTTGGGTTGTGATGAAGGAAAATCTGCGGTGGAGTGCTCATGGCAGCGAGTGAGCCGCGGAGTGACTGACTGCTCCGATGCACACAGCTGGGCGTGAAGCAGGCGGTTGTGGGGGTATGGAGAGATGGGGGCATGGGAAAGAGCAGCGAGAATGAAAACACGCCTGTCCTGGAGTGCTCATGGCAGAGCGTGACCCGACCCGTGCACTGACTGCTCTGATGCACACAGCTGGGCGTGCAGAGTATGGTTCTGCAGGTATGGGGGCTATCAGAGGGATGAGAGGGATGGGGTAATGCGGGGATGAGAGGGATGGGGTAATGCGGGGATGAGAGGGATGGGGTAATGCGGGGATGAGAGGGATGGGGTAATGCGGGGATGAGAGGATTGGGTAATGCGGGGATGAGAGGGATGGGGGCATGGGTGCATGAGGGCAGGGAGGGATGAGAGGGATGAGAGGGATGGGGGATGGGTGATGAGAGGGATGGGGGCATGGACAGGAAGGGGGGCGAGTTGAGAGCGATAGGAGCATGGCCAGGCTTTCACAATGCAGTGCTAGAAAAGGTGAAAGTTGTTGTGGGACATCTCCCAAGTACGCACCTCCTTCTGAAGAGCTTCAATCTCCTTCACCAGCTGCTTCACCTCGCCCTCCTTCCTCTCCATCTCCCTCTCCCTCTCCCTCTCCCTCTCAATCCTCCCACTCCACCACTCATCACCACTCCCCACCTCTCCCTCCCTCCCATGCTCCAACCCGCTAGCAGCACACACCACACTTCCATCCAGACGTGTAGGCAAGCTCATTCTCCCACCCTGCCTCCCTCTCCCCAGTTCACGAGAAGCCGAGAAGAGGACCGGGGTGGCATGTGGCTGCTGCACGCTCACTGCTGACACCCCATCTGTTCCCACGTCAACAGCACGAACAGGCGTACTCAGCACTCCCATCCCATCCTCCTCCCGACCTTCTTCCCACCCAGCCCCTTCCCCATCCCCCTTCTCCTCCTCACTCCTCATTTCCTCCCCACCCTCTCCCTCCCCCACTTCCTCCTCTCCCTTCTCCTTCTCCCCATTCTCCTCCGACCCACACTCCCCCCTCTGATCCAGCAACCATCTCTCTCGCTCGAGAACCTCCCTTACAGCCTGCATCTGCTCCACCTCCCTCCTCTGCTTCTCCCTCTCCGCTCTGAACCCTGCCAGCTCAGCATCCATCTGTGCTCCCTGCCCTTCCAGCGCAGCACACGTGGCCCTCAGCTGCTCCTCCTCTGCCCGTCTCTCATCCTCCGTCTGCCTCCTTCCCTCCTTCGCTCGCTGCCCTTCCCCCTCTGCCTTCACCGCCGGTGTAACCTCCCCGATCTCTCCCATTTCCTCCACCTCCTCCTGCTCGATCCTCTCTGCATCGATCCCCTCCAAGCATGATGGAATCCCATCCTGATCCTTCTCTTCCTGCACATCCCCTTCACCCACCTCCTCATCTCCCCTCCTCTCCTCCCCCACCTCCCTCCTCCTCTCCTCCACCGCCCTCCTCCTCTCCTCCACCTCCCTCCTCTCCCTCTCCACCCGCCCCTCCTCCCCTTCCAGCTCCCTCTCCCTCACCCTCCCATCCCAGATCCTCGCTCCAATCGCTCCAATCGCAAGCTCAAAGCTCTCCCTCCTGCCCTTCCCCGGCACAGCCACCACATCCCCTTCCGCCAACCCCAACATCCCCCTCAACACCCCATTCTCCTTCACCAAATCCCTCACTGCCTCTTCCGCCTCTCTCTTTTCCTCCTCCGACCTCTCCTTCCCCTCACGCACCCTCCTCAGCTCTCTCTGAACCAGCTCTAGAACCACCCTCCCCCAGTTGTACCTCACACCCATGTCATACCAACATCCCCCTGGATATTGCACCTCTTGCCGGTGAGTCTCCCAGGCTCCCCACGTGTCCTCCCACACTCCCAGATTCACTGTCACCTCTTCCAACTCCCTCCGACTCCTCTCCAACTCCTCCTTATGCCTCCGAATCTCCTCCTCTTTCCCCTCAACCTCCTCTCGCACCTGCAACAACTCCCCCTCCAGCTCTTCCCGAGACTGCCCCTGCTCCAGCCCCCCTTCTCCTTCCATCTTCACCATTCCAAACCGACCCATACCTTCCAGATCTTCCAGTATCCCCTGCAGCAGAATCACCTCTGCGTTCGCCCTGACTGCTTCTGCCTCCTCAATCTGCATCAGATTCTCCAGCGCCTCCGCCCTCGCTCTCACACTCTCCTCCTCCTCCGCCCTCTCTCTCACTCTCTCCCCTGCCAAACGCGCCTCTTCCTGCGCCTCCTGCACCTTCCTCGCTGCTTCCTCCAGTCTCACCGCATCCTCTTCCGCCCTCCTCTCCGCCTCCCGTGCTTTCTCCTCCAATTCTTCCACCTTCCTCATAAGCTCATCCACTAGCCGTTGTGCCTGCTCCCTCTCTACCTCCTCCCCCTCACTCACCCTCACCTCTCCTCCTGCCACCTCACTCCCCTCATCCACCACGTCACCCTCCTCTCCTGCCACCTCACTCCCCTCCTCCACCACATTATCCTCCTCTCCTGTCACCTCATCCCCCCCAACACCCGCCCCAATTCCCCCTTCCCCCACCTCACCTCCAGCGCCTCCCACCCTGCCCTCCCTCACCCTCCTCTCCGCCTCTTCCGCCCTCTCCCCCGCACTCAACACCTGCGCTCTCACCGCACCCAACTCCTCCCTCATCCTCTCCAACGCCTTCTCATCCTCCACCTTCTGTTCCGCCGCCTTCACAAGCCTCTGCAGAGCCGCCCTTAGCTCATGCTTCAGCCTCACATACTTAGCCCTCGTCTCTTCCGAATCATCCAACAATCCCCTCAGATTCTTCGCCTCATCCATAGTCCTCTGAAGGCTCCTCTCTGCAGCAATCCTCCTAGCTGTCGCCTCTTGAGTCTTCTTCCACTCAGCTTCTGCCAATTGTGCCGCCTCTTCCCCCAAATCCCGCTCTCTCCTCAACGCCTCCTCCAGATCCCTCTTCTCCTCCTCGCTCCGCTCCTCCCGACCCTGAAGTTCCCGGACCTGTTCCTGGATCGCCTGCAGCTGCTCGTCCACCGCAGCCTTTTCCCGAGCCAGCGCCGCAGCTGCGGCAGCCGCTTCCCGAACCTCTCTCTCCGCCTCCTCCGCCAGCCTCTCCGCCTCACGCCTCCGCCCCTCCTCGGACTGCATCCTCTCTACAAGCTCCCTCGCTTCCTGTTCCTGCAGCTTCAGATTCGCCTTAAGCGCGCTGTTAGCCCACTCTGCCTCCAGCTTCCCTTTGACTGCCGAGTCCAGATCCAATCTCTGCTGCCTGAACCGGTCCTGATCCTTGCCCACATGCCTGAGAGAAGACCTACAGTCAACCACACACTCCGCACCTCCCACTCCTCCCACTACTCCTCCTCCGCCTCTTCCTGCTGTAGCATCCTTGCCTCTCGTAGAAAGCGGAGTCTCAAACCCCTTGGCACCAGAAAACGCCTCTTCGAGGTTCCTATTGATGCCTGCCCCCTGACCGGTTCCAAACCCGCCGCTGGAGGGAGTGGCAGCACGAGCGCCCCGAGTGGTGGTGACCAGGGGCGTGGGAATGAGAGTGCTGGGGGCAGCAGCACGCGCGGCTGACGGGATGGGAGTGGGCGCGGTGGAGAGATCTCCCTTCTGTGAGGTGAGGCCCCTTTGGAACGCGTAGGAGGAGGTATCGGTGTTGAAAGCCTTGAAAGAGCTGATTTGCTCTCCCAGAGAGAGGTTCTGAGCAGCCAGCAGCTGCATCTCCGCCTCCATCTCTTTCGTTTGCCTGTTGGATGGGGTGATGGGGGTGATGGGGAGGCGTTGGGTTGGGGGGTGGAGGGATGGAGAGGCATGAGTTGAGGTTCTGAGCAGCCAGCAGTTGCATCGTCGCCTCCATCTCACGCGTTTGCCTGTCGGATGGGCAGAGGAGGGATCGAGGCATGGAAGGACGGAGGGATGGAAGGATGAAGCGGTGGGGGGGCGGATGGCGCGCATGAATTGAGACTTTCAGCAGCCAGCAGCTCTATCTCCGCCCCCTGCACCCGGCCAGCTTTTGATTTGACTCTAGAGTCACCAAACCCATCATCCACCATTCGTCTCTCACCTCGCCAGCTGCTCGTTCGCAGCATCAGACAGCCTTACGCGCTCCCTGCACGGATCCACCTGGTGTGCTCCCTGCAGCGAGCCAGCTGTTGCGTTGACTCAAGAGTCACCTACTGCCTGCCGCTCAGCTCGCCGACTCCGACAGCCCAGCCCGCCCTAGCTGCTCCCTGCAGCGAGCCAGCTGCTCACGCACTCCCCAGCATCACTATACCTGCATTTTCCTCTGGATCTTGCCGCTCTCTCACCTCGCCAGTTGCTCGTTAGCAGCATCAGACAGCCTTAGGTGCTCCCTGCAGCGACCCAGCTCCGCCCGTGCGCCCTGCAGTTCCTGCGTGAGCTCCTCTATGCGCGCCTGCGCGTGGCCCCCGCCCGCTGCTGCCTTCTGCACCAACAGCTCCGCCACCTGCCGGTTGAACGTGTGGGGAGAATCCAGGGATGAGAGGGCAGGGACGGCAGGGAACTTTTGAGTCGACTCAAAATTCACCTAGTCACTCCTCCACCTGCCGGTTGAACGTGTGGGGAGAATCCAGGGATGAGATGAGAGGGCAGGGAGGGCAGGGAAGAAGGGAGGGGATGTAAGGCAGGGAGGGCAGGGAGGGCAGGGAGGTAAGGCAAGGAGGGCAGGCAGGGGAGGTAAGGCACGGAAGGAAGGGATACATTTCGCACTGCTCTCCCATCACAACACACTGCTCTTCCCTCACACCGCATTGTTCTCCCCTCTCACCGCACTGCTCTCCTCTCACACCGCACTGCGTTCACGTCACCCTCTAGTGCGCTCAACCCACACTACAAAGTGCGCTCACCTGATCCTTCAGACTCTCCATATCACTCTTCTCACCCTCCGACCCACTTCCCTCCTCTTCCACCTCCTCCTCCTCCTCCTCGCCCTCCTCCACAGTCGCCAACCTTCCCTCCATCCCCTCTCCCTCTCCACCACCAGCACCACCAGCGTCACCACCATCGCCACCAGCACCCATCACCTCACCTCCTCCCCCAGCACCACTCCCACCACCACGAGCAGCAGCAGCAGCAGCAGCAGCAGCAGCAGAAGAAGCAGAAGCAGCGAGCTGCTTCCTCAGCTTCGCATTCTCGCCCCTCAGAGCGCCCACTTCCCTCTCCAGCTCCCTCTCCCTGCGCAAGCACCCCGCCAGCGTCCGCTCCAGCCGCTCAATCTCCCCCAGCAGCTGCACATGCCTGGGAGAGTTCGCCCTCTCCTGCAACGCTATTGCCAGTGGGGAGCAGGCAGCAGCAGCGGTAGTCCCAGCAGGAGCGATAGAACCAACAGCACCAGTGCTGGTGGGGTTGAGAGGGGTAGCGGAAGGATTGCGGGGTGTTCTGGGTGTGGTGGTGCGGGAGTGAGGGAGGGAGAAGGGAGGCGAGGAGGAGGAGGAGGCAGGGAGGAGCAGACGGGCTTCGCAGGTGCAGAGCTTATACAGTCGATGAAGCTCGTCCTGTGTGTGGGGATGGCGGGAGAGGAGGGGAAGAAGAGAGAGGACGCATGGTTGAAGGGAAAAGAGGCAGGAGGGAGTGAGAACGACAGGAGAAGGTGTCGTTAGGAAGGAGATAAGTAGAAACAAGAGAAACAGGCAAGGCGAGGATCTATCAAACTCAAAATGCACCTGAAGGTTGTTCTGCGTTCTGAGTCGACTCAGAAGAGGCTCACCATGTGCCTCACTTTGAGCACCGTGAGCATTACTGTGAGCATTGCCGTGAGCATTGCTGTGAGCACCATGATGCTGCAGGGTATTTTTTAGAATTCTAAAAAAAACCCTAAGAGGCTCACCATGTGCCTCACCTTGAGCACCGTGAGCATTACTGTGAGCATTGCCGTGCGCACCCTGAGCCATATAAGAGGGCAGGGCGCTTCGCAGCTTGAGGGCGTCATGCTCACCCTCTGAGACATGTGGAGTCGTGCTGAGTTGTCTCAGAACGCACCTTCAGTTCGGCTAGCTCCTTCTTGAGAGCATCTTTCTTACCCTCTGTGGCCTCATTCACCACCGGTCCACCGCCTTGTTGTGCATTCTGACTCGACTGAAAATACACCTAAGCATCGCATCTTGAGCCGGGCGATCTCCTTCTTGAGAGCGTCCTTCTCGCCCTCTGCAGCCTCATTCACCACTGCCTTGTTTTGCATTCTGACTCGACTCAAATTGCACCTAAGCATCACACCTTGAGCCATCTTAGAGGGCAGGGAGTGTCGCACCTTGAGTCTGGCGATCTCTTTCTTGAGAGCGTCCTTCTCGCCCTCTGCGGCCTCGTTCACCACGGCCTTGTTATGCACCAGCTTCGCCCGCTGTGCGAACTTGAGCGTGCTGTGTGACTCCCTGAACGACCTGCAGGTGGGAGAGACGCAAGAAGATGTGCCTAAGAAACTGGGTGCTGTGTGTGCCGCCTCATTCACCACTGCCTTGTTATACACCAGCTTCGCTCGCTGTGCGAACTTGAGCGTGCTGTGCGACTCCCTGAACGACCTGCAGGTGGGAGAGACGCAAGAAGATGTGCCTAAGAAACTGGGTGCTGTGTGTGCCGCCTCATTCACCACTGCCTTGTTATACACCAGCTTCGCCCGCTGTGCAAACTTGAGCGTGCTGTGCGACTCCCTGAACGACCTGCAGGTGGGAGAGACGCAAGAAGATGTGCCTAAGAAACTGGGTGCTGTGTGTGCCGCCTCATTCACCACTGCCTTGTTATACACCAGCTTCGCCCGCTGTGCAAACTTGAGCGTGCTGTGCGACTCCCTGAACGACCTGCAGGTGGGAGAGACGCAAGAAGATATGCCTAAGAAACTGGGTGCTGTGTGTGCCGCCTCATTCACGTGTGCACCAGCTTCGCTCGCTGTGGAAACTTGAGCGTGCTGTGCCACTCCCAAAACGACCTGTGGGTGGGTGGGAGAGACGCAAGAAGATGTGCCTAAGAAACTGAGTGCTGTGTGTGCCGCCTCATTCATGTGTACACCAGCTTCGCTCGCTGTGCAAACTTGAGCGTGCTGTGCGACTCCCTGAATGACCTGCAGGGGCATACATGCATGCGGGCAATCAGAAATATTGGGGCACATGAGAAGATATGTGCTGAGTAATTCATCACCACCGCATTGTTATGCACCAGCTTCGCCTGCTGTGCGACTCCCGAAACGACCTGTGGGTGCAGACACACACGAGACAGGGCAACAAAAGTTGATGCATGTGAGCTGAGGCATCTCAAGAACTGGTGCTCATGTGACAGCATCTCAAGAACTGGTGGTCATGTGACAGCAGCACACATCACCAGTGCTTACTCTGCGAATGGGCTGATGCACGCGATGATGGTGGTCTTGGAGTTGCCTCAAAACTCACCTCATGGGTCTCACACAGCAGCAGACATCATCAGTGCGTACCCGGCGAATGGACTGATGCACGCGATGATGGTGGTCTTGGAGTTGCCTCAAAACTCACCTCATGGGTCTCACACAGCAGCAGACATCATCAGTGCGTACCCGGCGAATGGACTGATGCACGCGATGATGGTGGTCTTGGAGTTGCCTCAAAACTCACCTCATGGGTCTCACACAGCAGCAGACATCATCAGTGCGTACCCGAGGAAACACCCTGCAGACATGGGAAGAGGAAAGACGGATGGGTGGGGTGCTACAAACAACAGACATGGGATGACGAGCAAGCAAGGTGTTCTGAAATGAGATTTCTCGGAAACACCCTGCAGCAAGCATGGTCTATCCCAATCGAATCAAAGTACCGTGCTACGCGGCAGATGCAACGAACCTGGCCATACGCGAACATGGTGCTGTTGTATCCAGAAAGGCAGTTCTCGACTATGGGCCTCCCTGCCACCTCAAACAGGTCCTCCTGCACGGGGAGAAGGGGGAAAGGGGGCAAGACGGGGGGAAAGGAGGGGGAACGGGGGGAAAGGGGCTTATGAGGCGCTTCAATGAGAGGCAATTTTCGACTATGGGCCTCCCTGCCAGCTCAAACAGGTCCTCCTGCCACGGGGAGACGGGGGCAGGGGGGACAGGAAGGGGAAGGGGGGGAAGGGCTTATGAGGCGCCTTTATGATTGGCAGTTCTCGACTATGGGCCTCCCTGCCACCTCAAACAGGTCCTCCTGCAGAAAGAGTCAAGGGAGAGAGGGGGGAAAGGGGAGAGGGGCAGCGGAGAGGGAAGGGGGAAAGCGACAGGGGATTGGGGACTTGGAATAAAGTTCTCGAATATGGGCCTCCCTCCCTGACAGCTCGAACAGGTCCTCATGCAGAGGGGAAGGAGGGAGGGAAAGAGGGGGAATGGGGTAGACGGACAGGGATGGGGATCTAGAGGAGAGCTTTTCAACAACGGGCTTCCCTGGCAGCTCGAACAGGTCCTCCTGCAATGTGACTCAAGGGAGAGGACGGGGGCGGGGGAAGGAGGCGGGGAAAGGGGCGAGGTGGAAGGGGGAGGGGAACGGGGCGGGGAAAAGGGGTGAGAAGACAGCGAGAGATGGCGGATGTTGAAGGAATGAAAAAAAAGGCTTGTCAGATCAAACGGGCCCTCCAAAGGGGGAAGAGGGGAGAGAGGGGAGAGAGGGGGTAAGGGCAAGGGGGCCGGGTTCAAAGGGAGAGTGTTGACACACAACCATGCATCGGCCATGCTGAGCAGCAAGGATCACAGACCCACCGCATCCTCATGGCACTTGTGTTCCTTAACCACCATGACCATGCGCTCGCTCCCGCCCTTCATTTCAAGAGCGCCTATCCTCACGCACTGCTCTCATCTCATCCCCATGCCCACCTGCGACACGCGCTCTCCCCTACCCTTCAACTCAACAACCCCCATCCCCATCTCCACGCGCTGCTCTCATCCCCATGTGTACCTGCGTCGCGCTCTCCCCTGCCACGTGGACGAACGTGAACTGCTCCGCCGCGACCGGGGAGCTTCCTGCGCCCCCATTACCACCACCACCCCCCCTCATCCCCCTTTCTTCACTGCAGAAACGCCCATCCCCACGCCTACCTGCGACAGGCTCTCCCCCGCCCTTCAATTCAACAGCTCCGCTGCTCGCTTACCAATGCCCACCTGCCACGTGCCCATCCCCATGCCCACCTGTGTCGCGCTCTCCCCTGCCACGTGGTCGAACGTGAACTGCTCCGCCGCGCCCGCCCTGTCCGGGTTCACCAGGAACAGTGACCGCGGGCCGTCCTGTGCCACACACCTCCTCCCCTTCCCCTTCCCTGCAAGAGCCCCCATCCCCATGCGTACCTGTGTCGCGCTCTCCCCTGCCACGTGGTCGAACGTGAACTGCTCCGTTGCACCCGCCCTGTCCGGGTTCACCAGGAACAGCGACCGGGGGCCGTCCTGTGCCACACACCGTCGCCCTCTTCCTTACACTGTAGGCACGCCCAAACCCATGCATGCCTGCTGCGTCACACACCACCACCCCCTCCCCTTCCCTGCAGGAGCACTCGTCCCCACGCCTACCCACGACACGCTCTTCCCCCCCTTTCAGTCCAAGTGCTCCGCTGCTCGCTTACCCATGCCTGCCATGTGTCCAACCCCATGCGTACCTGTGTCGCGCTCTCCCCTGCCACGTGGTCGAACGTGAACTGCTCCGTTGCGCCCGCCCTGTCTGGGTTCACGAGGAACAGCGACCGGGGGCCGTCCTGTGCCACACACTTTGCCCCGGGCCCGGGGTACCCCGTCAGCTCAGGGCCTGCAGGCGGCCGCACCCTCACGATCACCTGACAGTGAGCAATTGGGGTGAAAAGGGGGGAGAGAAACAGCAGAAAGAAAACGGATGTGACATTTGAGTCGACTCAAGAGTGACTTGGGGCCGTCCTAACCACACACCGCCCCCCGAGGTACCCCGTCAGCTCAGGGCCTGCTGGTGGTCGTACCCTCACGATCACCTGACGGTGCGGTGGGCGGATGGGATGGGTGGAGAGAGCGGAAACGGATGAAGAGAGGGAGGCGGACACAGAGAGCGAGGGAGAGAGAGAGGACACAAAAGTGGCACACCTTTCCTCTCAAATGAGCGAGCGGGGATGGGCCTGCAGGCCGGCACCTCGAATTCCTAATCATGACATGGCATCAGCTCCAGCCCAGCAAGCAAATCCACCTTCTAAGGTCTCCGAAACAGCTCAAGACATCTGACGTGACATCATGTGCGGTGGATCCAGAATACCCCTCCAAAATTCGCCAAATCTTCCATGCCTGAATCTTCGAGCCCCCTCAATATGTTCAAAATCTGAGACATGCAAATTTCCCCGGGGTCCTTACTTGGATGTTGGAATCATCCGAGAGTGCGGCTGATAACCGTTTGGGGACGGGACGCGTCCTCGTGGCGGTGCTCGGAGTCTTGACCGCCATGGTGCGATCGCGACCTGCGGGTAGAGAGACGCACATAAGGATAACAGTAAATTGTTCGAATCATCCGAGATCGCGGCTGATAACCGCGTGGGGACAGTGCTCGGAGTCTTGACAGCGATGGAGCGATCGCGATCTGGACAGAGGGACGCACGGAAAGATTATGCATGAATATTTGAGGCGTCTATGATTGCGGCTGATAACCGCGTGGGGACGGGACGAGTCCTCGTGGCGGTCTATGTTTGAGTCCTGATAGCGATGGTGCGATCGCGATCTGCGAGTAGAGAGGGACGCACGGACGGATAACGCATGAATTGGGTGAACCAGACGCACGAGAAACTAAACTTGTGTTGAGACGCCTCACGCTGCTCGGACTCTTCACAGCTTTGGTGCGATCGCGATCTGCGGATAGAGACGGACGCACGGAAAGATAACGCATGAATCAGGTGAACTAGAGACGCAGGAAAGTGAAATCGTTCTGAGACGTCTCGAGATAGATTCGCTTTCACGTTGTTCGAAGTTTTGGCAGCGATGGTGCGACCTGGGACGTACGGAGGAATAACGAAACGGGTCAACGAGAAAGTTGGTGATTTTATTTTCAAATTTCCAAACACATTCACTTTCACGTGGTTCGGAGTTCTGACATAGAGACACGCACGGAAGAATGATGTACGAATCAAGGTCAACGAGAGGACTTTGAGTCGACTTAAAATTCAGATGCGGGTAGAGTACTCATGGAAGGATGACGAATCAGGGAAAACGAGCGTGGGTCATTTCGACGTAAGAGGGTGATTGGAGCATCATCGACATGCATCAAGCGCAGCATGACTCGTATACTCACACGCCTGCGATTGCGGTGTGAGCACGTTGCCGGTCAGCGTCGCAAGCCCCGCTCTAGGCGTGCCTCGATGCGACGACGCCGACGACGACAAAACCCCTGCCTGCGACGCTGACGACGACAATCCCGCAGCCTGCGACGACGACAACGACGGCCCTCCTTGCAGCGGTGTCTGACGGCTGAGAGAATCAGACTTGCTGGGTCCGCTTTGCTGTCTGGCGGATCTATTACGGCCTAAGGAAGACGGCGGAGCCATGTTCTCCATTTTTAAACTGGAGAGAAGCATCAAGACGGGAAGGAAAAAACAGGCAGAAACAAAGTGGTGGATAAGGAGGCGAACCATGATCGGAATCTGCTGTCCGCTGCTCGAATGGTGCTTTGTAACCTGATGATACACATAAACAATTAACTGAACGTGAATATTCAACGTGACGATTGCCGGCTGAAATTTGACAGCGGAATTGATAACCTGTTATCCTCTTGATATGTATGAAGGAGAAAAACACTACAGCGTACGGACTGCATATCCAGCATATACGTTTACTGGTAACGGTCGGCGTCCTTAGCGTTCAGATAACAATCACTCCGACGCCACTAGTCCAGGAGGCGATACTGCCAGCGAAATGCTGGCAACCATTAACAACCAGCCTACGAGGTGACTTTGAATACTAGACTCAACAACGTGTCCCTAGTAAGTTAAAAAAACCACGTCGAGACCGGATGCCTTTCGTGCAAGCCAATTAGCCACCTAAGATATCATACTGAACGGCATCGTGCCACTACCCTGAAGCGTCTGAAAACTACTCAACTCGTGGAGTCTATCAGTATAGCCAACAGATACCTTGGAGTTGTCATGGAGTTTCCGAGGAGTTCGTTGTTCAGGCAGGAGTTTGCCTTTGCGTTGGGATGGGAACGAATGGTTTGAGAAGTTCACTTTGACCCAGAATGGCCCTGAATTGTGAAACGTCTCCGAACTTGGGGATATACATTTAAACCTACGAATTCGTAAGGCTGCTTCTGTTGACAACTCCTCCACGCGGAAAGTTACGCTTTGCAAAATACAAGGAGATCTCTCAGAGAAGTCTCTTTTAAATCGACATAACGGAACCTGCCCCTGACTAAAATCCCTCCACGCGGATACTTTTATCAGCCCGCCCAAACATAGAAACCATGCGGATTACACACAGCACTGACCTAGATATTGGGGAATTCTTGGAAACATGCGAAAGGCCCTGATTGCTTCCCATCTCTGACGAGGCGCAGTGACAAAGTGGAATCGTCAGGTTCAAATATTCCCGCGCATGGAACCCTACTGAACCTCATGCTTCAAAGTGAATATGAACCCGCTAGACGCTTCCTCATTTCTATCAGAAGTTAGCTCTACATCGTCCTCTTGAAGGTATATTTTCCAACTAAACAGCGAGTGATGAGCGGCACTAGAAAAAGTCAGGAGGTTAGGGAGCAACTCAAATTACCCGGTAACGTCTCGCGAACACCAGGAGCACGCTTGCCGTGTACAAACTACAGCGATTTTGACAGCACCTTACGAACGTTTTTCTTACTCCCAACGGGATTTCTTGTATCGGGAACCAGTGCCAGACACGCTTCCCCAGGCTGGAGCCTCCCCAAATGTTCCACCAGCCAATTCTGACTTCGGCTATTCTGGGGCCTGATACCCTCCGTTGCTCTTTCTGTAACTGGACTGTTATTCTTTCTTGTGACCATGGCTGGCCACGGTTTCCTGCCTCGCGGGGACTGGGATCCTCGCTCGCCCAGCAGCAAACTGAGAGAAAATCGTAACTATCCTGACGACCTCTTGGTTTCCCCCTCTTCACCCCCAGCGACCGCTTCGTTCCCTCCATGTTCGTCCCTCCTCCCCATTTCGTCTTCGTTTCCTCCTAGACCGCTCTCCGTCCCCTCCTCTATTCCCGCTTCTTCCTCCTCCTCTTTCTCCTCCTCACTAGCAGCAAAGCAGGCCCAGGCCATGCTTTTGAGAGAATTAGTGGAACCTGCACGGAAGCTTCTTCCCCGGTCGCAATACCTGAATTCGAGCTCCAGCGGTTCTCCGTCCACTTCACCTCCTAATCCCAAAGTACATATTCTAAATCTCTCTCACTTTGCACGAAGCAACTTCGTACATACTTTTCCAACTCAGTGCGTTTCATTCTCGAAACCTGAAACCTCTCTGTGGCCGTTCCGCATTCTCCGTTCCCCATTCCCCGCTCCCTCTCTCCACCCCCTTCCTCCTCCCCGCCACTCAGGAGTCCCGACATCTCCGTGCCACCATCATCCAGGCAGTCTCTCGTTTCGACGCACATGTGGGAGTGCACCCCCCTCCTCATCCCACATCAACCGCACATTCCTTCCTTACGTTCAAACCCACCTGCCCACCCCCCCCTTCTACTCCCCCTCCCTCCCCTCCCCTTCAAGAATCGCGCCATCTCCGCGCCACCACCATCCAGGCCGTCTCTCGCTTCGTCGCCTCCTCATCTCATGACAGGTCAAGTTTCCTTACCTACCCCCTCGCCCCCCCTCCCTCGCTCCCTTCGCTCCCCTCCCACGCAGGAGTCCCGCCATCTCCGCGCCACCACCATCATTCAGGCCGTCTCTCGCTTCGTTGCCTCCCCATCCCAGGCCAATCCCATTCTCCACTCCCCTCCCCTTCCCTCCCCTCCCCTCCTCTCCCCCCTCTTCTCCCCCCTCCCCTTCAGGAGTCACGCCATCTCCGCGCCACCATCACTCAGGCCGTCTCTCGCTTCGTCGCCTCCTCATCGCGTGTCAAGCCCTCCCAGCTGCCACTGCTCGTTGCTGCCTTCTTCATCTCACCCATTCCAGCCGTTCCGAACCCATGCCATACCAAACCAAGCCGTTCTAGCCCTCCTGCCCGTGCAACTGCTGCTCCTCCTGCTGCTTCTGATTCTACGTCTCCTGCTGCTACTGCTGCTGCAGCGTCCACCACTGTTGCTGCGCCTGTCCCTGCTGCTGCCCCCCGTACTGCTGCTCCCCCTGCTGCTGCCTCTGTGCCCTGTCCAACTCCTGCCGATGCCCTGCTAGCACTGCTCTTAGCAGAGCAGGCCACAAGTAGCAGGAGTGGTGGAGACTGCTTGGAGGTCGAGTGCGGTGCTGCAGGGTGTGCAGCAGATGCTGAGTGCGGGGCTGAATGCATTCGAGTGCTCACAAGACCTCCTGCCTCCACCAAAGAAGCCAAGGTATGTTCCTCTCTGCTTTCTTTCTTCCTATCTTGTGAGTCCTCAACTCAAAGGTCCGGGTGTTCACAAGGCCTCCTGCATCCACCAAGGAAGCCAAGGTACTTTTCACCAATACTCTCCTCTCGCCAACCTCCTGTTTCCAACCTTCTTTTATTCTGCAAAATTATGAAGCTGCAATAATATTGGAATTATGTCCATATGCCAGTTGCCTGCCTCTCCCTCATTTCCCTGCAACCCTCCCTCCCTTATGATTCCCCCCCCTTCCTTCTTCAGCTGCAGCACACTCTCGTCCCTCTTCTGCTTCACATCGCATCCTGCCTTGGTTCAACTACCTATTCTTCATTGCTCCTCACAACCCCTTTTCATTCCCTTTCTCTTTTTCCTGATTCCTCCCTTCCCCTTCCCCCTTCCCCCTTCAGCTGCAGCACACTCTCGTCCCGCTTCTCCTTCACATTGCATCCCGCCTTGTCACCGCTACAGCAGACCCTCACCACTTTCTTTCCCCGACTCCACCCAACACCAACGCCCATCCTCATCCCTATCATCCAACCACCCTTCGACCGCAACATCTGTCGACCTCTCGTGCGCAATCTCTGTCCACCACTCAAGCGCATCCGTTGTTCGCGACTCAGACCCATCTGGGGTGTGCGTTTGACACATGCCGGCACGCCCTGGCTCGCCTGGCTGCTGAACTCGGCCCCCTCCAGTGCTGCCAGCAGCTGCTGCTGCACGCTGCGATCGTTGATGCTCAGGCTCATGCTGATTCTCGTGATATTGGTGCAGCAGCTGCTGCCGCTGCTCCTCCTGCTGCTTCTTGTTTTTCCGCTGTTTGCACACCTGCTTCTGCTTTTGCTGCTACTGCTGCTGCTACTGCTGCTGCTGTTGCTGCGCCTGGCACCAGGGATACCGCCCCTTCTAGTGCTCAATCTGCTGCAGCTGCGGCTTCTGCTGTCACCAGCAGCAACAACAGTGCAGTCCCATCACTCTCCCTGCTGCTGCTACAGTGCTTACAGCGCACAGAAGCTGCTATTCAAGCCTCTCCTCCCTCCCAGTCTGAGAAAGCAGCAGCAGCAGCAGCAGCAGCAGCAGCAGCAGCAGGGGCCGGGGAGTCAGCAGCAGCAAGAGAAGGAACGGCAGCAGTTGGAGGTGAAGGAGGGGCAGCAGAAGCAGAAGGAATGGCAGCGGCGACAGAGGAAGGAAGGGCAACAACCAGTGAAGGAAAGGTAGCAGGAGAAACGGGGAGCAGCAAAGGCAGTTCCCCTGGTTACATGTCCACGAGAGAGGCGTGTGCGCTTCTCTCCTCCCTCTCCTCCGCACTCCCTGAAACCGACGTTGCTCTGCTCTCTGCCTGCTTGCCTGTCCTTCTCCTTTTGCTGCTTCACCAACCAATACCGGCCTCTTTAAGCCTGAATGAGCCTTCGAATGTGCCCCTGAATGAGCGCCTGAACGCACCCGCTTTGCCTTCCCAGCAGCAAAGGCAACAAAAGCAGCAGCATGTGCAGAAATCAGGTGCAGCTTCATTGTTGCAGCGGCCCAGAGTACCACTTACACCGTCTTTTACATCCTTGAAAGCAACACCACTGCCCTCTCAGTCTCTCCCTTCTCAGCCTCTGTTGTCACCTGCACAGCAATCATTGCCGCCAAGAGTGGCAGCATTGCCACCTGCAGTGCCATCATTGGCCGCTGCAAAGCCATTGGTACAGCAGGCAGAGAGGGGAAACGAGCTGCCAGGCAGTACCCAGACTGCGAGGGGTAAACAGGCCGTGCACAGGGACAACACAGACTGGGATGCATTCACAGTGCCGGATGGAGTACCAGAAAGAGTATCAGAAGGACAACCTCCTTCTTCCGGTGCCCGTATGGCCAGGAAGAGACAGAAATTAGGAGCAGATGATGGTCAGGTGCCTTCAGGTGCTTCTGCAGTGCCTTCGGGTGGTTTTCAGGTGCCTCCTCCAGGTGCTTTTATCGTGCCCTCTGGTGGGTTCGAGGTGCCTTCAGGTACTTTTATGGTCCCTTCAGCTCCAGGTGTTTCTCAAGTGCCTTCAGATTCAGATGTGTCAGGTGCTTTTCAGGTGCCGTCAGGTGGTGGTGGAAAGCGGATGAAACCAGAATTGAAACAAAGCCAGGTGCTTTCGGTGGGCGCTGATGTGGCAGTTCCTGATTGGCATGTATGTAAGCGTGAAAATACCAGGGCACGAAGACTGGCAAAGCGGGGCATGGAAGCAGCAGCAGCAGACGAAGAAGTAGGAGAAATGGCAGCAGCAGCAGCAGCCGCAGCAGGACTACCAGCAAGAAAGCCAGCAGCAGCAGAAATGGCAGCAGCACCATCAGCAAGAAGGGCAGCAGCAACATCTGGATCAGCAACAGCAACGGCAACAGCCGCAACAGAGGGAACGATCCCCAAGAGGGAAGCACGGATTAGGAATACTGTTGTCTCCCTAGCATCAGCAACACCACAAGCAGTTCGGGAACCCTCCTCCTTCCACTCCCACTCACACTCACACTCACACTCACACTCACACTCACACTCACAAACCATCTCAACCCACTTTCCAGCTCAAAGCTTTCACTCTCCCTCCTTGATTAACTTCTCCCCACTCCTCTCCTCCTGCTCCGCCCTTCTCTCCGCTCTCCACACTTGTCTCCACTCCTTAATCCCACTCCACCGCATACCACCGCATGGTTTCCCCCTGCCCTGGCCTTTTGAGCCCCCTATCTCTCCAGAATCTTCTGGGAAGCTTCTTCGGGATAAGTCACAATTTGACCAGCTGGTGTTGCTGCTTGGAGCGCTATATCCAGCTACTTTCGCTGCCGCTGCTTGTGATTATAATGGTGATGGTGGTGGTGGTGGTGCTGCTGCTGCTGCTGTTGCAGGTGATCGTGGTGACGGCTATTGTGCAGCTTCTGCAACTGGTGACGTTGTTCCTGTGCCTGCTGCTGCTGCTGATGGTGCTGCTGCTGCTGTTGGTGCTACTGCTGCTGCCGCTGCCACCGCAACTACTTCTGGTGATGCTGGTGGTGACGGTGCTGCTGATGCTGCCACTGCTGATGCTGCTGCTGCTGATGGGTTTAAAATATCCACCAATGCCCCTCCGTCCTCCTTCCCCCATCAATTCCTCTCCTTCGCCCGTAGACAGAGCCACGTTCTCAGCCTTCTCTTTTCAGCCTCTCTCGCCCGCTGCTCCTCCTCCTCGCTCCATCCCTCGCTCCTTCTCAACCTCACCACACCTCCTGGTACCCTGTCCGCCTCAGCACACGTCCCTTCTCAGTCCCAGCCAAAAATCCCCGCCCAGGAATGCGCCGAGAAGGAGCCGTTAGTGTGGACAAGAGGAGGAGGCGGATTGCAGGAGGATGGTTGGAATGGTGGGAAGAATGGGAAGGATGGACAGAAGAGAGCTATGCAGTTTCCGGCATGGGAGGAGGCTTTGATGAATGGAAACCGCGGCATGCCTCTTGCATGGATGCTGCAGCCACTGGAACGCATGGTTCTGTTTCCTTTCTCCGGATGCAGGGAAATGAGCCGTGGGGCAGACGGAGAAGGCAGGGGGGGTATTGACAGGAGGAGGGGCGCGGCCAGTATCAGTGGGGGCAATGACAGGAGGAGGGGAGGGGACAGCAGTGGGGGCATTGACAGGAGGAGGGGCGGGGACAGCAGTGGGAGCGAGCTGCTGAGTCAGGAGGGCAAGAGGAGCTGGGTGCAGTGGTGCTTGCCTCCCCCTCGGGATGACTACCGTGACAAGGAGTTCATTCAGGTGGGTGCTGTGTGTTTTGTGCGTGTGTTCTGAGTGTGTGTTGTGTGTGTGTGTTTTGTGCGTGTGTTCTGACTGAGTGTGTGTTGTGTGTGTGTGTTTTGTGTGTGTGTTCTGAGTGTGTGTTGTGTGTGTGTGTTTTGTGCGTGTGTTCTGAGTGTGTGTTGTGTGTGTGTGTTGTGTGTGTGTGTTTTGTGCGTGTGTTCTGAGTGTGTGTTGTGTGTGTGTGTTGTGTGTGTGTGTTCTGTGTGTGTGTTGTGTGTGTGTGTTTTGTGTGTGTGTTCTGAGTGTGTGTTGTGTGTGTGTGTTTTGTGCGTGTGTTCTGAGTGTGTGTTGTGTGTGTGTGTTTTGTGCGTGTGTTCTGAGTGTGTGTTGTGTGTGTGTGTTTTGTGCGTGTGTTCTGAGTGTGTGTTGTGTGTGTGTGTTGTGTGTGTGTGTTTTGTGCGTGTGTTCTGAGCGTGTGTTGTGTGTGTGTGTTTTGTGCGTGTGTTCTGAGTGTGTGTTGTGTGTGTGTGTTGTGTGTGTGTGTTCTGTGTGTGTGTTGTGTGTGTGTGTTCTGTGCGTGTGTTCTGAGTGTGTGTTGTGTGTGTGTGTTTTGTGCGTGTGTTCTGACTGAGTGTGTGTTGTGTGTGTGTGTTTTGTGTGTGTGTTCTGAGTGTGTGTTGTGTGTGTGTGTTTTGTGCGTGTGTTCTGAGTGTGTGTTGTGTGTGTGTGTTTTGTGCGTGTGTTCTGAGTGTGTGTTGTGTGTGTGTGTTGTGTGTGTGTGTTTTGTGCGTGTGTTCTGAGTGTGTTGTGTGTGAGTGTTTTGTGCGAGTGTTCTGAGTGTGTGTTGTGTGTGTGTGTTGTGTGTGGGTGTTGTGTGTGTGTGTTGTGTGTGTGTGTTGTGTGTGTGTGTTCTGTGTGTGTGTTCTGTGTGTGTGTGTTGTGTGTGTGTGTTCTGTGTGTGTGTTGTGTGTGTGTGTTGTGTGTGTGTGTTGTGTGTGTGTGTTGTGTGTGTGTGTTGTGTGTGTGTGTTCTGTGTGTGTGCTTGCCTCCCCCCCGGGATGACTACCGTGACAAGGAGTTCATTCAGGTGGGTCCTTTTTGTGTGTGTGTGTGCATACACTCTTCCTTTTTGACTGCCAAACCAAAGCATCAGTGTTCCCAACAAGCAGTTTCTTTCTGTGTGCATGAACCCAAGGAGCTCCCTCTCTCACACCCATCCTCTTTCCCCATCCCTCACCCTCAGATCGAACGAGGCCCGCAAGCCCTTCACCAGGCCTTCATTCAAATCCTCTCTGCCGACCCAACAGCTCTCCGGACTGGAGGCCTGGACGTCCGGTTCACAGGCGAGGGCGGAGCCGCAGGTCCGGGAGTGCTTCGGGAGTTCTTCGCCTTCGTTCGGGCGCACCTCTTCGACCCGAACCTGGGCCTCTTCGCTCCTGTACCTCACGACCCGAGCCGGTTCTCCCTCTCCCTGGCGTCCCGAGCCAACCCTGCCGAAGCTAAGGAGTACCTTCGGTTTGCCGGACGTATCCTGGCGCTTGCTTTGGCACATCAGGTTCCGTTAGGAGTGAAGCTGTCCCGGTCCCTGTTTGCATTGCTTGCTGCTCGCACTCCCTCGCTTGCTGATGCTGCTGATGATGATCCGCAGCTTGTTGCTAGCTGTCGGTCGTTGTTGGTTATGGCTGAAAGGGAGAGGAAAAAAGCAGCAAAAGGAACAGGTGGAGAAGCAGAGGAAGAGGAAGGAGGAGGAGCAGGAGGAGGAGAAGGAGGAGGAGTAGAATCACTGTGTCTCACCTTTGTGGCTTCAGTAGAGGATCCGATGGGTGGCCCACCAATCGAAGCAGAGCTTGTGCCAGGTGGCAGCGAGCGAGTGGTCGGTGCGGATGACGTGGCCGAGTTTGTGCAGCGGATGGTGCAGTTTAGAGTGTGCGGGGTGGTGGAGGAGGAGGGAGAGGCGTTGCGGCGAGGCATGGAGGATATATTGGGGAGCGGAGGAGGGAGGGATGTGGTTTTAGGGGAGGGGAATACGGTGGATGGAAGGGAAGGGATGGAAGGGAAAGGAGGGATGGAAGGAAGTGTACGGGTTCAGAGAGGGTTGGGAGGTGGTGTTGGAAGAGGTGACATGGAAGGAGGCGATGGGCTGCAGATGGCAATCCAGAAAAGTGATGATTGTTGCATTGATTCGGTTGAAGGCGTGAGTCTCGCGGCCATGCTCGCTCCCCTCTCATGCGACGACCTCAATCTGCTTCTCCATGGGGAGGACCGCCACGTGGCGGTCTCTGATTGGCAGGCGCACACTGTCTACCACGGGTATTCTCCGGAAGATCCCCACGTTTTGTGGTTTTGGGAAGTTGTGGAGTCGCTTTCGGGTGAGCAGCGGAAGTCTCTGCTGTTTTTTGCGACGGCTGTTTCGAATCTGCCCGTGAACGGATTCAGGGGGCTGGCGATGGGGTTTCATTTGCATCGGGCGGATGTGGATCTTTCGCGCCTGCCCACTGCTCACACGTGCTTCCACCAGTTCCTCCTGCCGCCGTATGAGAGCATTGAGACAATGCGCATGCGTTTGCTCACTCTCGTGAGCTCGCCGTATATTGTTCATAGCTTTGGCTTTGCATGATAGCAAGCGGGATTTTGTTTGCCACGCAACCCAAAAAACGGCTCTGTTCCGTACAGTTTGCCTCTGGTTTGGTAGGGCTCGTAAGTCCCCAGAAATATATCAGAACTTGCTGGTTGAGGCTCATATCACCATCTATTCATTTACTATTTTGTTAAACAAAACGGACAAACCTTATGGCGAATTTTCAGACTGTCTGTAGCTGGAATGGAATGACCAATCTGCCCATCGTCCTAGCAATTCTTCCTCCACCTAGGCTGCGATGTAGTGCAATGCTCCCTACATCCCGTCCCGTGCTTTTCTGTGCTTCATATCAGACTCGGACTAGCGACCCAGAATCACACAGAGCCAATGCCGAGCACGACTTGCCGCGTATAGGCAAGCTAGCGGCGACTAGTAGTGACCGATGGAGACAATTGTAGCAGTCCGAAAATGCAGGCAAACCGAGCACGTTCAACTGGAACATCTAAATCACGTCTGGCCGTAAGTAGCAGTCCGACAATGCCGCACCGCACGTCTGACCGTAAGTAAAGGTCTGAAAATACCGCACCGCACGTCTGGCCGTAACTAACAGTCCGAAAATGCCGCACCGCGCATGTAAGCGGCCTCGTGAGAGCGGCGTTGGGTATTTTAGCATGCCTCGCCGCTGGATCCTCTATCAGCGCAGCACCTCGAAGCACCCACATTCTTTACTACTAGCTTTCGCGCCGAACGACTCGTTCTCGACTACTAGAATCGGATTCTCGACTCGAGCCTCTCGCCGTACTACGGCATTCGCCTTCACCACACCACATTCGCCATCACCATGGCGGCGGCGGCGGGGTCATTCGTTTTCTCCCCGGCTCTTCGCCTCGCGTTCGTCCTGCTCCTCGTCTCCGGCGCGCTTCGACCGGCCGAATCGGAGTGGATCGGGGAATCCGGCGGTCCGAGGAAGAGCGTGGCCCTCACGCGCCCCGCACACGCACAGCTCTTGCTACGCAGACAGCAGCAGCAGCAGCAGCAGCAGCGGCCCGCAACCACCGTCGTTCGCGGCGGCCCGGGCGGCGACGCGACCCTAAACCCTAAACCGCTCGTCCGCTCCGCCGCATCTGACGGCTTCTCCGCATCTGACGGCCTCTCCGCGTCTGACGGCGCCTTCCACGGCGCCACCACAACCGCCAGCACCGCGGCCGACAACGTGACGATCAAGTACCACGGCGGGCCGGTGGTGGTGGGCAATCCGACGGTCAACATTTACCACATCTACTACGGCAGCTGGGGGGCGGGATCGGGCAGGGAAATCATTGACGCGTTCGTGCAGGCGCTGAGCAGCGACTCGGGCAGCCAGGGCGGCGCGGGGGACGCGAGCGTGAAGGGGTGGTGGGCCATCACGGCCGCGTACTACCAGTCTGGCGCCGACGGGAAGAAGAACATTAGCTCCAAGGTGAGATGGACGTGGGCTTCAACGTGAGAAGAGCGTGAGTGAGCTCTAAGGATTCGACACGGAGCTAGCCTCTCTGCGTGACGTTGCTCTATCTTCTCCTCGTGCTCTTCATCTCATCTGCGTCCTTTGTTGATTCATTCCCTCTTGCACGCCCTCATCCCTTCACTCCCACTTGCTGCCATCATCTGTTCCTGGCGCAGGTTCGTCTCGCTGGGACCGTGATCGACAACTATTCACGCGACTTTTGAGGCGCCTCAAAAGCCATTCCCCCTTGCACGCCCTCATCCACTCACTCCCTCTCGCTGCCTCTTGCTGCCATCTGCTCCTGGCGCAGGTTCGTCTCGCTGGGACCGTGACCGACAACTATTCACGCGGCAAGAACCCATCAGACAGCGACGTGCATGCCAGTATGTACCGCTCCCCACCACTCTCTACCCAACCCCCCTAAGCGTGTCCATGCTTGTTCCAAGTGCACCTTCCATGCGTTGAATCACCTTCTCCTGCTTGATATCACCTCTCTCCCTTCACCCGCCGGCACGCTCCAGTACATGCACGCTCGCTGTCTTACCCTACTCTCCGCCCTCCCCTCCCGGGGCCTCCACCTGCCTCTCCGCCACCCGTGCAGTTGTGAAGAGCCAGGTGGGGCCGGGCAAGCCCTTTGCGCTGGACCCTCACGGCATTTGAGGCGCCACAAAAGTATACTCCGCCCTCCCCTCCCCGGCCTCACCTGCCTCTCCGCCCCCTGTGCAGTTGTGAAGAGCTATGTGGGGCCGGGCAAGCCCTTTGCGCTGGACCCTCACGGCATCTTCGTACGACTTTTGAGCCGACTCAAGTGTCTCACCCTTCTCTCCGCCCTCCCCTTTCCGGGCCTCCACCTGCCTCTCCACCACCCGTGCAGTCGTGAAGAGCTATGTGGGGCCGGGCAAGCCCTTTGCGCTAGATCCTCACGGCATCTACGTGCTGTTTACCAGCGCAGATGTCGTGTTTGGGGACTTTTGCAAGAAGTACTGCGGCTTTCACACCCAAGACTCGCTCAACTCCACCCCTCTGCGCTTTGCCTTTGTGGGGCACCACGGGCAGTGCCCCAACTCGTGCGGGGTAAGGGGCACGTCACCCAACGGCAACACTGCCATCGATGCTATGATTACCACACTTGCGCATGAGATCACCGAAACTGCCACAAACCCGGACGTGAGTACGGGGTGGTTCGTTGACGAGGGCGGGGAGAACGGTGACAAGTGCGCGTGGAATTTCGGCAGCACCAAGACCGGATCCCTGCAGAACGGCCAGAGCTACGAGTACAACCTGGTGGGGCTGAATGGGAGGAAGTTCCTGGTGCAGCAAAACTGGGACCGCATGCTGAACAAGTGCGTCCTGCAAAACGCCCTGCCTTCTCAGGATGGCGGCGGGGGAGGCACTCCCTCTCCTTCTCCTCCTCCTCCCTCTCCTTCTCCTCGTCCTCCCTCTCCTTCTCCTCCCTCTCCTTCTCCTTCTCCTCGTCCTCCCTCTCCTTCTCCTCCTCCTCCCTCTCCTTCTCCTCGTCCTCCCTCTCCTTCTCCTCCTCCTTCCCCACCTCCCCCAGCTGGAGGCAGCGTGAAGATGAATTGTGATTGCAACTGTGCTAGCGCCAGCAACCCCATGAGCTGCCAGTGCTCCTGCACCAAGACAGGGTGATGTGTGGATGAAGGGGTCGCCTATGGCTTGTGGGGTGGATGCTGCACCAGGCACATCAGATACGGTACCCCGTCACAGCTGCTTAATTTGTCCTCAGTGACACAGGCAGACTCTGAAGTATTTATTACTTGACTACCGGTAGTTGCTCTTTCCCACATCTTTGCAATTTCCCTTGCTGTGTTATGTATTCTCACATACGGGCTGCTGTGGTGGTTTCCCTTGCTGTGTTGCATGTATTCTCACATATACGTGGATTGCAGTGGTGTTTAAAGCAGGGTGCAACTTATTAGGAGCAGTAGGGGGACAAATGGCATGTGAGTAAACGAGCTTCTATTGGACAAGAAAACTGGAATTCTCCAAGAGGACAAGCCTCTCGCCTGTGTGAACCTCGTGGATCAACCATCTTCCAAGTTATTCTTTTGAACTCGAACCGATAGTTGCACCCCGGCTTTAAACTACAGTGCGTGGAATAGCGATCACCGAGAACCATATTCGCTTGAATAATGGACCCCAGATTGAAACCCCTGGGGTCCATACTTTGGGGATACAGCACTGCTGCCGATTATTGCCCCCCTCCCCAGTGTGCTGTGCAGCAAGTGTGTGTGCAAGTTTCTCCCGCCACTTGGGAGCATCGAGGGTACAATGCATCTGCTCACTCTCAAATTTTTTAGATTTGCATAATATTTTGCGGTTGATTATCTTCACTTGACGTCATGGTTTTAGGTGGTGGTGGGTACAGCCTGATCTATTATACTCATCAAGTTACCATATACGAGATATCTATGTGGATCGAGGTGGAATCGTCTCGAGAGGAAACATACGGCGCGTATAGCGCGTATTTCAGGACAATTTTTTCATCTCGGTTGTCCCGAGGTTCACAGCGTAGGCAGGAACACTCATGCCATGCCACCACCACATCACCAGCAGAGAATTCGGCCATGAATTCCGAGCATGGGGGTCACAACATTAGCCAAGTTTTCGTTGCTTGGTGGTCACAGCGATTGCGTAACCTAGCAAGTTTACGTTGATCACCAGTTGCCTGAAATATCACTAGACGGTGTGCCGGAAGTGCTCTTCATTCAGTGTGCAGGCGTCAGGATCTTTTCGGAAATCATGCGGTTACGTTGGCATCACGTCGACTACTACGCGTTAGCGTCAATGAAGCAACAACAAAAGCAAGATCGTCGAACTTTGCCGTGCCCTGAGATTGTAGATGGTGAAGACATTGCTATACCCGACGACATACCTGTCGCATTGTTTCAGCTTCTAGCGAATGACAACAAGAACATCAGTCATGGCGTCGATCTCTCTGAGCTCTCCGCGACCATCCTTCCGAAAGCAGCAGCCGCTTCCATTCTCACGCAGTTTCTTCCTCAAAAGCAAGTGGTGTCGAAAACGTCAAGCATCAGCACTATCGAATGGATGCTGGACTGTAACGAACTTGACGATGCTGAACCCATTACTCCCTTGGTGGCCAATTTTGAGGAACCTCTACTGCAGGATACGGATTTCCAGGTCACTCTCGCTGTCCCTTATGCGTCTGTGCCTCACAATACTCTTTTTCCTTTCTTTATTGGTAGCATCCCATACATAACTCGTGACCATGGCAGAAAATTGGGGAGGAAGTGTTTTACCAAATTGACTGTGACCGCTTGGCATTGGAAAACGTCGATCCTCCACCAGAGATGGTAAGCCTTCCACATTCAATACGGAGTCAAAATGTCTACTCGTATCCCTTGCTAATTCGTTTAAGAAATGCAGAACGTCAGACGTGCGGAGGAGGATGCAGAACCCATCGCGATGGAATCTGCACCATTCAAGGAACATCTCGTTTCTTTATTGGACATCGAAACAGCGTGCAATTCATCAACATCTTCAAAGCGCGGCAAGCCACACACGATGGACAATTTCTGTCCCATGGACCCTCCGTGCATCCTGGACGATCCCATTAATCCCGGTCATTCCATGACGGATCCGTCGACGCTTATGAAGAAGATGGATCTGATGAAGCCACCTGAAGACGCCATGAGTGGCCTTTTGAACAGCCGTACAAACCTGATGTCGCTGCTCGGTCCAGGTCGAATGGCAGTTGATCAGGTGAAGCCGACATATACAGAAACACTTTGCAAGGTTCTGGAGGAACCAAGTACCTCTGCTGGTGACGCAGATAAGAGCGAAGGTGTTCCGCTGCTTGATGTGCCGTTTCCATCACTCAGCCAGTCACTGATCGGTGAGAAGCTGGCCATGGAGCTGGTCGGCAAAGAAAATACTCTTCGCCTTGAAGCACTTCCCTCCATGAGCGTGTCAATGAAAGACTTCAACGAGCTGGTTGTGGCTCCTCAGCTCACTTTCAACTGTGGTGGGATTCGATCACTACCAGTTCCACTTCTGCAGCAGGACGAATTGCAGGGAGATGACAATCTCCTACCTGTCACTGCATACTTATCTCTTAGCGAGTCACTGAAGGCGAATCTGACAATGGCTTCTCGTGCAAGAGATTTCCTGTACCTGGATTGGCATCTGTCGCAGGATTTCAAGTCTTGCACTTCATCCAGTTGTTCTAATGCTGGCTGCAAGCTATCTTTTCAGAAAGTTCGGCAGCTCCATTTGGAGCCACCTCAACCTGGCTCACTGTTTTCTCTCATTGAGGACAGGATGCAGAGCGTTCCTCCTCACGTGGTATTGGAAATCGAGCAAAGAATGGTGCTGCCACCAACGCTGGTTCGGATAGTGGATGCAGTTTCGACCTCTCCAGCCGCTGCACCATTCATCTCACCATCACCACATGCTCCTCGTGTTTCTATTGCAGCGCAACCACCATGCCAGCCTCTGGTTAGACACGCTGAACCTCAGACTGCACCAAAGCTTGACGCACCACTTTTACATGCAAGGTTCACACATTCACCCCAGCCTCAGCCTCAGCCTCAACATCAGCGTCAGCCATTGATTGTGACACCACCCCCTGTTTCTCCCATAGATTTACCTCACAGTCGATTTGTGTCAATGCTATCGCCAGCTAATACTGCTGCTCCAGCTGTGTCTGCTTCTGTCGCTGCACCTATTGCTGCTGTTGCCGTTACCACAACCGCTGCATCCTCTGCTGCTGCTGTTATGCTGAAGAAAAACGAAGAGAGAGGGTCATCGCCAGGCTCAACGGCTAGGGAGGAAGGCAAGCGGATGGGGTTCCAGCACCAGGTTCAGAAGATGTCGAGCGAGCTCAATTTCTTCATGAATGCAAGGCAGGGCAAGGCACAGAGTCTTCAGCAAGAACCGCCTCAGGAGGTGGCAGTCGCGGTTGAGCCAGCAATTCCTGCAGAAGAGGTCAGCTTTCGTGCACTTGATGCAGCTAGAGCTTGGGAGAAGGAGGTCGAGGACGTCACTGCTGTGCCACCCATTTGTGTGAAGTCACCTCCAGCTGTCAGTCAGCCCTTGAAAGAAATGGCTTCACAGGTACACAGAGTGCAGATGTCACAGGACGTTGTAGATATCCTGGATTTTGCCAAGGGAGAGTATCAGAATCTGCTGTGGTCACTGAACAAGGAAGCCAAGACGTCTGTGAAACCCTTCCGCCTGAAGCAGGAGGTCAGCCGGTCCATTAAGGAAGACATTTCCCTGCGTACTTCCAGTCAGCTATCACAGGACCGCGTGCTGCAGCAACTGAAATGCCTGTACATGCTTCACCAGTCTGCAATGCTGTGCTGGCAGTACGGGATCCGTGTTGCTCATCTGTTCTTGGAACAGGGGTTGGAAGCTGCATCAATTGCCCACCTTTCACCGTGTTTCAAGAGGACCAGAGAAGCACTGGCGTCAGCATTTGAGCTGGTGGAGGGTGGTGCAACGGTGGACCACCCAAAGCTCTCCATGCTGACCTCTATCCTTCGAGCGCATAAAAAGGCCTGCCAGTTACTAGACTCTAAGGGCGCTACAGCTTCTACAGGTTCTGCAAACGTTCTGATTGTTGCTGAGAACATGGCGTTTTTCACCATGTACAAGCTGCTGGGCACATGCCAGTTCCAGCCCTTCCAGATCGGACGTTCTGGAGCGCTCAGTGGGGTGGATGGGAGGGGAGTATCAGAGGAGAAGTGGGAGATTGTGCGGCGGGAGGTGAACGAAGCACTTGAGGTTTCAGACTGCCTCCTGGTTTCACCCAAGTAAGTTGATGCTGTGTGTTCTTTCAGACTAGTAATTCGTGGCTTGTTTCTTTATTGATTTATGTGTGCTTAATGCGAATATGATCCTGCAGATATCTGGTGCCTTCGTTTCCAGTGAGCAAGTTCGATATGGTGATTATCTACAGTGATCTTGTGGAGGAACAAGATCTGCTTGTCTTCCATTCCATCAACAAGAATTTCCACATTCTTGCTGTGGAGGACCCTGAAGAGACATTGCTAACAAGTGTCAAGGTTTGTTACCGTAACGCTCATCCCTTCTTTTCTTGTGAAATAGCATGTTCATACTTTTTTCCATTCTGTGCAGACCATTCCTACACAAGCTGCAAGGGAAGCGCATCCAATTACGGCTGAGAAGGTTCAACACATAGAGAAACGGAAACCAGAGGCTCCCACAGTTATTCTCCTTGATAGCGAACCAGAAGATTTTTATGATGAAATTGCCATCGCACCTGAAGCCAAAAGGCATCCTGCCTCAGTTGGAATGGATGCTTCTCCATACACGACTGTTGAACCACCTGCGCTCGTGTCAGAGCCGAACAATTGGACCCAGGAGGAGTATCTGTCACATCATCCAGTTGACGTGCCAGTACAGAGGAAGGCTGCTGTGGAATACAAGAGGACTGTCATTGTCACCACCAGGGACCAGTTTGACCCCATTGTGCTCAGAAGAAGACAACTATACGATAAGATCCTCCAGCTGGAGGAAAGCGGCATTCAGGTAGTTCAATGCTTCTTGTGCATTCCTCTTTTCCAGCATGAACGAACATTGATTGAATGTTTTCTCCTTCGCAGATCATTGAACGGGATCTGGTAGCACCGGCAGAGATTGTGCTGAATGCATCGACTTCATTAATCATCTATAACCCCCAGCGCCTGAAAGAAGTTCAGAAACTTGCAGCAATGGACGGGCTTCCGTCGAGTTCTCTTATGACAGTGTGCCTAGAAGCTGTTGTGGAAACCCACCTGAAGGCTCTCAGTTTTGCTTACCAGACTTGCTTCTTGGTAAGACTCAAGTTGTTCCCGTAAAAAAACCTTCAAAAATGAGGTTATACATTATGCAAAATCGTCATGGTTGATGGGATGCGAGGCCAGTGCCACTAACTCGTGCTTCTCATCTGGCAGGTGTTTGAGGGAATTGACACTTGTCTGACACAAATCAAGCGCAATGTGGACGATCTTTATGCTGGAGGAGCAGCACTGGATCTGGACGTACAATGTTTTTTCTCATCATCTGAAGCCTCCACTGAGAGATTAATTCTCAGTCTGCTGTCTACATCTGCTTCCCCTTCCACTGCCGAACAATCAGTCTCTAAACCATCAGCCTCCCAGCCCTTCTGCACCCCCCTGCCTGAATCTGAATCTCCCCAAGAGGCGTTCCTATGCCGATTCCCATCCCTCAACCCACTCTCTGCGCACATCATCATGACCTCGGGCTTCCCTCTGCCTGTGTTCATGTGTCTGCACCACGAGCAGCAAGCATCAGCAACTCTTCCTCGCGGCCTTCCATCCCGCTCCCTCAGCTTGTTTCAGGCCCAATGTGAACACAAGACTACACCACAGCAGGCCACAGCTCACAACCACATGCCTGTCCAGGGCTCACGGAATTCACCTCCATCAGAAGGCAACCTGCCAATGTACCCGAGTGACATGAGGCAAACCGGTTACCATTCCGAAAGCGCATATGACGGCATGCCACCGCCTCACCGAGACATGCCTTATAATCCAGATTCTCGATATACTCCACGTCATGATCACTCTATTCATCCTCCTCCTCCTGCTTCTGCTGCTGCTGTTTCGTCTGCATACTTGGGGTCTAGTTTTTCCTCTGGAAGGAGATCGAGGTCCCCTCCAGATGTTTCCTGGGGCCATCAGTCTGCTCGGCCAACGGCCTCAGAAGCTGACACACTGATGTTGAGCGATGATGATGATGGTGATCCTGGCCAGCCTGGTGGTGGATGGAGAGGATATGAGCAGCAGCATCGCCAGCAGCAGGAAATCAGGCAGCAGCAGGGCAGATTTCAGCAGCAGCGGCAGCAGTATGAGTTGTCCCACCGGCCAGGATCATCAGAGCGTTTTACTACGCCAAATACAGATGTGGATGCTTTTTCATTAGGTGATGAGCCCAGTGGTGCTCGGAGCTTCCCGTCTGCATTTGAGATTGAGCAAGCTGATGCAGCACCGGTTCTTGGGGATGAAGATTACTACCGCAACCACATGTCTGAAGCTCGCATGACCAATTCTCCAAGCAGCAACTATTCGGCATCACCTGCCAGTAGCACATACTTCCAAGGTGGGCTTGCTCTGCCTCATTGTTTGTAATATGTTTTTTCGCTGTCTCTTTCATTTCAGTTATACTATGCATGGACTTCATGCACATACCTTTATCTTCTTCTATCTTAACTTCCGATTCCTTGATGCAGGAGCAAGCGACTCAGAGCCCTCTCAAGCTCCCTCCGCTTTGAGTGGCGTCAGGTCTGCCTTGCAGGGATGGATGTCAAGAAAGCAATCAGCAGGTCACCATAACAATCCTACAGGCAGCTCATCCTTCCATTCAGAAGTCCCCCCAGCTGGTACACGAGGAAACCCATATGGTGCAAGGTCCTCCTCCCCTCAGCTTTCCCGCTATTCTGGCCCTGGTACACGTCCAGATGACTCCCACTTCCTATCTCCCCGTCATGCACAGCCCATTCGGTCTCAATATCATCAGCAGCAGCAGCAGCAGCAGCAGCAGCAGCAGCAACAGCAGCAGCACCGCTCAGAACCCCAGCATTATCGGTCTCAACATCAGCCATTGCAGAGCTCTCCAAGCCAGGAAAGATGGGCTTCTCCACCAGCGCCTCCTCAAACCAACAGGCAGTTTCGTGGCAGAGAGCAGTCCTCAAACTCTATCAAACGCGTCTGTGCGAGCCTCTTTCAAGATGACTCTGCAAGAAGGCGAGAGGAGGCTGATGCATCTCTGCAGAACGTCCGGCACACAGGGAGCAAGATACCCAAGCATGTGCTGGTGAAGCGGAAGCTGCAGGGTGTGCAGGCGTCTGATCAAAGAGGGAGCTCTTCTAGCAGAGCTGAGGATTCGCGGCTGTCTTGGACACCAAGTGACAAGAGAGCAAGAGAGGTGAGCCTTACCTGTCCAAATCCAGCCTAATATGTGTCTGTTCTTGTGTGGAAGGTTCAAGTGGCTCTGTTTGTAGACGTTGACAAATGTATGTTGGCAGGTTCTGGCGTATGAGCGAGCTGAAGGTGATGGAAAACAGTGCAAATTGGTTTGGAAGAAACCAAGAACAAGCTTGGACTGAGCTGGCTTGTCTTTGCTCCAACAGCAGCTCCACATCAGCTACATGGTTATAACTATGTGTCGTGCTCACATTTATTACCTTGTCGGTGTTATTTGAACCGAATTGAGGCCATGCATTACAATGTTGATCATCTACACTTTGAAATGCATGTGCCAGTTTCTGCATGATCAAACCTAAAGATTTTTCCCTACATGAAACCTCTCCAAACTGCGCAGTGCGCACCCTATTCCACCCAGGTCAAGGAGCCAAAGAGGAGAAATTTCCCTGGCAATGGCCCTGGACTGGGTGCGATGAACATGAACTTGCCCTTGGCAATATCGACTTGTGTTATGCAGATGAATCCAGCAATGCTCCTGCACTCCAAAAAGGGGTACAACCAAACACAGACGACAAGTGATCAGCACATTGAGCACCAGCTGCAATGCAACGGCAACCAAAAAGCACAGCAAACTACAGACAAAGTCAAAATGCACCGGCAGTCCAAAATGGACAGTACAGATTCCACACGCCCACAACAATCTCACCCTGTAACAGCGTCCTTCTCCTCCTTGGCATGTGAAACTGCCAGCACATGATGCTCCAGCTCCCGAGAAAGAACCACTGGTGCAGTGCGAAGCGGGTCTGAAACCCTCGCTGCACCAATGGGTAGCGCTGACTGCGGTGCCTGCGGGCCTCCCCCTACCCTCAGCACCGTGTAATCCAACCAGCTGGCTGTGCTCGAATGAGGCGAGAATTGCCGCTCTGGCCCGTAGAAGTACGCCTGGTGAACCGGAAAAGAGTGATGGAAAAAAGACAAGGAAAAAAGACCCGCACATTATGCTCCAGCTCCCTCCAAAGAACCACCGGGGCAGTGCGAAGTGGGTCTGAAACCCTCGCTGCTCCGATGGGCAGCGCTGACTGCTGTGCCTGCGGCCCTCCCCCTACCCTCAGCACTGTGTAGTCTGACCAGCTAGCCGTGCTCGAATGAGGCGAGAATTGCCGCTCTGGCCCGTAGAAATACGCCTGGTGATTCAGAGAAGCGATATAAAAAAGGACGGAAAAAAGGGTCACCAAGCGTTTCAGGTTGGGTGTGGTATCGGGCTGGGTACAAGCTTATCAGAACCTGAAGAAATCACCACATCTCCATGTTTTTTGTTTTTTTGTTGTTGTTTTTTTTTCTGTTTTTTTTTTTTTTTTTTTTTTTTTTTTTTTTTTTTTTTTTTTTTTTTTTTTTTTTTTTACCTTGATGACTGCTTGTCTCAGCCGCTGCCTGAATTTGGAAGCACGGGACACGGCACCTCCGGACCGCACAAGCTTCACCACCTCCACCGCCGCTGCATGGCCGGCAGGGGTACCATCTGCAGCAGCAGCTGCTGCTTTGCTTCGGTAGTGCTCCGAGAGCATGCTGTAGAGCCGCTCCTGTGGTGAGAGGGTGGGCAGGAGAGGGAGGGGAGGACGGCCCTTGAGGAGAGAAGGAGCTTCACCACCTCCACCGCCGCTGTATGGCTGCTGTTTGCAGCACCACCAGCAGTGCCATCGGCAGCACCAGCTGCTGCTTTGCTCCGGTAGTGCTCTGAGAGCATGCTGTAGAGCCGCTCCTGTGGTGAGGAGAGGGTGGGGAGGAGGGGGGGAAGAAGAAATGGCTTCTGAGGTGAAGAGAGAATGAGGGCTCCACATACGTTGACCTTACCTACACTGGCGCTTAGCAGGTCATCCCAATATTCGCACCTCTGACGCACACACACCATGAAATGAAGGTGGCTTGTCAGGGAGTTTCAAACAGATGCACCTCGGCCCAGTAAAAGCACCACCACGTTAACCGACAATGCGTTAACCTTAGCTACACTTTGGCTTATCAGGTAATCCCACTTCACGCACCACTGACACATGCACTATGAAATGAAGGTTGCTTGTTAGGAAATCTCAGACAGACGCACCTGCCCCAGTACAAGCACTACGTTGATTGTCAACACATTGATCATAGCTACACTGATGCTTACATACCCCAACAAACGCACTATAAAAAAAGGTCGTTCATCAGGGAATCTCAAACAGACGCACCTGCCCCAGTACAAGCACCACGTTGGCCCGTAGGGCATCAATGGAGTGCAGCAGCAGCTGCAGAGGCAACGAGGAGAGAGAGAGGTGCATGGAGGGAAGAAAGGTGAGGAAAATGATAAGAGATTGGGAATGTTGGCCCGTAGGGCATCAATGGAGTGCAGCAGCTGCTGCAGAGATCACACAGAGAGAAGTGCACGGGCGGAAAGAACGGTGAGGAGAAGGATAACAAGAATGGGAATGTTGGTCCGTAAGGCCTCATTGGAGTACAGCAGCAGCTGCAGAAGTAGCACGGAGAGAGGGAGAGAAGTGCATGGAGGGAAGAGAGGTGAGGAAAAGGATAACAAGAATGGGAATGTTGGTCCGTAAGGCCTCATTGGAGTACAGCAGCAGCTGCAGAAGTAGCACGGAGAGAGGGAGAGAAGTGCATGGAGGGAAGAGAGGTGAGGAAAAGGAAAACAAGAATGGGAATGTTGGTCCGTAAGGCCTCATTGGAGTACAGCAGCAGCTGCAGAAGTAGCACGGAGAGAGGGAGAGAAGTGCATGGAGGGAAGAGAGGTGAGGAGAAGGATAACAAGAATGGGAATGTTGGTCCGTACGGCATCAATGGAGTACAGCAGCTGCTGCAGAGGGAACAAGGAGAAAAAAAGAGGACGGAAGAAGGGAGGTGAGGGAGCGAGTAACAAGAATGGGAATCGCTTGTCTGGTCGAACGAGTGTGGTCTGGTCTTGGCCTAGTAAGTAACAACGGATGAGTATGAGAAACCTGTTTTTGTTTTTTTTTAGGATGGCAAACAGCAAGGGAAGGAGATGTAGTGATTGGTAACGTCCATAGACCACACACCTGGTAACCAGCCCCGTCCACCCATCCCATGCTGTTCGCTATGATCCCTGCTGCTGCTGCCTCCACTGGAACCGTCAATATTGCTGCCGCTCCTACTGCACGGAACAGTGGCCCTTGGACCAACATACCTGGTACTTTAACACATACCTCATGCCCAGCCCCACCAACACATACCTGGTAACCAGCCCCATCCACCCATCCCATGCTGTTCGCTATCATCCCCGCTGCTGCTGCCTCCACTGGAACCGCCCCTATCGCTGCCGCCCCTATCGCTGCCGCCCCAATAGCTTCCGCCCCTCCTGCTGCCTCCCTCCCTGCCCCTGCCCCTGCCCCTGCTGTTCCCCCATCCCCTCCCCCCTCCTCCGCTCCTCCGTCTCCCAAGGGTGTGATGCCTAGTCGCCTGTCCGTTGCATCTGCCATTGCCGTCACTAACGCTCGATATAGGTCGAGATTGGCACTGGTAGGGAGAGAGACGGGAAGTGGGGAGGGAGGGGGAGTGAAAGAGGGTGCAGCGGAATACTTGAGCCCAAGGGTGTGATGCCCAGTCGCCTGTCTGACACATCTGCCAGTGCCGTCACTAAGGCTCGATATAGGTCAAGGTTGGCAGTGGTAGGGAGGAAAGGAGGGAGCATGTAGGGGATGGGGGTGGGAGAGGTTGCTCAGGGAGGGTGTGGGAGTCTGGGAGAGTATCTCAACTCATAAGTTACTAATGGAGCCCCAAACAGGAGCCATAAGTTACTAAATCAAAGGTTGTTCAGGGAGGGTGTGGGAGAGTATCTGCACTCATAAGTTACTAAATCTTTTGTGGCGCCTCTTGAGGCGAATTTTGAGGCGCCTCAAAAGTCAGGGAGGGTGTGGGAGAGTATCTGAGATCATAAGTTACTAAATCCCACTCGTCCCTCGCCCAAGGGTGTGGGAGAGGTTGTTCAGGGAGGGTGTGGGAGAGCATCTGAACCCCACCCTCCCTTGGGTGTGGGAGGGTATCTCAACCCCACCCTCCCTTGGGTGTGGGAGGGAGGGTGTGGGAGAGTATCTCAACTCATAAGTCGATTCTTGAGGCGCCTCAAAAATAGGGCGTGGGAGAGTACTGTATCTCAACTCATAAGTTACTAAATCCCAAGGGGCATCACACACACCCTTGGGCGAGGGAGGAGTGGGCGACTGAACTTATAAGTTCCTAAATCCTACTCCTCCCTCGCCCAAGGGTGTGGGAGAGGTTGTTCAGGGAGGGTGTGGGAGGGTATCTCAACCCCACCCTCCCTTGGGTGTGGGAGGGTATCTCAACCCCACCCTCCCTTGGGTGTGGTAGGGAGGGTGTGGGAGAGTACTGTATCTCAACTCATAAGTTACTAAATCCCAAGGGGCATCACACACACCCTTGGGCGAGGGAGGAGTGGGCGACTGAACTTATAAGTTACTGAATCCCACTCCTCCCTCGCCCAAGGGTGTGATGCCCAGTCGCCTGTCTGTCGCATCTGCCAGTGCCGTCACCAGCGCTCGATATAGGTCAAGGTTGGCAGTGGTAGGGAGGAAAAAGGGAGCGGTTGATAGAGGCGAATGCCCATCTTCCTCCACGCTCCTCCACGCTCCTCCACGCTCCGTGCATTCGCTTCAAGCGGTGCTTCCACTGGCGTGGCCGCCACAGCTCCCGGCACAGTGGCACTGATGTGAGCCACGTCTAGGTCCACATAGGTGGCGTGTTTTGAGACGTCTCAAAACACTTCTCCATACACGTGGCCGCCACAGTTCCCGGCACAGTGGCACTGATGTGAGCCACGTCTAGGTCCACATAAGTGGCGTGCCCCTAGGTACCTTGCTCTTGTGCAACTGCCCCATGCACGCACCTGGGGTTCGTATGCCCGTAAAACAGCACCAGAGGAGCTTCTTCCACGCTTCTGGCGTTCGCTTCCAGTGGTGCCTGCCTCCACAGGCGTGGCCGCCACAGCCCACAACTCACACAACACACACTCCTCACCTCCACCTCACCTGGGGTTGGTGTGCCCATAGAGCAGCACCAGAGGCGCTTCCTTCACGCTCCTTGCATTCGTTTCCAGTGGTGCTTCCACTGGCGTGGCCGCCACAGCTCACAACTCACACGACACACACTCTTCCCCTCCAGCTCTCACCTGGGGTTGGTGTGGCCGCAAAAGAGTACCAAGGGAGCCTCCTCCACGCTCCTCGCATTAGCTTCCAGTGGTCGTGCTTCCACTGGCGTGGCTGCTACAGCCCCCGGCATACTGCTGCGAGCCTTCCATGCATGTTTCCGTCACCCCATCGCACGCACCTGGGGTTGGTGTGCCCATAGAACAGCACCAGAGGCGCTTCCTCCACGCTCCTCGCATTAGCTTCCAGCGGTGCTTCCACTGGCGTGGCCGCTACAGCCCCCGGCACAGTATGCTATGCTACTACCAGGCTCACAACAGTATGCTTTTGAGTCGACTCAAAAGTCAGCACAGTATGTTATGCTACTACCAGGCTCACAGCAGTATGCTATGCTGGCATGCTCGTGTATAGACGCCTCACCTCCCCCAAGCACACTAAACACCTGGGGTTGGTGTGTCTGTAAAACAACACCAGAGGCGCCTCCTCCACGCTCCTCGCGTTCGCCTCAAGCGGTGGCTCCACTGGAATGGCAGCCACAGCATGCTACCATGCTACTTCCTCTCCCTCACACACTACACACCTGGGGTTGGTGTGCCCACAGAACAGCACCAGAGGAGCTTCTTCAACGCTCCTGGCATTGGCTTCTAGTGGTGCTTCCACTGGCGTGAAAGCCCTTGACACCCCAGACAGTATGCCCCTGACAGTATGCTACCGTGCTCCCACCATCCGTCGTACAGCTCACCTGGGGTTGGTGTGTCCATAGAACAACACCAGAGGCGCCTCTTCAACACTCCTCGCATTCGCTTCCAGTGGTGCTTCCACTGGCGTGGCCGCTACTGCCCCCGGCACAGTGACACTGCTGTGAGCCACGTCTAGATCCACGTAGGTGGGGTGCCATTGCTGCCTGGCCGCCCAGCAGAGCAACATGCGTGCTAGGGTTGACTTGCCAGAGTCTGTGGGGCCTACTAGAAGGACCCTGGGTACCTGAACGGGAAGGGGAGGCACAGTGACACTGCTGTGAGCCACGTCTAGGTCGACATAGGTGGGGTGCCATTGCTGCCTGGCCGCCCAACACAGCAGCATTCTGCCTAGCGTTGACTTGCCCGAGTCTGTCGGGCCGACTAGAAGGACCCTGGGTACCTGAACGGGAAGGGGAGGCACAGTGACACTGCTGTGAGCCACGTCTAGGTCGACATAGGTGGGGTGCCATTGCTGCCTGGCCGCCCAACACAGCAGCATTCTGCCTAGCGTGGACTTGCCCGAGTCTGTCGGGCCGACTAGCAGCACTCGGGGTACCTGAAGTGGTGAGAGGAAGAGGGCAAGCAAGAAAGCAGGCAGCAGAGCAGCATTCTGCCTAGCGTTGACTTGCCACTATCTGTGAGACCGACTAGCAGGACTCTGGGGACCTGGGGTGATAGGGCGAATGGTAGGGGAGAGAGAGGTAGCGTTGATTTGCCAGAGTCTGTTGGGCCAACAAGAAGGAATCATGGGAGATCGAGTCGAGACGCTTCAAAACTTGAAAAGGAGCTTGAAGATAAAAGGAGGAGTGTCAAGTTGGTGAGAAAGTGGGAGTTGATTTTGTGCTCCTATTCCTGCTTTTAAGGTACCCCAGAAAGTGAGACAATTCTTGACACATGTCAAGAGAGTGGGAATCACCTAGTTGAGAACGAGAGAGTTTGTCTTGTGCTCCCTCCCAGTGCCGCTTTTAAGGCACCTCAGAAACTGAGACGATCTTTTAAGCATGCCAAAAGAGAGAGAATCACCTTGGTGAGACGAGAGAGTTTATCTTGTTCTCCAGCTACTGCTTTAAAGCAAGTCAAAAATTGAGAGAGACCATAATCTAAGCATGTCAAAAGAGAGAGAATCACCTTGGTGAGTCGTGTTTTGAGTCGACTAAAAAAACTGAGAGAGACCATAATCTAAGCATGCCAAAAGAGAGAGAATAACCTTGGTGAGAACGAGGGAGTTAATTTTGTTCTCCAGTTGCTGCTTGTGCCGCTGCAACCGCTGCAGCTGGTGCTGATACTGCTGCTGCTGATGGGGATGCTGCTGCTGCCGTTGCTGATGCTGATACTGCAGCTGCTGTTGCTGCTGCTGTAGTTGCGCCAGTTGCTGCTTTGCGCGCATGAGGCTCCGAGCTGCTTCTACCCGTCGCACGTTCAGCACCGCATGGAGATTTAGATAGCTCACCATGGGGGTCTGGTGGGAATGGCAGAGGCGTGGGGGAAGGGGAGGGGGGTGAGGGGGGTGAGGGGATTGAGGGAGGGAGCGGAGGCAAGGGAAGCTGTCTCCGTGCTGCCTCCACTCGCCGCACGTTCAGCACCGCATGAAGGCTCAGATAACTCACCATGGGGGTCTGGGGAGTGGGGGATCGGGAGGAGGGGTAAGTGGGAGGCGGGGGGGCGGCAGGGGTTGGGCATGTGAGGCTCCTAGCTGCCTCCACTCGCCGCACGTTCAATACTGGATGGAAATTCAGATAGCTCACCATTGGGGTCTGGGGAGTGGGGAGCGGGGGGTGAAAACAGCAGGGGTTTGGGGGAGGAGAGCAGGAGTTGCTGCTACTTGGTGTGCATCAAACTTGCTAGAGAGTGTTGGCGAGTGACGACCTACACACTCGCGCACACACTCACACTCACACACACACACACACACTCGCGCACACACACACACACACACACACACTCACGCACACACACACACACACACACACACACACACACACTCACACACACACACACACACACACACACACCACCACCACCACCACCACCACCACCACCACCACTTTTTTAGGCGCCTCAAAAATCGTCTCAGTTCACGCGGTTTTTATATGGGGAATGTTTTGAGGCGCCTAAAAAATCACACACCACCACCACAGAGCCATATAACCCCTGCCCACCAAACCTCTCCCCACCTCGTGTGCAGCATACATGGCATCTGGCAGTGTTGGCGACCCAAAGAGACAACACATTCACTCACTCACAATCACAGTGCCCTCTCCCCCCTCTCGTCCCTCTTCCTACTCCCCACCTCGTCAGCAGCATACATGGCATCCGGCAGTGTTGGCAAACCAAAGACACCACATGCACCACACGCTTCCCCCTACATCTTCCCCCTTCCCCCACCCTCTCCCCACCTCGTCAGCAGCATACATGGCATCGGGCAGTGTTGACGACCTAAAGACAACACACGCACCACACCCACCCTCCTTCGTGCTACCTCCTCCCCCTTCCCCCTCCCAATTCCCACCTCGTCAGCAGCATACATGGCATCTGGCAGTGTTGGCGACCCACGCACCTCCAGACTGCAACCATGCCAGGTGAACACCTGGAGAGAAAGGGGACGCAAGTGCACCAAAAGGGGAGAGTGGGCGAGGAGGAGGGGGTTAGGAGGATTAGGACATACCCACCCCCGCGCACTTCCAGACTGCAACCATGCCAGGTGAACACCTGGAAAGAAAGGAAAAGGGGGGAAGGCGGGTGCAGGAGGGGAGAAGGGTTAAGAACAAGGGCGAAACCGGGATATAACAATAGACCCGCGCACCTGCAGACAGCAACCATGCCAAGCGAACACCCGGCACGGCAGGGAGAGGGAAAAGGAGAAGAGTTGGAGCGGGGCCGAGTAGGAGAGGCGGAGAAAAGAGCAGTAGAGGGAAAGAGGGGGCCGAGTAGGAGAGGGTTGGAACAAACCCTTCCCCCCTGCACCTCCAACCTGCACGTGCACCCGTACCAGGTAAATACTCTGAAGGGAAAAAGAGGGGATGAGGCGAAGGCTGGAATGGTCACCGCCCATCCTCCACCATTGGTCAACACCTTGCTTAACCCGGAAACACCGTTTTTGTTCCCCCACTCCCCCAGTTCCCCCGTTCCCTCCTCTTTATCCCATTTTCTCCGTCCCCCCCCACGTCAAATCTCCCCCTTCCCCATTCCTCTTTTCCCCCTTCAATCCCGAACACGCCTTGCCCTCCGCCCTCCCTCCGCCTTTTGCCTTTCCCCACCCTTCCGCCCTCCGCCATCCGCCTTCCGCCCCCGCCCTCCGCCCGCGCGCCCCCGCCCGCCCGGCCGCTCTCCCCTTCCGCACGCACCGCGAATTTCTCGCCGCCATCAAAGGCGACGTTTTGCCCGACCGCGATCTCCGAACCGAAGATCTCCGCCGTACCCGATACAAGCTTCACCGTTAGCTTCGCGTCCCACTCCACCTCGACGCGAAGCTCCGTTTCGCGCTCCAGCCGGAACTGCCGCACGCTCTCCGCCGCCTCCGCCGCCGCCGTCGGCGCCGACGCTGACGGCGGCGCGATTGCCGCAGCGGATGGGTTTGCGGCGGCTACGGCCGCCATTCGAGGGGGGAAATGGGGAAGGGGGCGGCGGGAGAGAAGTGTATAACGCTGCGACTCGCTATTTTCCGCTCGTTACGGGGAAAGTGGACATATGCTAATTTCCTTGGCATTGGAGTTAGTATGAAGTGCAGTTGTGCCCGCCGCTGCTGCTTTGCGACTGGACGGGGATGGCGAAAGTGTTACAATCCTGGCTCCCTTCTCGACCTGATTAGTCCAAAAATGACAATTCGAATAACTCCGATTACACTCCCACCACTGCAGAACCAACTTCTCTACATTGTTTTGTGCCAGAAACCTTTTTTTTTTTTAATGAAACGTGTACGCACTCAGTTATTCAGTCTGATCACAATGCAAATTTTCCATTGATTCGTACAGTTTTGAATATATAGAAATGAAGCTGATCGAAGAATGTTGGTGTCTGATAATAATTTGTGTGCATGTTTGTTAGAATAAGCAGGCAGGAATGGTGGACTAGGTAGCATGCATGAGTACAAGTACCTAACCCTAAAGTGTTGTACCCTTTGTAGGCTAACCCACTATAGCCTAGAGATAACACAAACATGCAGTTTGACACACCCCCATAGGCTAAGTGGGAGATAGCAAACACAACAGACGGCCACAAGACCAGTCAGGCAAGAGAACAAAGCAAAGCAAAGCCCAGGGTCACCACGCATTCTGAGCACAAGCAAGCGGCCACAAGGCCAGTTCACATGCAGAGTTATAATAGCAAGGCAGTACACTGATCACAACCTAGCAAGAGTAAACAAGCAGGTTTAAAGATATATATTAGTGTACAACAAGAGCAAGTCAAGCAACCAGCAGGTGAGGCAGAGTGGGCACAAGCCCAAGAGCTGTGCAGAAACGCTGATGATCACCAGACCCAAGGGCCTTGGTGAAGACATCAGCAGTGTTGGCCCGAGAGGCCACGTAAGCAAGGCGCAGCTGACCACGTTTGCAGCTCACGCGCAAGGAAGTAGCGAAGAGCAATGTGCTTCGTTCTGTGCTCCAGTCTCTGCTCGCGACACAAGGCAAGCATTGCCTTGTTGTCGACGTACAGAACTGGAGGAGAACGAGGCCGCTCCCCCAAGTCGGTCAGCAGGTAGGTCAGCCAGCGTAGCTCCTGTGCAGCCATGGCCCCAGCGTAGATCTCGGCCTCGCAGGTGGAGCCAAGCACAGAAGAAGAACGAGTGGACCTCCACGAGACAGAACCAGAGCCAAGACTGAAGGTGTAACCCTGTGACGAACGCTGAGTCGCCTGGTCGTCGGCCCAAGAAGCGTCAGAGTGTCCTGTGAGTACCACTGAACCCCGTCCTCCAAGCACGAGCCCCATGCCCGATGTACTGCACAAGTAACGCAGTACCCTCTTCGCAGCATCAAAGTGCACCTTTCGGTGTCTACCGGGTGCCACGTAGCGAGCCAGGAGGCTGAGAGGGTACGCGAGGTCAGGTCGTGTGCACGTCATCAGGTGCATGAGGCAACCCACAAGCTCTGGGTACGGACCACTCGGCTCTACGGACTCGTCCGAAGGTGGAGCTGCGAGCGAGTGACCGGTAGAAAGAGGAGTGGGCTGTGGCGAGGCGTACTGGAATCCGAAGCGCTGAAGGACCTGGTGCACCATGTGTGACTGAGTCAAGGTGATGGTGCGCCGTGCTCTGTCCCGGGTGATCTGCAAGCCAAGATAGCTCCACAGCTCACCCAGGTCAGTGCAGGTGTGACTCTCCTGCAGCTCCGCCTTCACTAGGGCCAGTGCCTCAGTGTCAGCAGTAGCAAAAACCAAGTCATCGACGTACACGAGGATGTAGAACGGCGGCAGAGTAGTGTCGGTGCGTAGAAACAGCGACGGGTCAGCAGTCGAAGGAGCAAACCCAAGAGCCGCAAGTGTCGTCCTCAGTGTGTCGTGCCACTCGCGGGGCGCCTGACGCAGGCCGTACACTGGTCGCCGTAGGCTCCACTGGGTACCCTCAGGAAACGACCCAGTGAAGCCCTCTGGACGGCGCAACCAGATGGCCTCGTGAAGGCTACCCTGCAAGAAAGCTGTCGAGAAGTCAAGGGAGTGCAGGTCGTAGTCACGCTGAGCTGCAACGTGTAGCAACACCCGAAGAGTGGTCATCTTCGGGGTGGGGGAGAAGGTCTGAAAGAAGTCGACCCCCTCACGCTGACTGAAGCCTCGAGCAACGTAACGTGCCTTGAAGGCAGGCGGAGAACCCGGCGACCGCTTCACCCTGAAAATCCACATGCCATTGACGATGTTCGCCCCAGGTGGGGGAACCTCATCAACGTAGGTGCCTGTGGACTTCCAGGAAGCCATCTCTGCATCCATGGCAGTCTGCCACTGAGAGGAGTACTCACCCGAAATCGCCTCCCTGTTGGAGCGCGGGGTGGGGATGTCAAGTGCATCCGGGTCTCCCTCAGGGGCAAGCAGCATGGTCGCGTGATTGGGTGAAGCGACGGCAAGGCACTCCAGCTCCTCCTGTCTGTCCTCAAGAACGTCACAGCCAAGGGCAGTACAGCCAAGAGCAGTCTCACCCCCGACGGACGGAGGACAGGCAGGGACAGGGTCAGAGACAAGACCCGTAAGGTAGTCTAGGCGGTACACAGCAGCAAAGTCAACGAGCTCAGCGACTAAGGCAGACGCAGCAGGAGACGAGAACGTAGGGTCTGTCACAACCGTAGCAAGGAAGCGAGTAACAGTCGGACTGGACGCACGATCAAGGTCAGACGGAGGGTCAGCAACGTCAGGAAGAGAGGACGCAGGAGGTAACGGTAGGACAACCCGCTGTGGAACAGAGGAAGGACGAAGTGTCATATCGTGAGTGCCCGTGACAGCCGGAGCACGCGGACGACGAACACGAGGAACACGAGCACGGACAGCAGCTCTAGGCTCGGGCTCAAGGTCAAAGCTAGACTCAGGCTCTCGACGCTCAGGGGTGGAAGCACGAGTCTCAGGCTCTCGACGCTCAGTCAGGGACTGTGTCACCGCAGTGTAAGGAGCAGGAGCAGGCAGTGGGGAGTGCGGTAGCAGTGGCGGCTTTGACTGGTCCGCCGGTGGAAACAGTAACTGAGGAGTAGTACCTGCCACAAGGAAGTCAGTAGCACCTGGCGGAAGACTGAGAAGGTGGCGAAGAGCACCAGTAGCTCCCGTACCTCCAGCA